GGGGGGGGGGGGGGGTCGGGCTGAGATGGTCGCCGGAATTGTTGCGGGTGCCAGCGAGGAGCCTGAGAAGCAGGTCGCTGCTCGGAGGCTATCCAAAACGCCGAACTCGTACTGGTAACAGATGATACCTCCTTTGCAGGAATCTGTGAAGCGATGAAGAAGATGGGGCGCCCCGTAGTGTATAGGGCTGTTGGATTACGGTATCTTTAATAGGGGAAGCTGTCGTCGGCTGTGGACTGCTCATCGTGATGTGCTGAGTCGAGAGGGTTTCCTGGCGGCTTATGTTGGGGCTGCCCTAAAGCCCAAGTTAACTGACAACGAATGGTAGACCTGGCCCCTCGGTGTTGGAAGTATCAGGTCTCAATTTGCGCAACTCACAAGTCCTAAACTTTAATACACTGCGCTTGCTCTTCGAAATACCTATTGAAGCGCAGGTTTACGTAATTTTGCTCACTTTCACGTTTCCTTCCTCGTCTTCGTTTTCCAATTTGTTATATTCATGTATTTTTAGATGCTACTGGTTAGATCTGAACTCGCTCTGTGATCATTTCGGATATTGTGGAGATATGATAACACCCTACAAACCCTTCCATGTCCCGTGGGAGGGGGTAATAACAATTACCTCAGGAATGTTGAATTTTTTCCTTGTGTAACGTTCTTAGAGGAAAGCTTGGACGAGCAAGCAAACCACTGACAGTGGACCCTACCAATTCGTTCAGACACAGGTGGCCGTTTTGCAGCTGTTCACATCAGCAGACGTAACCGGCGGATGTACAAAAATCTATCGTGTTCTTTGACTGCGAGACCTGCATGATGAATGTGATGGCGTTGATGCGGTGATCCCGGCTGAAATGGTGCCTGGTTCCTGACTCAAGCTCGGCTATTTTGATGTTGACCGACTGCAGTTGACAGCAAGGCCAAGGGATGGTGTGGCTCCATAGCAAGCAAGCAACTCGGGTGCTCCGAGACCAATAGGCCAATTCACCGAACGCGACGTCGATGTGAAGGTGACGGATATGGGGGCACCCCGATTATCATTCCTTGTGGATATTTTGAAGCGCGCTCCAAGATCCACATAGTAGATCCGGGGCGATGAGAGGAACCTGGAACTCATTGCTATTGGGGGGTTTGACAAAGTCACAGTGACTTGGGAGAGCGAAAAAGCGAGATTTGTTGTCGAGAGAAGCTGAAATCCAAAGCACTGTGTGAGACGCAAGGTAGGGCAATGCCTGTGTGCAGAACAGCGAGCATCCGCAGCCTCTGTTTGGATAATCCCTGGGGCCAGCATCAAATCTAGTTGCGTGGTTGGGGGTTGATCGGATTGATATTCCACCTTGGAAGAGAGACTAGCCGAGCAAAGCGCACAAAGCGCGCAGTTTTCGCCGATGTGTTGTTGTCACCGGTGAGGTGGGCCGCGAGAACTGGCCCTTTGGACGCGTGACGGAGCCATCGACGTAGGTATTCGGAGACTCGGGAAGAAAAGAACGAAGTCGGGGTCCTCAACATCGAAGATCCGAGACCCACCTTTCGGTCCGCGCAACACCGGTCCCGTGCTCAGACTCCGGTAAAAGTGGGGCCTTTCGACATTGGAAAGGCCAGCTTCGTCGCATTTGCGATCAACAATCCACCATGCACAATTCGCGAACTCTTGCCGCCAAGGGCGTGTCCGAGAACCGCCACCTCTCCAACAACCGCCTACCGTTTTGCAGTTGGCTCGTCGCGCCCACTGCCACTCCTTGAACACCCCTGTTCCCTTTCCTCCCCGGATTGGGCTAGTTTTCCTTCGGCTTTTTCGCAAACACACATGTGGCGTCCGACACCCGGCCCGAGGTGATGCCCAGTCGGCATGGACTGCCGCTCGTGGGCTGCGGCCAATGCCGATGATGGCCCCCGATTCCGCTCCGGGAGGCCGGTTGTGAATGTTTCGCCCGGCCGGCTTCGTAGCACCAGCTCCCGGGCGCGCACGTGGCGGTGGACCGCTTGCTGGAATCTCTTGCTAGGATGCGTGCTCTTCGCCCTCTGCCTCGGCCAATGGCCCGCTGTTGCGGCCATGCGCCCGGATCGCGTGACGGAGTTGCGACGGGAGACCGTCGAGATGTTCTACCACGGTTTTAACAACTACATGAAAGTGGCCTTTCCCGAGGATGAGGTATGTTTTGGGTGTTTTCTGGTTGTTTCCCTTTCCCCCAGTCCAACATCGGTATGCGGCCGCTGACCACGAGGACTGCATTCTAGCTTCGACCTCTGTCTTGCACTCCGCTCTCTCGGGATCGCCGCAACCCGCGCAATGTCGAGCTCAACGACGTCCTGGGCAATTACTCCCTCACGCTTATCGACAGCCTCTCGACCCTGGCCATCTTAGCGTCTGCGCCTCCTAGCGACGGTGATACCGGGCCAAAGGCGTTACGGGATTTCCAAGACGGCGTGGCGGCCCTGGTCGAACAGTACGGAGATGGAACAGAAGGCCCCTCTGGCCGGGGCTTGCGTGGGCGTGGGTTTGACGTCGACAGCAAGGTCCAGGTGTTTGAGACTGTCATTCGCGGCGTTGGTGGCCTACTTAGTGCCCATTTGTTTGCGGTTGGGGCCCTACCTATCGCTGGCTATGAACCGGGCCATCCTAGCAGTGACATCAACAACCCGCGTCCCATCGTGTGGCCCAACGGACTGACGTACGATGGCCAGTTGTTGAGATTGGCACTTGACCTAGGTCAAAGAATCCTACCGGCCTTCTACACTAAGACCGGGATGCCTTACCCCCGCGTTAATCTCCGTGACGGCATCCCATTCTACGCCAACTCCCCGCTTCATGGTGGTGTCGCGGGGACGGCGGACGGGCCACCTGAGATTACCGAAACTTGCAGCGCGGGGGCTGGGTCGTTGGTCTTAGAATTCACTGTCCTCAGCCGCCTTACGGGTGACCCTCGTTTTGAGCAGCTGGCAAAAAGGGCGTTCTGGGCAGTGTGGTACAGGAAAAGCCAAATTGGCCTTATTGGGGCTGGTGTTGATGCGGAGCAAGGACACTGGATAGGGTCCTATTCCGTTATTGGTGCAGGTGCCGACAGCTTTTTCGAGTATGCCTTGAAATCCCACATCTTGCTATCAGGCCACGAGCTCCCCAACCGGACAGCGACCCCTTATGATCACAATGTGGGATGGATGGACCCTAACTCACTGTTCGCCCCGCTGAGCGACGTCGAGAACTCGCCCGACACCTTTCTTGAAGCTTGGCATCAGGCGCATGCGGCCATCAAGCGCCACCTCTACAGTGACCGTGACCATCCCCATTACGAGAACGTGAATCTCTGGACGGGGTCGCTGGCGTCGAATTGGGTAGACAGCCTTGGTGCCTATTATTCGGGCCTCCTTGTCCTTGCCGGCGAAGTGGACGAGGCTATTGAGACCAACCTGTTGTACACTGCCATCTGGACCCGCTATGCCGCCCTTCCGGAGCGGTGGTCCATGCGGGAAAAGACCGTTGAGGGCGGCCTGGGCTGGTGGCCGCTGCGACCTGAGTTTATTGAGTCCACGTACCACCTATACCGTGCGACCAAGGACCCCTGGTATCTCTATGTCGGGGAGATGGTGCAACGAGACATTACGAGACGGTGCTGGACCCCGTGCGGCTGGGCAGGGCTGCAGAACGTCTTGAATGGAGAGAAGAATGACCGTATGGAGAGCTTTTTCCTCGGGGAGACCGCCAAGTACATGTACCTGCTTTACGACGACAACCACCCGCTCAACGCTCTGGACGCTGCGTACGTCTTCACTACCGAGGGTCATCCCTTGATTATACCCAAAACACCACCAGGTGGTCGGTCAAAGTCCAGAAAGTCTGGCCGCAAGGACCTTACCCTCTATTATGACGACGCATTCACCAATTCGTGCCCCCCACGCCCTGCAACAACTCCCGTGTCGGGCTCAGTTATCGCGGCGAGAGACGATATATACCACGCAGCGCGCATGTTAGACCTGCATCAGCTATCCTCCTCACCACTGACCGTAGATGGCGGGCAGATGTCCGGGCAGCACATGGCGAGATCTAACCACACTCTGTTCCCCTGGACCCTTCCCGCAGAGCTGCTGCCGAGCAACGGCACATGCGCCAAAGTTCACCACCCGCAAGAGCTCATCCTGGAGTTTTCTTCCAACGCAGGACAGAACGCGGGAGGAACCACCTTTAACTTTATGATGGGGAACCAAAACCTCGAGCGGTTGAATGCGGACCATATTCGCGTTCTGAGCCTGTCTGGACTTAAAATCACCCTGCGCCTGGAGGAGGAGTTGGAGCGGGAATGGAGAGTCAGCAAGCTTAACAGCGTCCCCTTGGGCCGCGATGAGTTTGTCGTCTTTGACCGATCTATCCTCGGGGAGGTCTCGGATCCTAGATTCAACCTCGTTCGAGACCCCGTCATCATCAGGCTCCAGCATCTGCACCAGGTCGACATATCCGGCAACGAAACGGGCACAAGTGATGGTGACGCATCACAAGACCACGATGACATGGAGGACGAAGACGACGACGAGGGCATTATCTTCGAAATGCTCGAAGATCCCAATCTCGCTGTTGCTGCTGCTGAGGCAGCCGCAGCCGCTCGCACCGACCTCGGCTCACTCGTCAGATCCCTCTTCAGTCGCCTCACCTCCTCCCTTGATCTCCAGCTCCCCACTTCCATCCCTGGAATGGGTGGCCCCTCCATATCCCTCCCTTTCAACCTCGTCATCAACACAACCGCCACAACCCCTACAGGCATCGGCGCGGCCCCGTTACCCCCTGCTTCCTCGGCATCAGGCAGTGGAGCAGCCGGCGCGCGCATACCCTCATTCGGCCCCGTCCCTCCCTCCTCATTTCCCTGGACCACCATCTATGCCGGCGGCGACGCCTGTGATGGTCCGCTCCCCGACGCAGCACCGCGCGACCACCAGATCATTCTTCTCCGGCGCGGCGGCTGCAGCTTCTCGACCAAGCTGGCGAATGTGCCGGCGTATGCGCCCTCGCCGAGTGCACTGCAGCTCGTGGTGATTGTGTCGGAGGACGAGAATAGTGGCGACAACGACGCAGACAGTGGAAATGGTCATGGTCCCAATGGCGCTGGGCTGATACGGCCGCTGTTAGATGAGGCGCAGCGAACGCCGGGCGGGATTTTGCGGCGAAACCCAATCGCTATGGCCATGGTCGGTGGTGGAGACACGGTGTATCAACAGTTGAAGATGGCGAGTCGAGTAGGGGTGTCTAGAAGGTATTTTATCGAGAGTCAAGGCGTCAAGGTGAGGAATATTATCGTGGATGAAGGGGGTGATGGGTTGGACTCATGGTGATAGAACGGCTGGGCATCAAAGTTTGGATCATATGCTAAAGCGAGTACACGGAGATCTCTTGGTATGTGTGTGAAATGGTAAGCCAGAGGAGAGCGGGTATGGTGATATAAACTCCATGCATCTACAAAGAAGGGACGTTAGGTGATGTGGGAGTTGTCTAGCATATATTCAACGTTTCAACTTCAAGTACGATAATGCAGCCCCAGTGTAGTTCCCGTCTAAAATGGTAACCTGTATATATCATGCTAGTGACAATTGTAAAGCCCTAATTGAATCATCGAAATGAGTTGGGTCATGTTGTCGAAAGCAGCCTCGGCCTGTGCATTGCGCTGATTCCAACAGTTTCCTGGTCCAACTGATCGAAGGAGACGCCCGTTGAGGTGCTCAGGATCAGGAGCCTTGACAGAGTCGACGCCTAGAAAACAAGCTTATCTCTCTCCCCAAGCTTCCTTAATCATACCATCCCGTCTGAGCTCAACTCGGTCGTTTTGTAACTTGTCATTAACTTGAGGTTGGGCATAGTCTTAAAAATATCCAAGCTTTTGCGAAGGGAATTAGGCGGGGCGAAGGCGGTCGCCGAAATTAGTGGTGGTTCGGTTCCGTATAAATATAGTTGCAAGCGGAAGATTTCACTCGTTTGTCTCGAGAAGAGTGACGGTTTGGACGCCGTCCAACTTCGACCGGCCGTTCAGGACGGGAATCTCCAGAATGAAAAGATACCCGACCAGGTTGCCACCTAGTTGTTTGACAAGACTACCAGCAGCCGCAGCAGAACCGCCTGGTTGAGATGTGAATGTCAGTGTAAATGCAAATAAGACCAACGAAAAGGCCACCGTGCTGCAGGAGCGTAAAACCAAAAGGCAAGAAAAGTCTGACAACGAGCCGCCATTGGAGCAATGGGGTTGAGGCGAGAAGGGCTGTGGTGCCAGCCGAGCTGGGCTGATTGGCGGATATCGGGCCAGGGGGGTGGTATGAATGGCGCGATGGGGAGAGGGGATCTTGACTCACCAGTCGCAATAATATCGTCAACCACAAGCACTTTCTGGCCGGGCTTCACCGCGCCCTCTTGGATCTGAAAAAAATCGGTCCCATATTCCTTCTCGTAGGCGGCAGTCACGCAGGGACCCGGCATCTTGCCCTTCTTGCGGACGGGAACGAAGCTGGAGTTGAGACGGAGCGCGAGGGAAGGCCCGAACAGGAAACCCCGCGCATCCAACCCCACTATAACATCGGGTTTGGCCTGTTCGCCAAATTCTTGGACCTGGAGTTCGAGGGCGCGCAGTAGGGCATTGTGGATAATGGGGTCCTGGAACAGAGGGAGGATGTCGATGAAGTTGATACCGGGAATGGGAAAGTCCGGGAAGTGCTTAAGAGCGCCGAGGAGGGTTATCTTTGTACGGGCGAGTTCGGAGGCACCGGCGGCGGCGGAGGAGGACTGTCCTCGCGAGGCATCGTGGGAGTGACCGGCGTCGGTAGCGGTGCTGGTAGCCAGAACGGCGGCTTCGACAGAGGTCAGTGGGGTCTTGTCTGTTGATGTTTGCGCCGCAACTTGGGCAGCATCGGCGGGAGCGCTCATGTTGCAAGAAAAAGAGGAAAGGGGGAAGGCAGGCTCCCGCTTGGTGTTGGTGTCTCAGCAGGAGAAATAAAAAAAATTGCGGCGCCGGGTTGTGCAGCACAGAAGGCTCGGGCGTCAGCAGTGGAAAGAGCCAAACGAGCGAATTAGACACCCTGATCCTCAATCTGCTGCCAGAACACAAAAAGAGAAACTCCCGTCGGTGGAAAGCGATGCGGCCCCTCCCGGAAGGAGTCAGAGGGGACCTGAACCCCCCCTTGTGGGGTCGGTGAGAAAAAACTGCCCCTCTCAGAGACAGACCCGTGTTGCAACGCGCACAATGGATGGGCTTCCAGTGGGAGGAGAAAGGGCCGAGCAGACGGCCAGCCCTGTGAATCCTCGCACTGGGGTTTCCCTTCTGGGCCAGCGGCGTGCACTTGCGTTCCTCGCTCGGTCGCTCCCTGTGGTCTAGACACTGCTTGCCTGTCTTATCTCTTATGCGCTCCTTCAAATCACGAAGTGAAGGAGCAGTGGCGGAGAGGAGCCACCGACTTACTGGCTATGGAAACACCGGAATCCGTACAGTAACAAGGCGCCTCGAGACCAATCCAAGCAGCATGTGCCAACCTAGTTTTCTGGGAGAAAGGCTTCAAGTTCGAGATTGCGGCGGAAAGATTGGATGATTCAGGAAGGTGGGGTGGAAACCTGAAAAAGATGCAGTGGATCTGAGGTGAGCGGGAGTACCAGCCGCAAAGGTCCCCACTGCAATTTGAGTGGTTAGGCAGGCACAAGGCAAATAGGCAGACAGCCTCTGTCTGCATGGCAATTAAGTTTCCGCCAAAGGAAAGCTCGTCCATTCGTCTCGAAGGAAACTCGCTTCGTCCGAGGTGGTCTCTGATGCTCGGAACCGTTGGGGAGCCGCTGCTGGAGAATCGATGTGGTGCACACACCATTGACGAGTGTTGTTAGTCGCAGGCCAAACCCAACTGGCTGCTTCCACTTCCACTCAGATCGTGCTTTCCTGCTGTTGCATCTCGGCCACAGGTCCAAGACGCTTCGTCTCAATGCTACGTCTCGCCTCGCACCTAGCAAACATGGGCATTTTTACTCCTTTTTGATTACCATAGCTTATCTTGTGGTGTTGTGGATAAACCCGAGATCCAACACCTTGTCCACCCCCCAGCATTGGCTTCCAAGAGCTCACTCGCCATCATCCCACTCAAAAATGCACACCAGACTCTAAAAGGCTCTAGGGCCATCCGACCTCGCCTGGAAGCCTACTTAGCAAGGGCAGCATGTACTTAAAAACGCCAAATCGTGGGCCGGACTTCCCGTCTCCAGCCAGTTTTTGCCTTTGTGGTATGCCTATAAGGTCCCAGGATGTTACGGGACAATAATCATCGCGATAACCACCCGACAGGTCCTTCAGCTGCAGCGATGCTTTGCTTTTGCGTTCAAACATTTCATTGCGGGGCCCAGCCTCCAACACACCGCACTGATATAGCTGACTTACACTTACGCCTTTACCACCACACCACCACGGAGCAAATTCTCTCAAGTTGGCCAATTGTCGTTTCACACCCCCACGGCCCTCCCATCTCACCACGGACTGAGAGGCAAGCACCTCTCAATTGCGAGATGTGACGGAATAACTTGCCGAAGCCCCCCGCGGAGGAGCAAGAATTTGCGTAACGTTATGGAGTTCAAACCGCTGCATCAAACTTCTTCTCAGCCGGGCCGCTTCCGTTTGGTTCACGTCCAGGTTTTTGAACCATTTCCAGCTCATAACAATTCAGCAACTCGGCGCACCATCTTTCAGGCCTGCCTTCGTCTCCTGTCCGTGAGCCGTGTAGGCCAAGAAGGGATACCGCAGGATGGCCGATTTCCCCGCGACCCAAGTCCAATGAAAATTCCAGATCAAGGAGAAAGCCTCACCGCTCCCCGATGAACCGCAATGTTTGGTTCGTCGACGGCCAAAGCGTGCACCGACGCTGTGAATCCAACACCGATAATTAGTTGTATCGCTCAAAGGTCCATCACTTGGGCCCGCTAGAGTTGAGGAGCGGTGCGAACCAACCCTGACAAGAAGCACGCCAGAGGGGAAACACAAGAATAATTCCATTCTCGTCCTAGTCGTCGGAAAGGATTTTCACACTGTTTCCCTCCTCCTTGACTGTGTCAGAGCACAGCATATTCGTCTCTGACAAGGCAACCCCCATCCAAGGAGAGTGTCACCATGCCGTCTGCCTGCCGCGAGAGCAGATCCTCGGCATGGGTAAAGGTTGTGCTTGAGGAACGTCACCCTCAATTGGTGCCTCGTGAAAGCCGCTGGATGGCCCGACTTTCGTCTTTGACGGCACCTGGATTATTGATACCTTCCCTGTGATGTCACCACATTTAGGCCGGTGTCTATTCGCCAATGGAAAGACCACTTTTCCCGTGTCCTGTGCTTCCTTTTCATCTCATGGGGAATTAACCGAGCCCCGGTAAGACCAGAGAATGTCAAGAGTCCCAGCTTTCAAGAGTCCATAATTAGCTGCAGACAGAAGTCGAAATGGCGAGTTGAAGTTGAAGCGGGTAGATATGCACACCTGTTGGTTGGCCTGGACCTGGTGTCTCAACCTTGTCGAATCACGCCCGAGAACCACATCCCGTTCTCGCATGGCGACAGCAAGCCCACGGCAGAAGGGCAGATTCACAGGTTCATCGATCGTGTGCACAAACCATGCAGCCGCACACTGCAACACCTACCCGCTTGGCAATTAAGTCATCATCGGATTTCCCACTGTAGTTGTCTCCTCGCTGCTCGATCCTTTTATTAAGGTTCTCAAGCTTGCCCAACATAAGCACATCGTCACTGGGTCCCCGGCGTCCTTCTTATCAAAGAGAGCTAAGACGGTGAGCTACTAGTAAAAAACACCCGTACCATCACACTTTTTGTCCCACCGGCTAGTAGTTGTCGAAAAACAGACAATTCCCGCGGTGTGGCAGTTCTTGAAAGAGGCCCGTAATTGCTGCGATCGGCCTCACAGCCGATGCCGGGCCATCGTCCCGCTCAACCCCACCCCTTTCCGTACCCTCCACCTCCCATCGGGTGTTGGACAGCATGATGCGGTGTCATAAAGACCCAATTCTGGGCCTCGTCTGCCTGCCCATGTCCACAAAGCTCTCGCCCCAGCCGGCCCGCACCCATGGGGCGGTGCAAGGTGGGAATGCATTGTATTACCGGCCTTCCATAGTGGAGGTAGCCGAATGGGTGTTACTTCCACACTGGTGAGGCACGGCCCGCGACGCGGTCTTGTTGAACGCAAACTGGGTTTCTGCCTTATCTTCTTACCGACTGCGGTCCGGGAAGCGGGCTAAGTTGTCTTGGGTACGCCGATACAAGCCGTTGATAGATAGCGAGATGCCGATGTTCGGGGCAGCAGTTCAGGTGGACGACATGCGTACGGTTTTGGGTTGGCAGGAAAGGATCGGATGTTCAAGCTTCTCTTCATTGTTTGTATACCATGTCTATCATCGCCACATTACTCATCCGTAATCATGTCTCTCCTGTACCCCTCCACGCTATGCTAACGACTCGAACCCGACATGATGAATAAGGAAACGAGGGGTATCTGAAATAAATCTAGGTCTCTGCCAATGCTCTCTCACAGTCTTCCGCACCGCGTGTATGCATAAAAGGAGTAAAAGAAAAGTCTTCATACAATCGATTACTACTGGGAAGGGAGAGAGAGTGAAGGAAAGGGAAGAAGGAAATGGAAGAAGGAAATGGAAGAAGGAAAGGAAAGAAACGAGATAAAAAAGGAAAAAAACAAAAAGAAAACAAGCAGAGCAAACCCAGAACATGTCAAAATGTCAAAATCAACGCTGGGCGACTCATGGACCTTCACTCCCACACGGGAAGGTGAAGTGAGCTGTGACAGGTGTGAGCGAGCACGGCTCTCCACTCCCACTTGCGGAGAAGATGCCGAGGCTGACTGACGCCTTGAGGGTCGCAACCGGCTGACCCGGTAGTTATCGCCAATGCCCTTGTCTTCCTCGCAGCACGTTTCGTTCGTTTCATCTCCCTGGCCCCCACTTTCCTGCACGCCCGCCACCTTTATCAGCTCCAGTCCCCAGACAGGCGCGTGGGCTGGAGATATGGGGGGACGTCAGCCGAGATTCCAGATTCGCGATCCCGATCCCGGAGAATTCAGGGAGGAAAAGGAATATATAGCGTAGTACACGCTTCATCGGAATTGGAGACGAATAATTGAGAAGAGCATGTTCTGCAGCACGTGCAGCATCACAGCGACACACGTCGGCAGCAACTCAGGCCAAACGATAAAATCAAGCTTTCCCTCGGTGACAACGCTGACACGGTAGAACCAGCGAATCAAGCCGGCAACGATGAAGCTGGTGACGAGCTCGCAGGCCCAGGTGATGCTCGAGGCGTAGAAGGTCAGGCCAAAGTCGTAGTCCTCATTCTCCTCCGTACCGTCGAATGCGAAATACGGGTAGACGTCCTTGTTGGCGCCAAAGTGCAGTACCACCACGCTGCCGAGGAAGGTGAGCATGGAGGCGTTCTCGGCGATGAAGCGGATGAAGACGTTGCGGATGCAGATTTTTTGGTACGAGCCGTAGCTTTGGCCGTTGACGCCGATGACGGTGAGGAACCAGTGGAATGGAGCGGACATGAGGATCGGAGTGACGATGATGAGACCGGTGGAGGAGAGGATCTGGAGCGCAATGAACTGTTCGGGGCTGCGTAGACGTGCGTATAGCGCGCGGACGTAGGTTTGGTAGGTGAGCATGAAGTACCTAAACACGTTTTGGTTAGGCCCACGACATTCAATACCGGCCAGAGACACAAAAGTTTAGTGGAAAGCCACTCACAGCTTGAAGATCCAACTCAGCGGGTAACTCCCGACGCGCTCGCCCTCGTTCCCTCCGAGAATCCACCCTGTCACTCCGTCTAGCAGGTAGACGGTCGAGATCCACCCGTACACGTAGACGATCGTCTCCAAGTTGTTATGCGGCAGAGTTCGCAGGTAGATCTCAGCATATGCTTCTCCTATAACGTACGCCACCAACCCGATGAACAGCGCTAAACAAAACCACACGAAGCGAACAAAGCTTGCCGGGAGCCACCTGCGACGCAGTCTGACAGTAATGGGTGGCGGCTGGTAGTGGCTGTCTGTAAACCCAACCGTCGACGCATCCAGGCTTGCCTCAAAGGCGTGAGGATCTAGGGCGGGTCGATTCCGTCTCCCCACGCTTCGGGGGGTGGGATCTGGTTCACCGGCCCACCAGGACGAGGTAAAAAGCCGCTGCGTTTCGGAGAGAGTATGCCGCAGTTTCAAATGGCGCTCGTTAGTCGTGAGGATGAGGAAGGCGATAGCGACTGGCATCGCCATGATGACAAAGGTCCAAGAGATCCAAGCCGTGTTGTGGATAGTGAGGAACTTGGACTCGGGAATGAGGTAGATGGGTATCGGGGCCGCAATCGAGAGGACGGCAATAGCGGATACGGTGATGGGAAACCCGAGCGACTGTGGCCACCAGTTGAGGCTGTACAGGTTGAACACTTTGGTGATCCATATCAAGGCGGTCAAGTTGTAGAAGCTGTAGTAGACGAAGACAAAAAACCAAAAGTTGACCCGGACCCGGGCAGCACCGTGACCAGGCACCTTACTGCCAGGAGCGGCTCTCGGTACTCCGGGTGGATGTAATTCACCGTCGTTGCTCGCAAGGGGGTACTGCGGAAAGGGTATCGAGACCCATGAAACAGCCTGCCGGAAAGTCAGTCTATCGCATCCCAACCGCACAAAATAATAATACCAACCGCCAGCCAGCTTGTGACATCAATCAACTTCAACAGATAGAGAGCAAACCACCACTTACCAATAACGCCGGCAATACCACCAAGGTAAACCACCTACTCCACCACACATCCACCACTCTCCTGACCACGCTCGCCTTCGGGTCAACCCACACATCCGCAAGCCGCCTAGCAAACCTCCTCGCAACCCCCGTCCCGCAACATCCCACCTCATCTCCCCCCTCATGGTCTCCATACCCAGCCCTCTCTCTAGCCTCCTCTTCCTCCTCTTCCACAGCCGCAACAACCAACGCCCCATACCCAACATATACACTCCCCCTCCATCCCGGATCCCCCGATAACAGCCCCATCTGCCCGCCTCCTCCCATCCCACTCCCACTCCCTCTAGCACCAAACCCTAACCCTGACCTCCCACCACCTCCCTGTCCCAATCCCCGACTTGTACTCCCCGACGACCGCGGCACAGCACGGAACCGGCCAAGCAACGGCGACGCTTCAGAGGGGTGACGGACATTTTGGGCGCGTTCCGAGCCCTGCTGGAAAGAGAAGAAAGAGGCTGTGGGGGGGAGGGTAGGTTGTTGGGTAGCGGTCGACGCATAGGATAGGCGGGAGTTGGAGGAGCGCGAGTTGGAGCGGGAGTTGGAGCGGGAGTGGGACGGACGTGAGGAAGTTGAGGGCGGCGGGAGGGAGGGTCGTCGTGAAGGAGCTGGGGGTGGTGGGTGTCGTCCGTTTGTTCGGTAGGGCGCTCGGGCGTCCCACCCCGCGAGTCCGAGCCCGTGGTGGTGCTGGTCGCGGGGAGGGGAGGTTGTGCTTTGGGTGTTTCCCATTCGATGGTTTCTTTGGGGGATTCGAGGTTGTTGGACGGTAGAGTTTATTAATGACGCGTTCCCGCGAGGAGCTCGAGGGGTGGTTGCTGGTTAGTCGTGCCGCTATCGGATCGAGAGGCGCATGGTTGTAATGATCGGAGTGTATGCCCGTTCTCGCGCGTTGATTTAATGTTAGGTAACCGCGATAGGCGCGCTTAGTGCCCCTTGTCGCAAGCACTATTCCCTTCGTATCGTCGGACCGTACGGCCAGAAAGAAATCGTGAAAATATCCGGTGTAAGCTCGCCTTTCCTTTGAAAGTCGTGGTAGGTCACGGTTTTGTTGGTTTTGTCTTGTCACACGATCCATCGGCTGCGGCCCGGATTCAGGGTCCAACGAATTTCCCCAAGACCCCTGTCAGCAGCTCAGCTCAGCAGCTCAGTTGGGCCGCCAAGCCCCTGGTCCTCTGACATCATCGGCTTCATTGTAGTGCTCAGTAGTGGTCTAAAGGTGTACATGTCGATTTGAGAACAAAATGCAAAAAAAAAGAACTCAGAAACTAGAAGCATGGTGTTTTGGAGAATGATCGAAATAGAACACAACTACGACAACATGGGGCATCCCTCACTGCCCGCCAGCTTCCCCACCTTAATCCGTACATCCACTACAACATCCACTTCAGGATCAAGTACATACCTGATCCACGGCGAACAACCCTGGAGCCGGGTCCCCGCGGTCGCTCGTTGCTGCAAGGTCCCTCCAAGACACATCACATCCTAAAACTCCGCTGGCGCATTGTACATGCCGACATTTCAATGACAACCGCTCCATGATCGGTCCTTGAAATTCGTAATAACTCGCGATTTCTCGATCTCAAACAGTATCTCTCCCCACCCATCCCCATCGCCTTCAAGTCTTATTGCCCGTCCTCCTGGTTGGGAGGTTGACTCAACCTCTGAAACCCAGCCAACACCTCCCTATCCACGTTCACCGTCCAATTCTCCTCAAACGCCTGCTCGCCACCAACCCGCTGCACCATATCCCCCAACCGCGCCCGGACAAAGTCATACGTCACAACGCGATGTACCGGGTCCTTGAAAACGAACTCCCGCTCTGCCACGTCCCGGGGCGTGTCGTACTCGTACTCGCCGACCTCATTCCAAACAAGGCTATCACTTGCCCCAAGCGGGCCCTCAGTTGTTCCGTCGGCCAACTCCGTCACCACGCTCGTCCACATCGACAGGTAATCCTGCAGACGGCCCAGCACCAGATCTTGCACCGGGCTAGGCAGCTCCCACAGGCGGGCTAACGCCAGACAGGAGAGCTTTTCGCGCTCGACATCCCCCATGCAGTCAAAGTTGGCGAACCACTGGTTGCTGAGCCAGGGCCAGACCTGGTCGATAGGACTGCCGAAGCTGCTGAGCATGCTGACGAGCAGAGATGGGTCGGCGAGGGCGATGCGCGCAAGGATAGCGAAGTAATCCGTCTCCTTGATGGTGTTGATTTTGCTCGGTTTCCGGTTGGGGCCCGTGGTCTGGCTGGATTCCCACGAACTATGCAGCCCCTCAAGGATGGTCCGCAGCACGTTGGTTTCGAGGAGGTCCTGGACGACCAGCGAGACCCCTTGCGAGCCGCCAAATTCTTCCGCCGCGCGGATGATGAGCTCGATGGATTTCGTGCCGAGTTGTGACTGGTCTCGGCTTTTCGAATCGAGCGCCTTGGCCAATGCCACGAGGGTTGGGCGGCGGAGCGAGTCACCTAGGATGTCTTGCGGCGCGAGGAGAATGTAGTCCTTGACGATACCCAGACACTGGTTTGCCACCGCTGAATCATATTCCGCGAGGGGCAAGGCCAAGTGTACCATTTGTATGAGGTCCGGGTGCAATGGCGGCGAGCTCTGGGTTAGAACGGCCGTCCACAGATCGACCGACTCCTCTATCAAGTAGAGATGGAGCGGCGATGCGGGATTCATAGCTTCTCGGAGGAATGGGATAATAACACCCTGGTACCGCTGTGATTCAACACGCATAGAGGACACCAGGGCCGACATGATTGCCAGCACCGACTGCTTGACCATGTACTCCTCGCCGCCTTGGGATTCCCACAGTTTCGGTAGCGTCAGCATGATCGCGTCTCCAAACTGCGTTACGTGGGTCTCCATGCGGCTCACAAGGAGCCGGATCGTTTCGAGGATAGCGATCTTCGTCTCATCACTCCCCACCTCCTCGATCAAGTTGACCAAAAGGTTGAAGACGTCACTCGCGAAGGGGTAAAAGCTTTCACCAGTAAACTCAAAATCCTCGGCAATGTACTTGAGCTGGCGCGCCGCCGTTATGCGCACAACTTCGTCGTTGTGTTGGTCGTCAGGGTTCATGATGTGGCGGAGGATGTCGTAGACAATAGGTCGGGTCTCTTGTGAGATCTTGACTGGCGTCCACTGGCTTAACAGGATGGCAATCCGACGGCGAAGCAGCTTCGCCATGGGGTCCTGGATCTGGGCATCTTTGACCAGGCAAGTCGTGAGAAACTGATCAAAGTCAAACTTTTCATGGATGAGCGCGGCGGCGCAGCCTAGAGCGCAGTACGCGGCCTCCTTGGTAACGATGTCCATGTCCACCCTTGTGGCGAGATTGCAGTACGCAAGTAAGGGCTCACCAAGCTCCTTGTAATGAGTGAGCAAGTCGAGAAGCAGTCTCTCTGCGCAGGGCCGTACGGCCCATTCATACGCCTGACCCTCAATCCGCTCCTGTGACTCCCATCCTTCCGGGTCCTCTTCCCACGCTTCAAGGTCCGACTCGCGGAATATGAATAGCTTACTGACAATGACCTGCATCATGTCAATAAGGGTATCCCTGGTAAATAACTCTACCCGAAGAGTATGCACGGCCTGCTTCTCTAGCTCTTTGGCCTCGGGACTCCGGTATTTGAAGGTCATAACCGGTTTGAATGCAATTGAAACGCAACTCCTTAGGAGAAGGAGTCCCTTGAGGGCAAGCTTCTCGTAGAGTGGACCTTCTTGCTTCGGGCCGCCTCCCACGGCCGTATTTGAAGTTTGCTTCAGGCCCCCGGACTTCTTGAACACCTCGGAGAACCCCTTGACTAGATTCCAGTACGCCCTAACTAATGACATCGACCCTGGAAGCACCGGGAAACTAGCGGGGTGAGTCTCAGACATGTCGATGTGAAGTTTGGTAAACTGGATCAGGTGTTTGCCGACCGCGTCGTGGTACTGCGCTGGAATCCACGAGTCCTGGCTGACGCCATTGAGGAACTGGTCGAACTGCGTTTGAGACAGCGACCAAAACCCGCTAACCACACCGTCTAAATGCGGTTGTTCGTAGCCGATGGTGACCAACCGGCGCAAGATTTTGAGGGCCATCAGGCTGTTTTCGAGGGCGAATCCCACGCTGTTATCGTCGCTACTCCCCTTCGACCACGACTCTTGCCAATAGGTTGTCTTCTCGGTGTAGATGTGCCCGAGTAGCTGGACTAGCTCAGGCGTGATAGCCTGCAGGGCTGTTTGGGACTTACGCAGGCGAGCCGTGCCAAGCTCCTTGACAATCCGGAGCATCGTCAAGAGAGCGCCCCGCAACTGCAGCGGATTGGATGTAATAGCCGCCTTTGTCATGTCGATGAGGCTGGAGAAGGCGTCTGGCCACTCGTGTGGGTAGTCGATCCTGACAATTTTGGCGGTAACGAGGGCATTGTGTAATGCGAGACTCCTGTCTTCTTCGTTGAGCGAGCCTTGGAGCAGACGCGACCGTATCGCCTGTCTCGTCTCGGGTTTAATGGCATTTTTTGTGGTGTGATGTCTCCAGTATTTCTCGATTCCGTTTTTGATTAAGATGATAGCGAGGAAGCGGACCTGCTTGTCCTGCGTAGTGTCGAGATAGATGGTCTGCAGGTGATATTCGAGTGAGCAAGTGGCCAAGGGATCCGTAAGGGAGGAGGGTTACCTGGAGATGGAGATAGAAATCCGGTTGAGTCTCCCACGATTGGAGTTGTTGACCGGCGGACTGCCTCTGGGAATGATCTGTGGAAGTAGCAGCACCGCTAAGGGCCTTGACCAACTCCCACTGGCTGAGAGGGGCAGCTTCGCCGGCAACTTCGATCGCGAAGCTCATTTTGCCTTATGGTTCCAAGACTATGCGTGGCCGCAAAGAACCCCGAGTGAATGCCTTTCGGTGACAATACTAGTTTCGTGGAGGTAACGAGCGTCGAGGTAGCCTATGCGGCCCTCGCAAGTCAAAAAAGTCACTCCAAATTGGAGATACCGATGGTGGTTGGCTAAATGAATGGCTTGGATCTTGGGCTGCAGGCAGGCAATGGTGGGGTCAAGGTTGAGGTTCGTTGAATAGAGGGGCAGACCCACTGCCTTGTCGGGAGCCGGCTGCCGGCAAGGTTCCTCTTTGTCGGGATTGAACCTGGTACGTGTACCCATGAAAAACCGGGGCCACATTCTCGCAGGCTGAGACTTTGGGTATGGAATACTAAACAGTATGAGGTTAACGGGAATTTCTACTTGCCTGTGCTGTCAACAGCAAGCAAATATATTTACAGTGCCTGGGCCATGCCATTCCCTGTCAGTCAAAGGCACGATGCCCGGCGGATGCCCCGTGGTTTTAAACCACTCGAGGATTCGGCCGCTGGGTCCTAGAGGTTGCCGTATAATCTAAGAACTCGAATGTTTATGCTCCGACTTACAAGGAAGAGGTTGATTGTAACTCTGAGCTGGGTCTACACTACCTTATGCTCCGCACTTAAAAAGGCCAGTGCCCAGTCAGCCCAGGCACTGTCCAGATCTCAAAATTGTGGGGTTACTACCCCGGCACAACGCATGCTGCATTGCCAGGGGCCGGCCGGCTTTCAGCTGCAAGCAACCTCGGCTTCTTGCCGCTCGCGTCGGCTCTACCCCAGCACCATCGGCTCATCTTGCGATCAACGAAACTTGCCTCTGGCAACAATGCCCTTCAACAGCCTGGGAGACCCTTCGCCAGGATCCCGGCGAACCACTCTTCCACTGCGATAATGAGCGATTCCGACCCCAAAAGCGACCGCAACGGCGCCCCCGCTGGCGCCCGTCCTGACGCGAGCAGCGCCAGCACCAGCGTCAGCGCGAACCCCAGTATCAGCCCAAATAATGCCAACTCCGACAACACCTTTGCCCAAGCCCAACAGCGTCTCGCCGCCCGCCGACAAGCCCGCGAAACCGCCGCGGCCGCACAAGCTGCCGCCCAGCAATCCGCTTCACAACTCCGCGTGCGCATCGCCGCCTCCCAGTCCCCCTTACTCCGACGCCTCGGCGCGTCCACCCTCTCCCTGTGGGACACCATCTCGAGTCGCGAGGGCACACGCCCGGCGTTCCGTGTGGGCCAGGTCGATGCCGAGTTGTTAGATGAAGAGTTGGTGGAGCTTCTGCGCGGGCAGGTGAGCGACGCGCTCAAGTACCTTGGTGGCGGTATTGGAGGCGGAGCCGGAGGTGGCGGTGGTGGTGGTGGGAACTCGGCTCTGCGGGATTGGGATGCGGAGATATCGCTTCTCTTGAGGGCGGTTCTGTTCAAGCTGACGGTGTGGGATCACGACGCGACATACGGGGCGGCGCTGCAGAATCTGAAATATACGGATGCACGGAAGACGGGGCCGGCGTTGGTTGCCCCCAGCAGATGGCAGAAGTCGCTGTATGGGTTGATTACGGTCGGGGGCAGATATGTATGGGCGAAATGGGAGGATTGGTTGATGGAACAGGACGATGGGTTTGAAGGCCCGACTCCGACAATCCAACGGTTGTCGAATTGGAGCTCAACGCTATCCACAGTCCACGCTTCCGCCGCATTTGCCTCCTTTGTGGTGTTCCTACTCCACGGCCGGTACAGGACACTCCTAGATCGGGTCCTGCGCATGCGCCTAGCACCACCAACAAGCCAAGTCAGCCGCGAAGTATCCTTCGAATATCTAAACCGACAGCTTGTGTGGCACGCGTTCACCGAGTTCCTCTTGTTTGTGCTACCCTTGATTGGTATCAACAAGTGGAGGCGATGGCTAGCACGGACTTGGCGGAAGACGAAAAAGATCATGAGCACGAGCACGAGCGCGGATGGCGCGGGAGATGAAAAGAAGGGCGAATTCTCGTTCCTCCCCGAACGGACATGCGCCATCTGCTACCAGGACCAAAACTCGGTATCAAATGAGAATGACCTCATGGCCGCTACCTCGAGTGGCGTTGTCGGATCCGCGCAAACAGACATCACCAACCCATACGAAACCGTACCTTGCGGGTGTATCTACTGCTTTGTCTGCTTGACGACAAGGATAGAAAGGGAGGAAGGGGAAGGGTGGGGTTGTCTCCGATGTGGCGAGCTCGTCAAGGAGTGTCGGCCGTGGAGCGGGGATGTGCTCGAACCAGAGGCCAAATTCCCTGCGACCAAGACTGTTGTGTTCGCTGACGATGTCAAAACTCTACCGGATGACGAAGACAACGAGGAAAGCAGGGACGGCGAGGAAAGGGAGCGGGCGCAGGAGCAGGAAGCTGAAGGGGAGGAATCAGATATTGGAGATGAAGAGGGCTCTCGGGTTTTAGTCGAAGAGTACCCGGATGAAAGTGTGGAGGAGCTCCGCCCGCCGACACCGAGTATGGGGTCTGACCAAGCAAGCGCGTCGGAGGCATCCGGGTCGGAGGATTATGAGGTGGAGGAGGATGATTTGAAGGAGGATATAGAGAGTTAACCTGCGTAGTTTCCACATTACCCGTGGGGGCTGGGTAGAGCGGGCTGCGGATATTAAGCTAGCACTGTGCCATATACTTACTGTTACAATATTTTCAAATGTATTCTGTCACTGGACTGTACGCTAGGTTGCTGGTGCTTAAGTGTGGGGGTGAACATACCATCCGGCACAGAGTTACGGGTTAGTGGGAAGAGATTGTAATTGCACGGCAAGCTCGCCGGAGAACATGAAAGTTGGGCCGTGGATCTGGGCGCAACCGGAGCACCGGCTTGTGGCGGAGTGTATGTACATAACGTCAACAACACTATGACTTCCTCAAGGCAGAAGAGCATGAGGAGACTCAAGGGCAGGGCAAATAAGGGGCGTGGGTGACTGGTCCCAATCACAGGGCGGGCACGCCGGGCCGTGAAGTGGTGCCATGCATTAGGAAGTCGTGGCCTACAGTCCCGAGCAGAACATGCTGCAACAGCTTGTCCCACGCCGAAAAGTCCAAGTATACAAGCGGCACACATGTCGGAGACCGGTTAGGAAAGAGCAACACGGGCCGGGACGCACAGAGCCTTTCTGGGCTGCAGGAGAGGCTCCATGTACTCTTTTTGAATTCGTGTTAGTGGAGGCTAAAATAATGTATGTGAAAAAGATCCTCTCGACTACCCCCTTTAGCACGGGCCCGGCTTTCGGTACATCGCACAGCTGAAAAGACAGTGTTGGGCAAAATGAGACTGCCCGCCTCCGTCCTGTGTTAAGTCCACGCCGCCGCATGATTAAGGAGCCATCAGCCTTGGGTCCCTTTGCCGCTTATGCCGTTCCTTTTCATTCCCGACCAACATGAGAAGGACAGAAAAAAATAAGAACATTCCCGCCGACCATTGTAATGCCCACCCCCATCATCTTTTTACTTACCCCTTTTGACACTTGCACGTAGGTAAGGCTGCGGTTGTGCCGGCAATCCATCCAGTCCAAATTCTGACATCGCGGCTTTTCATCCGATGAGTCGTCTCACTTGATGCTGCGACACAAATTGTAGCATGTGTCAGCCGTTTACGACGGCCCGTTGCTGGGGCCCAAGGGGCATTAGGGGCGGCTGACGCACACGGCTCTCCTGTTACCACTGGGCTTTTACCATTAGGTTTCTTCGCATTTGAAGCTGACCTGACAGACGACGCATTGGGGCAAAGCTGAGGGCCCATAGAGTGTGGCGGGCAGTGATGGCTATGCGGCCTCGTTCGTGCTCCCTTCGTCCTCGACACTATGGCACCGTTAGGAAACCCCAGGGGGGGTTACCATGAACGGGTTGGCCTCATGCAAAGATCGTCGGGTGGATAACTGTGGGCGTCAAGAAGAGTATATATACTCCATGGTATATTGATATAGTGAAACAATAGCAATAGAAAGAGAAAAATCAGGCATATACAACATGATCGTTTCCATCATCTCTCCAAGCAAGCTCACATCCCGCATTCCCAAGAGTGGACTGCGGTGTGGCTTCTTATTTTGCCATAAAAGCGACCCCCCTACATCTTCTTCCCCAGAGCCGATGAAAGTGCTCGCGGGCTCTCACAGCATACGAAGATTCAATCCTCATCTAAATACTTCGTTGACACAAACCGCCGGTTTGTTCATCCCATTACGCCTTAGTGGCAACGAACAGCCGGGGGTCAGGCGTGGTAAAAGTTTGATCGAACAGCTCCGTACGGGAGCTGCCAACACCGCATATCCACAGTCGGAATGAGTGGTGCGCTATGATCGTCGAAGAAGAAGCGATTAGAAGTGCTCCTTCCAGAACCGGAAGCGGACCTCGCGGGCTGTAGCCGTTTTAGCCGCCTTCTTGATATCACGAGCTGTGTCGAGGTGTTAGCTTGGCAGGTCAAGTCAAGTGGGGGAAAAGAGTGTCGAAGAACATACCAGCTGCAGAGGGACCGCAGAAGTATACACCAACGGTTGTCCTCATGTTGCCCTCTAGGCCGCTAAGATAGGTGCGATCGAGGATACCGTCGCGCATGCCGGTGAAGAGTTTGGTGAAGTTGGGACGGCCAAAGTTGGTCCGCGACTTGAGCTCCGTGAGCGGATCCACGGTGGCGCCAACACTGTTCAGCACAATGTTTTCCATCATGTCCCGGTCAAGCTTCTGCGTCAGATAGGTATGGATCTTCAAGAACTCGACACCGCTAGAGCCAGGAACGCGAGCTGCTTCGCTAGATTGCTGCTCCAGAGACGAGAGAAGCGTCTGGAACCACTCGAACGAGCTCGTATCCTTGCACACCCAGATGAACTCAACACGGCGCAGGCGGGTGGGCGGGTTCGGCCCGTTCCGCAAGTGCCAGATGTTCTTGAGAATCGAGGCCCACGGCGTGACACCAATACCGGTTCCGATCAGAACAGCAATTTCGTTCTCAAATACATCCTCCGCGGGCGCGCCGTACGGCCCGTCAATGCGAAGGGTGGGCATTTGTTGGCCGTTCTGGAGTGCCACTTCGTACATGCCCATAGGATCGACACCTTCGTACACCTTGCTCTGCGCCGAACCGGCACCCACGCGGTCGCCAAGTGCTCTGGTGAAATCACCGACCTGCCGAATGTGGACCGAAACGTAAGGGTCGAACGGGCAAGACGTGATGGTAAACGGATGCCACTGGTATTTCGACACTTCGGGGACCTGAAGGAACAACCACTGGCCGGCTTTGTACTTGAAGGACGGCTTGTTGAATTGGATCTCGACCGCATCTGAGGCACGTCAGATACCAACCTCCCTCATGTGGAATAGCTCCTTTTGGGGGGGCGGTGGCGGGGGGATTCGACTCACCGTAAGGGTGTCTGATGACACGTGTGATCTTAGTCTCGCGCATCGCGCGGATCTCACGATAGAGCCGCTCCAGGAGGTAGAAGCCGCCGGTCCACATCTCCCATCTCCAACCCAGGTACCCAATACAGTGCGTCCAATAGTCATCACCAGCGAAAGGTGAGAAACCCTCTTTCGAGTCACGCACGAAGCACCCAACAGTATGCGTATAAAGTGCAAGGAAAAAGGGGATGAAGAGATGGTGCATATACCAAAACGTTTCGAATGATTGTTGCCGAATGCGATGGTGCGCAGTCGTATACATTAGAAGCATGCAGAGAAGCATCGTGTGGCCAGTGATACCACCGGGTTGGGCGTAGTGAATCTGGAGGGCGGACACCGGGCGAATCTGGGTCTTCTCGACGTTGTAGAAGCTATGAAAAGTCAACAACGCGTCACCATCTGAAATGACTGCATGACCTACTTGACGTAATGTGCTGTGGTATGGAGGATGGTGAACAGCAATAGAGCATATGCGAGTTGCCTGTGCATCCAAATGTTCTCGTCAAGGGGGATGAACCTGATCTTTGGACGGAAAAATCGCATGATGGTTCGGCAGACAGGCAGAAGGATGAGCATTCCATCGACACTCAATATCAAACCAGCACCCCGTGAGATCCACACGGAGTACTGGAGCGCATTAAGGCCCGCCAAACGTGGGTCGGATTCTTGCTTATACCTATAGGTCTCGTGTTAGTCAAATGTCGAACTCAAATCCGTAACAGGCATCACGCCCCAGCAAAACGTACCATCCATAAGCAAAGATGCCCCATTGGAATGTCCAGAAAAGGACATGGAACAGAAGCTTAGTCGGCGTGAGCTGCTTCTTCAGCAGCGTCAGGAGCGGCATCTTGCCGGACGTCCTCCTCTTATCTCCGTTCGAAATACGGGATATCGATGTCGTCCTGCGACTAGGTGGGTGCCGGCAACTTTGACTAGCGGCCGGTATTGAAATGCGACCAGTTTGTTTTAGTTGTCCGTCTCTTTCGACGTCCCCCAAGATATTAACACTTATAAAGTCGCAATATTATTCGCCGAGGACAAGAATTAAAACAAAGGGCGGACCGAACTAGGCCGTAGCAACGACGAGAGGCTGAAGAAGAAAATAAGTCCGCGAAAGCGAGTAAATAAAAAGAGCGTTCTGAGCCAGCAGCTGAAGAAATGAAGGGTGCGACGACGAGAGGCACTCGCTGAAGAGGTCTCGGTTCTTAGCCTCGCCAAGTGAGAGAAGAGAGGAAAGGTTGAGAAGAACGGGTGAAGGACGTAGTAATGCCGTGGCGGGAGCGTGGTCAAAAGAGACCGGCCACGGGGAGCGCCGAGCAATCGGAAACCAGATGATGCAAGGTCCTCTCTCCCACCCGCGAAGCGCACATCAACGCTCACAAGGAGCGGAACAAGGCCGGATGCAACGGCAGCACAAGCCGTGCCCTTGGTCTCCCTCCTCCTTCCTCGTATCGCCCTGTTCAGCCCTGCAAGACGTGGAACCAGAGTCTTCTTCGCGTGCCTCCGGGGCTACGAAACTTCCAAACGGATCAAAAACTCCCACGTTGATTTTGAGAATCGCCCCTCGGCAAGGGTATCGTTTGTGGGGAAGGGCGAGGTTTGTGCGGATAATGGAGTTCGACGGGGGGGTTGGGGGGTTGAAGAGGCAGGGGGTTGCCGGGAGATCAGACGTTGGAGGCGGTTTCGTGGTCGCAAAATCTGTGTCAGATGTATGGACCCTGCCAAGCGTCGCTCTTAGAGAAACGGGGTCGTTTGCGATGATGGCAAGCGCGTCGAAGATGAGACGAAAGTTGTGAGAGGCGCTTTGACAGAGGGGTCTGGTTTGGGGCGACCTTGGTGTTTCGTCTGGACAGGGGTTCGTAGAAGTACTGGCAAGACGCTATGGTTTTCAAACCGGGTTGGCGAAAAGGCGCGAACAAGAAAATCTCACTTGCAATTGAGTCTAGGTCGATAGCTCGTAGTTGCTAAGTACGCCAGATGCGTTTTGTGACATGGCCAGGCGAAAACCAATGTGGGAGTTGAACAGTCGAGGTTTTGTTCGCGAGGCCACTCGACCTAAGAATAGCTGGGGACAGCCAAGAAACGAAGTCGGCGGGCGGGCGCTTAAGCATTGGTGAACTTCGCTTTGGATTTGTCCCGAGAACGTGGCCCAGCACGCTAACCGAATTTCGGCTAGGCGCTTTCAGAATATCGAAGGGGCAAGCCAATCAGAGCCGTGATGCCTGAGCGACCCTGACGCCAAGGCCCTTGATGCGGGTGAGCGAGGAGTACCTTTGAATGGGTGTGTCTCGGCAGGCTGCATCTCCGGTTCCTCACTTGAAAGTTGAACCTCTCGAGGATGCCGAAAGCTCCCTTACGTGTACGTGGTACGGGCGGTAGCGTAAGAGCCGATTCAGGGCCCGACCGCCATATTTCTTACCAATAATATACATGTTTTGGCCAGAAGAGATGAAGGTGGGGATGGTCACTGTAGGCGGTTGCAATCCGTCCGTATCGTCGGGGTTTTTCCTTTGGGCTTGACCTCAATGTAAGCTTGTTAAGGGGGGGGGCTAAAACATGGTGCAACACGAAACGGGGTTAGATGTCGTGAGACTGTCCTGGTTTTCGTCTACGTAAATTAGCGAGAAAGTACCCTTCCTTACCCTGCCGTCACTGAGAGGGCAGCGTCGTCGTAGAGTAGTGGAAGGGCTCAAGGGACGGAAAACCCCGAACCATAACCAGCTTCCTCTTGTGTTGCGACGGACGTCCGAGAACGAAGCCCAGAAGGAACGTCACCATTCCCGGTATCGCGAGACAGCGCTTAGGAGTTACAACGGCACCGCCCGGGACGCTCGGTCCTTCGCGAAACCGTTGATCCCGAAAAAAAAAAAGGATATGTGTGAGTTGTCGGGATCGAATCCTCGGTGACTTCTCGCTGCCCATGGCCGGCTATTGGGCGAAAAGTCTAGGAGCGTTTACTGGTGAGAGTTTAACGACTCGACCGCGCTCCTCGTCGGTGCAACGCGAGGGAAGCAATTCCGTCAGTCGGCGGATGGCGAAGATAGACAACGTAAAGTTAAGTGAGCTGGGATTTCGAAAAACCGTTGACATGAAAGCATGCTCTTATAATAAAGTTCCCCTGCTGAATCTGGGCCCATTGGTAACACCTTCTCTCATCCTAAGACCTGGCCCCATGCCAGCCCTCGACGATCCGGGTCGCGCCGCACGTGGGGAATCGTACGATTTTTGCAGCTGTCTAAAGACAGTGACCATGAAGGCCGACGCGGGCCAAATATAAGATCCCCGAGAGCTCGATCATCGAGCGCCTTCCTTTCCCTAGACGCAGCGATGTTGCCATTCTGTCAAGGAGCTCCCGTTGGGTGTTGGCCTCTTGGGCATGCGCCGCGGAAGCCTTTCTTTCCCTCTCCACAAAGTCTTATCATCAAAACATCGGTAAGGGGAAGTAAAAGAAAACGGACAAACATATCAAAAGTGGCTTGACCGGCCATTTCCGTTGGGAGCTCCTCGCGCTTGCGTGGCATCGGCGCTCCAGTCCCGCGGCACCCAAGGAGAAGGCTGTGGCTGAGTTGAATTTACGCGTGGAAAAGTGGAGCTTGGCTTCCGTCAGCAGTGCTCTGATTGGATGGTCCCTTTGAATCGCAGGGGAATTCAAGCCCCAGCTTCCCGCAGCCAGATTGCCCCACCAAGTTTGGCACGCCTTTCGTCACTGCGCAGAAGCGCCCCATTTCGCCAGGAGAGAATCAGGCACCGTTCGCCCCGAGGATCGCCTCCCTAAAAACCTCGAAAAGAAAAGAGGCATCCTTCAACGCTCCTCTTGCCGTTGTTGCCTCTCCGCACCTCGGCCATCGACAACTTTGACCTACCAGCGCACTTGCGCACCCGCACGAACCCCCTATTTTCAACCCCGGCTTGATTGCCCTTTAATCTAATTGCTAGTCTTCGGGAACCACGCGCATGACCAGCCCACCATGGTGAGCATCATATTACTGAATTCAAAACTTCGGGCTCTCCTAACAGTATTCACATTGTAGGGCATCACTCGACGTGCAAAAGACAAGGCCGCGCGTGCCGAGCGCGGCGGCGGGGGCGGGAAGTCGGGGGGAGCCAAACCTAAGAAGGCGACCTTTGACACAACAAAAAAGAAGGAGATTGGGGTCTCGGACTTGACGTTGCTGCGTACCGTATCCAACGAGGCGATCAACGAAAATTTGAAGAAGCGCTTCGAGGGCGCCGAAATCTACACCTACATTGGCCATGTCTTGGTTTCGGTCAACCCTTTCCGCGATCTCGGCATCTATACCGACCAGGTTCTCGACAGCTACCGGGGGAAGAACCGGCTGGAGATGCCACCGCACGTTTTCGCCATTGCCGAGTCCGCCTACTACAACATGAAGGCGTACAAGGAAAACCAATGCGTGATTATCTCGGGCGAGTCGGGTGCCGGAAAGACCGAGGCCGCGAAGCGGATTATGCAGTACATCGCCAACGTCTCGGGTGGGGGCGAAACGGGCGACATTCAGCAGATCAAGGACATGGTATTAGCTACCAACCCGTTACTAGAGTCGTTCGGGAACGCAAAGACGCTCCGCAACAATAACTCGTCGCGTTTCGGCAAGTACCTGCAGATCCACTTCAACGCGCAGGGCGAGCCAGTGGGTGCCGATATCACCAACTACCTTCTCGAGAAGTCCCGTGTCGTCGGGCAAATCACCAACGAGCGCAACTTCCATATCTTCTACCAATTCACGAAGGGAGCGTCGCAGCAATACCGGGAAACGTTTGGTATCCAGAAGCCGGAGACATACATCTACACCAGCAAGTCCAAGTGTCTCAATGTCGACGGGATCGATGACTTGGCCGAATATCAAGACACGCTGAATGCGATGAAAGTCATTGGACTTACCCAGGCGGAGCAGGACAATATTTTCCGGATGTTGGCGGCTATCCTATGGACGGGCAACTTGGTGTTCCGCGAAGATGATGATGGATATGCGGCAGTGTCGGATCAGTCCGTTGTGGACTTTTTGGCATACCTGCTCGAAGTCGACTCCGCCAGCCTCGTTCACGCCATCACTATCCGTGTTCTTACGCCCAGGAACGGGGAGGTCATCGAATCACCAGCGAACGTGGCGCAAGCGACGGCCACCCGGGACGCCCTGGCCAAGGCGATCTACTATAATCTGTTTGACTGGATCGTGGAGCGGATCAACCAGTCCTTGAGGGCGCGGCAGGCTGCTGCCAACTCAATCGGTATCCTTGACATCTACGGCTTCGAAATCTTTGAGAAAAACAGCTTTGAGCAGCTCTGCATCAACTATGTGAATGAGAAGCTACAGCAGATCTTTATTCAGTTGACCCTAAAAGCAGAGCAGGAGGAGTACGCCCGGGAACAGATCAAGTGGACCCCTATCTCTTACTTTGACAACAAGATTGTGTGCGACTTGATCGAGTCCATCCGGCCCCCTGGTATCTTCTCTGCTATGAAGGACGCAACGAAGACCGCCCACGCCGACCCCGCCGCTTGCGACCGCACGTTTATGCAGGGCATCAACGGGATGTCGAACCCCCACTTAACGCCTCGCCAAGGAAACTTCATTATCAAACATTACGCCGGCGACGTGACCTACACAGTGGACGGCATCACGGACAAGAACAAGGACCAACTTCTCAAGGGCCTGCTCAACCTCTTCCAGGGTAGCCAGAACAAGTTCCTCCACACCATCTTCCCACACCAAGTGGACCAGGACAACCGGAAGCAACCTCCGTCGGCGGGCGACAGGATCAGAACCTCCGCCAATGCGCTCGTGGAAACACTAATGAAATGCCAGCCCTCGTACATCCGAACCATCAAACCGAACGAGAACAAGTCGCCCAGCGAATACAATGTTCCCAACGTCCTCCATCAAATCAAGTATCTGGGTCTCCAAGAAAACGTCCGCATCCGGCGTGCTGGTTTCGCCTACCGTCAGTCGTTCGAAAAGTTTGTCGATCGTTTCTTCCTGCTCTCGCCCGCCACCTCCTACGCTGGCGAGTATACCTGGCAGGGGTCCTATGAGGCTGCGGTCAAGCAGATCCTCAAGGATACGAGTATCCCTCAGGAAGAATGGCAGCTTGGTGTTACCAAGGCGTTCATCAAGTCGCCCGAGACGTTGTTCGCTCTCGAACACATGCGAGATCGGTACTGGCACAACATGGCCACCCGTATCCAGCGGATGTGGCGCGCCTACCTCGCGTACAGGGCCGAGTCCGCCACCCGTATCCAACGTTTCTGGAGGAAGAAGCGGACGGGCGCTGAGTATCTCCAACTCCGTGACGAAGGGCATAGGGTTCTGCAGGGTCGGAAGGAGCGCAGGAGAATGAGTATTCTCGGCTCTCGGCGCTTCCTGGGTGACTATTTGGGTATCAACGCGAGCGCGGGTCCGGGGGTCCAATTACGGAACGGTATGCAGCTCGGGAGCAACGAGAGGGCGGTGTTCTCTTGCCGTGGCGAGATCCTGGAGGCCAAGTTTGGTCGGTCCAGCAAGCCGAGTCCAAGAATTTTTGTTGTCACAAACAGCAAATATTACATTGTGGCTCAGGTTATGGGGCAAAACCATCAAGTCCAAGTTGTTGTTGAGAGGTCGTTCCCCATAGGCGCCATCAAGTTTGTGAGCACGTCGACGGCTCGCGACGACTGGTTCTCCTTGGGGGTGGGTTCTCAGCAAGAGGCGGACCCCTTGCTGAACTGCGTTCTCAAGACCGAGATGTTCACGCAAATGAAGCGGGTGATGCCCGGCGGGTTCAACCTCAAGATTGGGGACACGATCGAGTACGCAAAGAAGCCGGGCAAGATGCAAATTGTCAAGGTTCTCAAAGACTCGCCAAGTCCACATGATTTCTACAAAAGCGGTGCTGTGCATACACAGCCGGGAGAGCCCCCCAGCTCCGTCTCCCGACCCACGCCCAAAGGCAAGCCGGTGCCCCCGAGACCAATCACCCGGGGCAAGTTGATCAAACCCGGTGGTCCCAACGGTCGGCCGTCCCGGGTGCCGGTCAACCGCACACCCCAGGCCAGGCCAGGTGCTTCTGCTGCGGCCTCCTCACGGCCCGTACCACAACCACAGCCCGCTGCAGCCGCCGCAGCAGCCGCGGTGACGGCTAGCATACCCTCACATACGCGGAATCAGTCCAACTCATCAGTTCGCGCGCCCCCTCCTCCTCCGCCCGCTGCACCGCCTGCGAAACCCAAGATTATGGCCAAGGTTCTGTACGATTTTGCCGGCCAGCGAGACAACGAACTGCCGATTCACGCAGGCGAGGTGATAGAAATTGTCCAGAAGGAGAACAACGGTAAGCTTTGTTCAAACCCACCCCTACTACGTCTATCGAGCCCTATCATGCTAACCACATTGTGTCTCACTAGGCTGGTGGTTGGCGAAGACACCTGGTGGACAGGCCTGGGTTCCGGCGGCCTACGTTGAGGAACAAGTAGCGGCCCCCGTTGTGGCACCTCGGCCCCCGCCGCCACCTCCCGCAGCGACCAACGGAGCAGCTGCACGAGCGAAGCCGGCCGCACCCCAGCCCCCGGCGAAGCGCCCAGCAGCGGGCAGGAAGCCAGTGGCACTGCAGGCACGCGATTCGGGCATGAGTATGAACGGGTCAGATAGCAGCAGGAGCAGCACGCCGACACCGAGTCTGGCGGGTAGCTTGGCGGATGCGCTGCTGGCTCGGAAGAATGCGATGGCGAAGAAAGAAGACGATGATGATTGGTAGATAGATCTGGAATAGTACGTTGGATGGTTTGGCGGGCGGATGGATCTTGTTTCTCCTTTTACCTTAGCGGGCCAGCGGACTGGATGCCTTTTAGTCGATAGCGAAGAGAACGGCCTTGCTACCGTCTTGAATTGTGTCTACGTTCCGATGCTTCATGCGAGTCTCAGCGTTCATCCTCTCTAGTCAGAACCTTCCTTCGTCGCATCAGCTCAGCCAGAGGCACATCCTCGTCATCCGCTCGGGCTGGTATGGTTTCTTCGACATCTTCATCAACCCCGTAGTCCCACAGGCGGTCACCGTCCGAGTTAGTCCACAGTGGTTTGCCAACCACCTGGTAGCCCTCGTCGTCGTCATCGTTATCCTCGCCATCCAGCTCCTCTAATTCAGTGATAATTCCAGAGCGTTGCTGGGCCTGTCTTAGCTGGGCTTGTTGTCGTCTAATCAAGTCCTCCTCTTGCCGCCTCGCAAACGCCGCTTTGATTTCTTCCTGTGTCTGGTATGGTTGATAAGCATCAACCCCCTGATCCTGCTGCTGCTGCTGAGCTGTCGACCCTGGCCAACCACCCCGCTTAGCCTGTCTCGTCTTCTCTGGATCCGGTGGTGGCCACAGTCCAGGTAGGTCATTAAATCCGTTCTCCTCCCACTCCCACCCGACCCCTTTGCCAGGCGTCGTATTGTCGATCACCGGGCCGCCCCCGAATATGGGTAGGAACCATTGCAGTGGGTTTCGTGTGCCCATTGCCTGGGCCATGTTGGCAAAAAAGCCGAGGTCGTACGGGTACTCGATCCGGGCGAGCATCTCGCGCATTGCGGTGCCATCGTCGCCCCAGAACTCCCCAGCACCCTCGTCTTCATCCCGCATCCGTCCCAGCAACGCCTCGTGTCGCTCCATCTCCCAGTCCTCGATCATCGTGCTATTGAACACCCACCCCTTGACCGTTGTGTACAATAGTATCCCTAGTGCAAAGGACGTTCCAAAGTTCGCCAACGCAAGCACTGCCAAGCCAATCAGACTGCCCAGCGACGGGCCCAAGTAGGCGGGAAGATGGCGGTCCGCCCATATTGCGGCAGCGCGCTGCCAGATGAGGGACGCCAGGTACCACAGCGAAAGGTTGGTGTAAACCAAAAATCGGAGGAAATAGGGGAACGTCTGCATCGACACGCAGGCACCCGTCCACGGGCAGTGGTGGTCCATTTTTGGTATGCATCGCGCGCAGTGCCGGCAGTGGTGTGCCCGGAGGGGTTTGGGGGCCACGCATTTCTTACACCAGCGGGTCGGTTCACGGGCGTCGAGTCGGGAGTGTGAGGTCGAGGTTGGGCGAAGATCAGGGTCGGCTGTGGAGGAAGAAAGGGAGGATGTTGGGGACGAAACGTAGCGGCCGGGGTCGACGGTGCAGGCACGGTAGTAGGTGAACCAAAGGCACGCTAGCAGGATGTTAAAGGTGTAGTTTTCTCTCCGTGTAAGAGGCCCCGGCGCGAGATCGGGGTCGGTGTTGAAGAGGTACTGTGAGAAGTAGCCCTGGAAGGCGATCAACGCGCACACGGCTGGTATGTAAAGAAGGTGTAGACCGGGCGTCGTGGGCCCGGTTTTGGGAGTTGTCATGGCGTCTGCGTTTCTGTGTGACCCATGGGAGAGTTGTTTGGGCTGTTGTCCGATCTTGTTGCTGAGTACTGTACTAGTGAGGTTCTTGTTGTTGATGGTAAGTTCGAAGTTGAGCAGCTGTTGGAAATCGGATGACGTTAGAAACAGGGGACCAACCTGGAAAGTGCAGGCACAACCCGACGCGTCGAGGCGCAGCTGCAGATCCACCTCACAGGCTTCGAATCAGGGGCCAGTGGGGGCTTGCAGTTGAAGCTTCTTCCGGCCTAGGGGTAACTTTTGAGGGAGCACCCAGGGGGTCGGGTCAATGTGCGAAATTTTAGGGAGCTGATCAGCGGCAAGGGCCTAGACACGAAATGCGCCCACTCAGGGGGCGGTACCCCCATTGCCCAGCGTTCACGTTTAGCTCAGGTAACGGGCATCGAACAAAACTAGGAGGAAATGCATCTAGGGCCCAAGAATAGCCTCAGAAATTGCTTCAATTCCCGTCGCTTGCCATCCACATCATCGAGCACTGCCGACGGTGCATTTCGGTCAGCCAGCAAGGGCCGGCATGCAGGCACTCGGCACATCTGACCCCTGGCCTTCCTCATGGCCCAGCATTTGACGGCGCTTTGGTGAGACCCCATTGCCGAGACACACTCATGTTCACTTGGTATATCAACACCCATATCGAAGCTTCATTGACTGATTCCCGCCCAGCGCCATTGCGTCTTTCCTGTGGCTTGCTCACAGTTTAGAAGACCACCAAATAATAGGTCAGTACCGGCACCACCTAAGTTTAGTTCTCCTGCTGACACCTCAAACACCAGAACAACCCCGTCTCTCATCACTTCTCGTCCTTTTCATTGCCGCATTCGCATCATATGCGGCAAGCTTCTGTTCTGTGTGGCTGCCAGGCACAAATGGAAGGTTCGGTAAGTGATTAGCCTCTTATCAAACAGGGGTTTGCAGGTGCCTCTCTTTCGTATTACTGACCTTCGCGAAGACGATGACCGAGCACCGCTGAAAGCAAAGCGTGTGAACCTGCCAAAGAAACCGCGGCGATACTTCTTCCCGTCGCTGGTTCTTTGTGTTATCCTACGGTTGGAAGTCTTCCACCGCGTGTCGCTTGACCTCCAGTGTTCGACGCCCGGTGTTGAGGTGAGTGCCAAATTCCCAAGCGTAAAGCTCTGTCCGTCAAAACCCTGACCCATTCGATCACCAAGGCATTCTTACCCCTATTTATTCTTGGCTATGAATTGCTTCCGGGCCGACGAGCGCGGTCCGGAAATGGCGACGATGAAGAGACCCCGGACGATATGGGCATGACCATCATCGATGCCGCTAGGGCCTGGTTCACGGAGTCTAAGGCATCCCTATGCGTGTCGATAATTATGCTTACCATCGGCACCTATCTCGTCTCATCACGCGATCCTGGCTCGACATTCTTTTGCTCCACCCAAGACCTAAGAATTGTGGTCGTCCTTTTCCAATGGATCGGCCTAGTACTCGATGCCGCTATCGCCATATTGTTATGGCGTATACTCGCTTGGGCAAGAAGTACAAAGAGCAGGCTGAGGACGCTAAGTGGAATGCTGGTGGCTGCCGCGCTCGGGACTGGGCTTCTCTATCGAGCCTCGCGCTTCTTCCTCCCTACCACCCCCATGACCTACCAATTCCGCGGCCTGGACTCCCTGTACATTTTCGACGTCATTGTTGACGGCCTCGCATTTTCTACCTCCATTATCTCAACAAGCCTCCTTGCCACCGAAGGTAGCCCTCTATCTTTGGTGGGGATTATCACGTTTCTTTTTGGTATTGCGCAAGCTATTCAGCTGACGGCCCTGACGGGGACATGGGAGAACATCTCTCCCGGCACTGTCTATATTGGGTTGATCCTCGTATGCATTGGGTTCTCATTTTTCGTTTACACCAACAACATCGAGTCTGTTGTGTTTATGCACCGCGCATTTGTGGTCATCATTCTGGTCATCATCACCATCGTCGCCACCATATACACCCCCATCAAAGCGCTTCAGGTCACCGAAAAACACCCGCTGATAAAGACTATCTACGACGCCCGGATCGCCGCGGACCGGTGGTTAGTCCGCGCGACGGTCAGCGATTCGCTCCCCGTCGCCGTTCGGGAATACAAAGACCGTCACAGCGGAAGGGACCCGCCCCCGAACTTTGACGCCTGGTACGAGTTTGCAACACAACGACGCTCTGTTGTCATTGACCACTTCGCTCAGATGGAGGAAGATATTCTCCCGTTTTGGGGTGTGCTGCCATCGAAGGTGCGGGAAGCCGTCCGGCACGCCGCTGCCGAACCCGATATGGCTCTGCTGAGGATCCAAGGGGGCAAGATAGAGCATAACCTACCCCCGTCAAGCCCTTACAAGCCGGTCATAGATGATCTGATTGAGTTGATCGGAGGGTTTGTCCAACATCTCTCTGACATGGAGTTCGCTGTCAACCTGAACGAGCGGCCTCGGGTCCTTGCGCCTCGGGATGATGTGCAAAGGGCAGTGAAATCGGCCAGTTGGAAGCGTGTTAGCAAGCTCCTACCCAGGTCAGTGGATATCCAGGGAGACATACCGGCGGCCCAGCCCCCTAACGATGGGGAATCTCCGGCCGAAGAATACTTCACCCCGGTAACGGCCCTCCGGGAGATGACGGCTCTCACCTGCGCTCCCGGCACCAGGGGGCGAGCAGGGACACACTGGGACGTCCGCGACATTTGCGTCTCGTGTGCCAGGCCGCAGTCACAACAGCTATACCTGGCCAACTGGCAGTTATCTCAAGGTCTCTGCCACCAGTCAGATCTGTTCCGCCTCCACAGCTTCCACATGACACCCCCCGAGGTCCGCCCTTTGCAAGAGCTGCTTCCAGTTTTCAGCAGGGCCAAGACCACCAGCTATAGCGATATTCTCATCCCGCTGCGTCGGATCAGCGAGCCTGCCGAGCCCACCACGGAGGACTTTGAGATGAAATACAAGAGGCTGTTCTGGCGTGGTAAGGTTGACCGCTACGGTACTAGCCACGAGCTCGTGCGTGGTGGTCATCAAGAACGGCTCGTCCACACTCTCAACAATCCCGCAAGCTCGGAGAAGACCATACTTCTCTTACCGCAAAAAAAGACGCTCAGGTACGAGCAGGTTCCGACCGCCGATATCAACGAGCTCTTCCCTATCGATGTTGCCTTTTCCGAATACAACGCCTGCAAGGACGCCGCCGCTCCTCAGCCCGGCATCGACGACACTTGCAACAAAGACGCCGCCGCCGAATTTCACAAGAAGCCGCAGGACGAGGAAACGCTGCGGCATAAATACGTCATGGTTATTGACGGGGACAATGGGCCCTCGCCCGAGGTCTTACGCACGCTGCGGTCCAATAGCGTCCCTTTTTACGCCTCCATCTTCAAGGAGTGGTACAGCGAAAGACTCCTTCCGTGGATCCATTTTGTCCCCATCGACCTACGCTTTCACGCCCTGCATAGCACAGTCGTGTATTTCATGGGACTTCAGAAGCGTGATGGCCGGATGCTGAACGGGAGGGAGGTGGAAATGGAGGACCGCCAGGATGATGGTAAATGGATTGCTGAACAAGGGAAACGGTGGGCAGAGAAGGCAATTCGGCGTGAGGATATGGAAGTATACCTGTTCCGGTTGTTGTTGGAATGGGGGAGGATAGTGGCCGAAAACAGGGATGAGATTGGATTTGAGCTGGCTAAAGGGAATTAGGGGACGGGCTTTAGAGGGGAACAGGATAGGTTTGCATTTATTTAAATTCACTAGTCCACATGGAATATCCGGGAAATTTGGCGTTTGTACATACATGAGCTGGTTTCAACTTCTCCCGAGAGAGTTACACCGTCTCCTCCAATAATGGGTGCTGGTCATACCCCATCGCCCTAATCTGGATCTTCATGCTGTCCAACACCCTCGACTTGAGGCTCACGTCGTCGACAATGTCCGCTCCAACAAATCCACCGTGGGCGCTCCGGAACTCGTAATTTTTGACAACATGCCAAATCCTAGTGATCTCGGTTGGGTTCAAGGGAATCATATTGGGAATACTCCACATAAAAGTGAAGGAGTTCACCCCCGGTGGCCGCGTCCTAGGGTTCCCGAGAGCATCGACCTTCCAGGTAGACTTTCCAGCCGGCGTCATCATCAGCGTGTCTGCTGTGAGGATGTACCCGTCATACACAAGTACCTCTGCTCGTTATGTCAGTTTCTTCCTCGGCCCAAGCTAACCAACGAAAGAGAATAAAGGGGGCAAAAACCACAGAAACAGACTTACGACTCCCCGGAAAATGCCCTCCCAGTTTCACAATCCTCACTCCGCTATCCACCCCGCCAATCACCACCTTCGTCTCGACCTCTTCCAAAAACACTCGCCGCCCCTCGGTATCATGCTCCTTCCCCGGCCGCGCCAGCCACTGCGCATCCTCCGCGGCTAGGTACACAGGACACTCAAACCGCGCCGCCCACTCAAGATGCGTCGTGTAGAAATGAGGATGTGATATAACCATCGCCTGGATCCCACCCAGCCTCTTCAAGGCCTCAACCGTCGCGTCATCCAGGTAAGCGACACAGTCCCAAAGCACGTTACCGGCGGGCGTGCGGACAAGGATAGCACGCTGGCCGATGCCGAAGCTGGGGGTTGTCACGATGGCTGTGAGCTGGGGGGTCTCTGGGTCTGCGCCGGTAGAATGTCCGCTGTGGTTAGGTAGGGGGATGAACTCGTTGCGCCGCGTGCCTTCGTCGCGTAGAGCTTGGAGCGTGGTGAAACTCTGGCCGGAGGCTGGCACGAACTGGCGGGGGTCATCGCAGATGAAGCAAGTGGGTAAGGAGGCTCGGTCGGCGGTGGGATGTTGGGTACCGCAGGCGTTGCAAATGAGGTAGGAGAGGGAGTCGGCCATGGTAGTGGATATATGGAGGTGAGGTTGACCTTTGTTTATCGAGAATGTGTCTATGATATGTACCCCTCAAACTACACTGCGTATTGTTGCTTCGCTCTTGTAAAATAAGGAGGAGAAGTGCCTGATCCTGGAGAAAGAATCGATGGCGCGAGGCCTATGGAGTCTTTTATATCCAAGGCTGTGCTTCATGGGTCGATACTCAATTAGGGAGGTCCTCTCTCCGAGCAGTCAAGCTCGTCGTACTGCGGGGTCTAGTGTCATCTGAGCTCGACCGTTCCCGTAATACGGGTGAATACATCGCCCTATGGCTTACTAATTTACTCTTGTTAATTCTCGCCTAGATTTCTTCGAAGGTGATGATGGCCGGAGCCTTATAATTTTTGTGTGGAACAAGCAAGAGGGTACCTATGGAGTGATACATTCTTCATCCCACAAGAATTGTGGGAAGAAACGGAAAAGGGGTCGGTATTGAAGCATCAACTCCGTCAGGGCAGTGACCAAATCCCAGCAACAAAGACTAAGAATCCCATTGAACTCATCCTTCAGAAAATGTTCAATGGAGCTTCGAGTAGCCCAACCCCTGAATCATCCCGTTGACTTTCCACTAACAAAAAAGTAAGGGTTAGGGTCAACGCGCTCGGAGACCGAAGCCTCGGCCGAGGCTGATGACGTCAGCGCCGGGTGCCCCGCAACCACATGGCGACAATTCGAGATGCATCCATCCCTTTTTTTCACCCTTTTATTTTTATTTATTATTTCTTCCCCCGGGTACCCCACCACAATACCGCCCCTCTTCCACACAGTTAGAACAGCGGTGCAGCAGCGCAATTGACAAAGGGTGTCAGCCCTCACTGGCGTCCTCCCCAAGGGCCAAGGCCCTGCGGCTCTCTGGCTGCATTCCAGCCCAACCCACGGCCCCGGCCCCTTTTTCCCAGCTTTGCCCAGTACATTCCATGTACAAGTTCTTCTTTCCACCCCCCCTCTTCAGCCCTGTGTTGTGACTCTTCAAACCTAAAACACCGACGGTGAAAAAAATTTCTTCAGACATCATCACACGCTCCGCGCCGCAGCAGAATGGGAGACGTGGCATGTCCCCAGGCCCGGTTTCTTCCCGCTTCTCAATGTCACACTCATCACATCTCGAACCACCTTACAAAGTTTGTCTTCGCGACTTCCTGAAAAGCTGGCTTTATTTGATTTGGGCATCAAACACTTGTTATCAAGGATGTCCGTGTCTGGTGGCAGCAACATTCGATGAGGCCAGCCCGGCGTGGCCCCGAGGCGGCGATCACTATGTGGTCTTGTCTCGTGTCAGCTATTGTTTTTGTTTGATGTATTCCTCCATTCAGCATCCAATATTCCGGGCCACTCTGCCAACACCGCCACATTTTTCCAAGGAAACCTTTCCAATATGTTCCGATTTCTTCCTTTATCTGCCTACCAAAGGACCACGTCATTACCTTGGCAGTGTAAAAAAGGACAATCACGTTCCAATGGGGTTGAACCCGATGCCCGACGAAGGGTGGGAAAAACAATATCTCTTTTTTTTTTCGTCTAGCTATTTCGCGGCCAGCCGTGATGTCGCTTTTATCCCAGTCAGCTTTGCGGCTCGTGCCACCATCTAATTGATGCTACCGCTCAGAACCCAGCCGGTGTGACAAAGGAAAGGTCAAACCGCCGTAAGGATGATAACTCCTCTAACCAATACTCATTCCGGAGTCCCTTTTGGGTATTCCCGATCATAACGTCATATCGTAACTTCGTCTCGTCGTCAAGTCCCCAGAAAAGATGTTTTGAGCGCCTTGGCCAAAAGAAGGAAAAAGACAAACAAAAGAAATAAAGAACAAAATGAAATGAAGTGAGTGTGGTCAAGAAGGTAAACAAGCCAAAAAAAAAATAAAATCAGGAGCTATGCAGCGTCTTGAAGCCTGTGGTAATCAGACTCCGCTTGCTCTCCTTTGCATCACTAGGTCCGGACGAGTAGAACAGTCCCTGAATCAAACCGTCAGCATTAATGACTTGGAAAAAGAAGTAAAGTTAAATAAGGTAAATAAAATGGCACACTCACTCCCAAGCCCTTCTGCTTTGCAAACGCCGCTTTCATCTTAACCGTCTCCGGGTTGTCATAGGTCACGAACCCGCCATCGCCGCCTACACACTGCGCTGCCACAGCCCGCTTATCGACGAGCTCCTTGGTCCCCTTGCGCGGCAGCTGGTTGTACTCAAACGCCCCGTCCGCGCCGCCCATCCCGCGGTTTTTGTGGCCGGGCCCGGCGACATTCAAGAAACTGCGCCCGTACGTGGGGATCCCCATCAAGATTTTCTTGCCTGGTACGCCCGAGGACATGAGATCCTTGACAGCCGTGGCGGCAGACTGCTCATCCTTGCTCATGGTGTACAGCTGGGCGTGGTGGCCGCTCTTGGGGCTCCAGGGCCCGAAGAAGTCGAAAGTGTTCAGGTTGACGGTGTCGAGGTACTCGGCCGATTGCCGAAGGTCGATGTTCTGAAGAACGGGCTTGATCGCGGAGAGGGTCGCCGTGAGAATGTACCGGTCCTCGGGAAGGTAGATGCGGACCGCGGCTAGAAGTGACAGGAAGTCCCGGCCCTGTTCGGGGGTATAGGGGTACGGCCACACAACTGAAGCTGGGTTAGTACTCGAAATGACAGGACAGAGAGACATGTTGGGGCAAGGGGTTAACTCACTATCGATGCCATCCAAGCCAGACGCCTCAACCAAACTCCGGGCTGAGCGAGCAAAGTTGTCTCGAAGAATGGCACTAGAGGCCACGATGGGGAATATGTCGGCTGAATTACCACCCCCAATGGACAAAACAACCTGTAAGTGGCGGTATCTTTGCTTGATGTGCATGAACGACCCCAAGGCACCCTGAACACCATCGCATGGCGCCCTGGTATCGGCCCACTCGTCGCCAAGCTAGGATATATGTGAGCAACCAAACTACTAGGAATAGATCAGCAACATTCGATATCACTTACAAATACTCCGCCGTCTGGCGTCACGTTGGCGAAGGCATAGTAGACACGGTTGATGCAGCCATAACTTAACTGCCCCGGGGTATCTCCGTTGTAGACACGCTGGTTTTCCCAGTACACCGCATTGGTGTACATAAAATGGGCTTTCCGTGAAGAAGTCATGATGCTCAATGGCAAGAAGGGTATAGTGAGTGGGGTGCGGACGGGGACAGCGCGGGGAGATCTCGATGGAGGATGGTGTTCCAAAGCTTGGGAGATAGGAGAGGAAATACAAGATGGAGATGGGGTCAACAGCTCGCTTTAAAGTACGGAAGAAACGGGAGGCATCGATGCTTGCTGGGAAGAAGCTTGTGCCAGCGCATAATGACTGATGGGTACTCGAACCGCTGGTCGGGCATCAAGGAACACAACAAAGTCAATAGAAAGTATCACAAGATTTGAGTTCTTCTACCTAGCCAAGCATCGACACCTGTTCGAGTGTTCGGGTTCGGGGGTGAGCTACCGAGCGAGCCATCCAGCTTTTGTGGGACCCGGACCGAGTTTCGGTCTACAGCGACCGTAGTAGAGGCCCATGTTCCCAAGCAACATCTGCGGTATGACATAATTGCGTGGGCCATGAATCGTCAAGGGGTGGGACAGAGGCGGGTTAGAGAAGACAAACGATCGGAAGTGATGTGTTGCTAGGTTGTCGGAGAGCCAGCAATCATGCGGCAGGGGGGGTCTGGGCGAATGAGTATGCTATGCCGGCAACTGAGAGCCAGGAGCGGACGCGAAGCAAACCAGCAACGTAACGTGAGAGACACGTCCGTTTGAAATTTTTCTCTGCGCTCTACCCGACCGCCACGATTCGCGAACAAGGGACAGGGGGATGGGTGTCTGTTGTATCTCCCTCGGGCTCTGTGAGCGGAGCGGATCGGGGACTAGGTCACCACATCTGCCGGGTCTCGTCCCTTGTGATCCCCCGTGACCATGCTTCAACAATGCCACCCAACCAGCCAACCCATCCACAGTGACCCAGCGGTGAGGGTATGACCGGAGAACTGGGCGTATCATTGCAACAGGTACAAGGAGCTTGGCCATGAAATGAAGTCGGGAAAAGGCCACGTGAGGAATATGTCGGTGAGAAGGGTGAGCGAGCACTGAATTTCGTAGTACAACATTGGTCGAGTCTCTCGTGGGCGATTTCCATCGTCACCCAGGCTTCTGCGGTCTCCCGGGGCTCAACACCGGACCGGGATGTCGGGGGTGGTTTACATTGTGAGCAACACAACCCGTAACAAAGCGTGGCGGTCTCGATTGGCCCGGGAAGCCAGGAACTTGGAGTACCCGAAGTGTGGTCCCCGATACCGTCAAGTGCGCAAGCAACTGGATGTTCCGGCAAAAGGGGTCAGCAAAATGGAGGGGAGAGATGTGGGGTCCGGAGCACGCTATTGGGTCTCCGGGACGCCGAGAAAAGAGACGACCGAGAATCAGCCCCCGTCGCTTGGAAGTTGGAGGATTTTGATGGGAGGGCCTAGTGTTCGGGCCGCTTCAATGACGGGACTGCGTGCTTCTCGTTGTTGGGTCAAGTACACACTCGTTCCTGCCAATGGACACCACTGGCAGCAGCTCACGATCCTCTCTTCAAGTTCCCCTCTGCGAGGCCAAACGCAGGGCCTAGGCCTTCCATGCCTTCCAGGTTGAAATGATGGAACCCAAAGGAAGCCAGTGGCGCCTTCAGGTGCTGATTCCTGGTACCTGTGACATCGAGGTACGGGTAATTGGGCCAGGTCAGGTAAGGAGGCAGGAACTGCCAGCTCATCTCGCCATCGTGGCTTCCACATGGGCATGGCAACCTCGTTCCGATTTTAGTTGACTCCAGGGCTGCAGTGCATTGCGCCGTCTCTTTTATCCCTTCCTTCCAGAACAATTCCGTGCCCCTCACTAGTTGCCAACCCTGTGCGTCCCGCCTTTGCCTCTCCACTTTCACCTCTCCATCTCAAAGCGCCCGTGTTCCTGCTCCGCCAAACATCCTATCTCAACGAAAAACGAGCGGGTTGTTCTTCGGATGAACGGACCAGAGTCTCGCCAGCGGCGGAAAGGAAGGGTATAGGTTTCCTTCGGACGCCGTGTAACCGTCGTTCGCGATGCTTTCCGATGGGATCCGCATTGGGACGCAGTTGAAAAAAGGCAGATGACCGCCCGACATCATGAGAATTTTCGTCCAGCCTAACTTGTGCAACACCCGGGCATTTCTTGGCCCTGCAAGTCATCCACATGCCACGCAGGGGTTTTGAAAGAATGATAGGACGGGGAGACACCCCGCCAGTTTCCTCGAAGCCCCGCTAGACAAGAAAAAAAAAGTTGGCTCGACGACAACATGCCCCTCCTCGCTCGACAGCTTCCTGGAATACCTTATCGTCTGGATTTCCTCCATTGGCCAACGGTGAATGTCTAGGACTTCACCATCTGCTACGAATGTATCCCGCCGTTGGACTTAGGCGTCTGTACGTCAGGGAGGTCAGGGTTGCGTGGTCATGTCTCCCCTTGACGCAGTTGGACTCAGTGTGATCAGCTCGAGAGGTCGTCTCTGGCCCAGGACAAGGCTGGTAAGCTGGGCAGCAAGGATGGTGGCGACGCGCGCTCATTAGGCCTGTCATGCCTGTTTCGGGGACCTGCTGGGCATTGACTTTGATTCTTGGGATTTGGCGAGGCTGTGCCGATCTGTGGTGACAAGACACACACCTCTGCAGAAATGGTGTGCCCGATGCCAGGGAGCTAGGGTAGGATGCCGAATGTCACCTCCGCTAAGGAACCCGGGCATCCGCGCCTTGGCTTGGCGATCTCGGATTGCCAACAGCTGCAAGCCTTAAAACGGCGCCTGAGTGGGGGATTGAACAGCGTTTTTACCCCTCCAACGTTCAATACTCAACAAAGCTTCTAGGTAGGTAGCTAAGGATGATGCACCGGCGATTGACCTCGTTTGTATCCCAGGTGATGACCACCAACACTCGAGCTTTCCTCTTAAAATCAAGCAAGGCTTATCTCGGGGCAGTGTAGTTGCCCTGTTGCCTCCCTTTTCAAGGGTTGCTTGCCGCGAGCACAGGACCGGAACACAACGTTGTCGATGCCGACCGCACCAGAATAAGAGAGAGATACCTCCTATGTATTTAGTCCGCGGTCGGAGAACAAGGAGACGTAAATCTCCGAGAAACCCATACGCGGTTGAATATATCCCCATCAAAGCACTCCTCATGTCCAGGACGTTACACTTGTTTCGTCCCGATAGAGGGGATACATAACAGGCAGGCAGCCCACCCCCATTAAACAGCTGGAGGTCGGGTAGGGTGGTCGGACTGAGAGGCTGGATTATTAACACCTAGGTAGTGTAACGAAATTACGGTATCCGAGCTTCCAGCTGTTCATTTCGAGGTCGCCCAAAGTTTGGGAGCTCAAGTTCATACTCTTGTAGAAAGAAGTTATATGCCACACAGGGACGCAAAATGATTTATCAGGTCATATGTACTTTTGCCGTGACTCGAGAAACAACCGCAGCTGTCGCGCCCACAGGTATTTGGCTTCCCTTTGCCGTGTCGAGTAGTGGCTGTTTTATTACGTCACAGGTAGAACTGTATGTCTGTATGCACATACCTGTATGGCCACATCATTTCGCCAAAAGTAGGCAGGAGGGCCCGGTGGAGCGGTATGGAAATGTCTCATTCAAACCAAACAATCGTGTAGAAAGTAGAGTATAAGAGTAGGTACACTGGTGTCAACAGGTAGGATAGTTCTGCCTCACGACAAATCCATCCACTGTGGTTGTTGCCTTATCTAATCTGCCCCACCGTCTGCTTAGCCTGGCTTGGCGATTCCACGCACATCATCAATGTTCCACTGCCTCCCTCCCAGCTGAGGCAGCCTCGCAGCTTAACCTCAACCTCGTTAACGTCGCCGACCGAGAAACTGCAAATCGAAGAGTCTTCTTTTTATTTTGCGACCTTGAAAAGCCAAAACTTCCACCGTTCACCGCCTACCGTCCCTTACCGCGGCGTTTTCTCTCGGGATCACTGAGAAGCCAGAACTTGACGCCAGCTCGCCCCCCGCGTTCACGTCACTTCCCCCGATCCTAGTTCGCAGATGGCAGACAGCTCAGAAGCGGGCGCCGACGCCCAAATCACCTTTAAGGTGAAGGCCTCGAACGACAAAGTACACACAATCACCATAAACGAGTCGGCGACCGTTCTCGACCTCAAGACTAAGCTAGCCGGGGCTGACTATGAGGATACACCCGCCGACAGGCAACGCCTGATTTACTCTGGGCGCATCATGAAAGACCCCGACGCTCTGAGTGTCTATAAGATCAAAAACCTGAACACTGTTCATATGGTGAAGAGTGCTCGCAGCAATGCGCCCGCTCCTTCTACCAGTGCTCCTGGTTCAGCTTCAACCCCGGCTGCAGTCCCCCAAAACATGGCAGCAGGCTCCATCGCAGGCGACCCTCTTGCTGGGCTTACAGGCGCTCGGTTCGCAGGACACATCAATCTGCCGAGCGCCGACATGTTTGGGGCCGATGGCGGAGTAAGTCCCTTTCCTCCCGCTAGATTGAGGGTCAATACTATCGTCATAAAATGCTAACCCGGGTCTCTGTTTTCAGATGGGTGCCCCTCCTAACGAGGAACAGATGGCCGAAATGCTCTCAAATCCCATGATCGCCCAAACGATGAACGAGGCGCTTAACAACCCCAACTTCATTGACTACATGATCCGATCGAATCCTACCCTCGCCAATATGCCGAACGCGCGCGAGATGCTCCAGTCACCACACTTCCGAGACATGATGACCAACCCAGAGGCTATACGTATGGCGTCGAGAATGCGAAGATTGTTCCAGGGTGATGGGAACTCTGCGTTTCCCGCCCCTGGCGCTACAGATAACACGCCGGCAGGCGCGCCGGGCACAAGCGGGGGCACGAACAATGCCAACCCCCTCCAGGCCCTTTTCGGTGCCGGCGGAGGTGCCGGAAACCCGTTCGGTGACCCCAACCTCTTGGCTGCTCTCTCCGGTAGCGCCCCCGCGCAAGCTCCCAATGCTGCGAACCCTACACCTGGCTCGGCCGCAAACAGAGATGCCCCGACGGCGGGTGCGGGTGCTCAAGGCCAGGCTGACAGCACCGCCCAGCCACCGAACCCTTTCAGTGCATTGTTCGGTGCCGGCGGCCCGGGTTCGACCCCAGGCGCCAATCCCTTTAACATGCCGCCCATCTCGCCCGAGGCTCTTCAGCAGCTAGCACAGATGCTCGGGGGATCGGGACCGCTCGGCGGAACCGGCGCTCCCGCAGCACCGGTAGACAACAGGCCACCGGAGGAGCGTTATGCGGACCAGCTGCGCCAGCTGAATGACATGGGATTTTACGACTTTGATCGGAACATAGCCGCGCTACGTCGTAGCGGTGGGAGTGTTCAGGGCGCGGTTGAGTACTTGCTGTCCGGCCCATGAATAAGACTGCGTATTGTTGCCTGGCGGATTGGAGGCTTTGATTCAAGGGATATGGGTTCGGCCGGTGGGACGGCATAATATGACGAGTTTTGTAACTGTTGGACGTCAACCGGCATGAGGAGCGCTGTATTTTTACCCGGCAAACCAGGTGCTGGAAGCGACACTACGTATTACCTATGCATGCGTGATTCATGATTTGCGATGGATTTTCATTCTACGTTGATTCCCATAATTTTCCTGAGGAAAAGTCTCTGTTTGAGATATGCCCTTCCGCGCTTATGAACGTTGTGCGGAATATGTGAAATATCGGTATCCATACTCTTTCAGGATGTTGAAAATGGTTTCCCCGATGAACCTTGAGATCCATATCCGCTATGAGAGAGAAACTTCCTCCCTTTTCCCCATATCAAGGACGCCTCTTGGGGAAGGACAGGAAAAGGAGGATACCTGTACTGATGCCCATCCACCCAACCTTACTTTGTACATAGTACATGTTCCGTCGATTGGCCGTTTGTCCGAGTCGGATTTGAAACAAGACGAGAAAGGAGAAAAGAACGCCCCCACGCCACACAAGAATCCACCACACCGCCAGGTACTGGACAGCCCTGATTCGGGCCTGTCAGAACGCAGTTTTTGGTTTGGGGCCCTCAATTTCAGCTGGTCCCGTGATCATGTAACCCTGCTACAACAGTGAAATGAGTGGGCATCGATCAAGGATTCTTCCCGATGAGGAATTGAACTGTTATCATTACTATGTAGTTAACCGGGAACTCGGGGTTTGGCATGACTTGGGGTGAATTGTCAATTGTTGTAGATGGGAAACAAAAACTGATAATGAAGTATTCGCTTTCCGATTTATGGTTCCCGAGGCGATCACAACATCAGACGATTGGCGATCCCTTCGTGAAACTCTGAACGAGAGAATTACTTTCTACCCTTCGATCTGCTGTTCCTTCTTTTGCCTCTACACCACATTGGGTTTTTATTTTGAGGCCCAGTTAGTCCAACAACCCAACACACATCCGGCGCTCAACCTCGCAAAGAAACCCCGTCAAGATGCTCAGATGGTAAGGGGAAAATATAGTTTTTGGTTCCTACTTTCTAAGTGGACGATTCCTTATTTTATCCCCGCCAGTTTTCTGACCAAATTTGGCGGCCATTTAGGTACCAAGCCCGCCTGGCGGCCCGCCCCCTCTTTACCCAGGCCGTCACCACTTCGGTCTTGTTCGCGGTCGGCGATGTTGCCGCACAGCAGCTAGTCGACAAGAAAGGTATTGAGAAGCACGATATTACTCGGACCGGGCGCATGGCCCTTTATGGCGGTGGTATGTTCATTTCTTTTTTCTCCATGGAGATTACACCCTTTGGCCTTTAATTTTCTCAATATCATATTCTTTGTCTCTCCGGCTACTAACACTTCACACTAGTTGTCTTCGGCCCTGCCGCGGCCACCTGGTTCAAGTTCCTCTCTCGCCATGTGAACCTGCGTTCGCCCAACGCGACCATCCTAGCGCGCGTGGCGTGCGACCAGGGCGTGTTCGCGCCAACTTTTATCGGCGTGTTCCTCAGCAGCATGGCGGTACTCGAAGGCACCTCGCCGACTGAGAAACTGCAGAAGAGCTACTCCGACGCGCTGCTGACCAACTGGATGATCTGGCCGTTTGTGCAGATGGCCAACTTCAAGCTGGTGCCGCTGCAGCACCGCCTGTTGTTTGTCAACGTTATCAGCATTGGGTGGAACTGCTACCTGAGCTTCCTCAACAGCTCGTAAAGGGTCTTTCGAGAAATGGATAGGCAAAGGCTACTTGGTACAGGGCTTTCTGCTCTCCGTTGATTTCCATAATTTCTACACAGGCTGGGTTTTGGGGGGCTATAGACATTGGGACCTGGGGGAGGGAGAAACACAAAAGGTTCAATGGGTATCAGCGTCTGATGAGCGAGTACCTAACGTTGATTTTAATATATGATGCATGATCGGGTCCTGAGACCGACCCCATGACTACTCATGACTACTCGCAAGGCGTGCTTTTAATGGTCAAAGACATTATTCATTGTGTTATCAGTGAACGAAGCAGGGTTTACGAGCATGACATGGAGAACCACACCACCAATGGTAAAGATAACCACTTCATTTTGCTTGCGACTAGTGCTTAACAGTATATAGCTCCATCTTCCTAGGTTATCGATATTAGGTTGGGCCAGCACGTTGGCATCGACACATTAATTCAACTCCAACGCAGCCGCGACCGGGACATTCTTGCCAGCCACCTGCTCGAGGCCCTCGCCGCCCTAAGTCATGGTTAGTATGATTGAAGGATGATCCCACAGATACAAAGTCGTCGACCCAACTTACATAACTCGTCAACGGGCTAACTTCAACGCCCGATTTGGCATCGTCGCTGGCGACTTTACCGCCAGCAGCCTCGACCCAGCGCTTGCCTTGGGCCATGATGTCGTACTTGCTGGTGTCCGGATCATCCTCACCGGTGCCACGGGCATTCTTGAGCGGGCTAAACTCATCCTCTCGGCGCACTTCCATGCAGGCGAACTTGCTCAGTTCCAGGAGGGGGAAGACGTCAAAGACAAACTGCTCCAACTTGATGCCGTTGGGGCTGGTCGGCTTGATAGTCTCGCCAGACGCGAGGTCCGCGTAGGGAATCTTCTTCCGCGCGACGTGGTGGGGCAGCTTCTGCGCCCATTGCGGGATGGATTCAAGGAAACGGAAGGAGTAGTAGTGGTTCACAATGTTGGCGGCGCGGAAGCGGAGCACGCCCGGCTGCTTGGGGTCCTCCTCGGCGGCAATGTCCTTGTCGATCTCGCTGTATTCCACCACATCCGGGCGGCCGTTCTTGAGGACGATGAGGCCGACGCTCTCGGTGGCGTTGCGCTTCCGCACGACCTTCGTCGCGATGTCGACGTTGGCAGACGCCGAGAAGCCGATGAAAACGGGATCGGCGACCTTGACGAGGCAGTTGTCAACGCAGTAGGCGTGGATGTGCTCGATGCCCCGCTTCTTCATGTCATCCAGCGCCTTGGACTCGACCAACGCGTTGTAGATTCCGCCGTTGCCATCGGGGGCCACGGCCACCTTGCCCTTGCCCTCCAGCAGGATCTTCCCCTCGTTGGAGATGCAGGGGAGGACACCCTGTTCGAAGATGAACACATTCTCGCTCTTCAGGCCGAAGAAGTTCTTCTCCTTGAAGTACTTCTCGGTGGGGCCGCGCGTAGGCCCGGACGTCATGACGTACCAGGGGACGGTGACATTGGCGCCAGGACCGGCCTTCTGGGCGGCCAGCTGTTCGATCTTGCGGATACGCTCCGCCTGGATCTGGAACAGCGATTTGCCCGATGGGAGGCCGATATCGAAGCAGCCCTTGGGGGCGGAGCTGCCCAACCGGGTGCCTTGGCCACCAGCCATGAGCACGACGGCGACCTTATTCTGGGCGATCAGGTCGAGACCCTCCGCGTACCAGCGGTTGATGTCCTCGGGCTTGGAGTCCAAGATGCTGGCGCTGGCGGACTCGGGCAGGGGCTCGAGCTTTGGTGCCCCGCCATCTTGTTCCGTCTTGGCAGGGGCAAGAGCTTTAGCGGTGATGGTGTTGATGTTTATGGGGTCGAAACCGAGGAGCTGCTGATACAATGCGCCTTGTTCAGCTGGGTTTAGGGAATCGTAGAAGGTGAAGACCTGGCCTTGTCCGGCAAGCTCGTACTTGTGCTTGAGCTCGGACAGCTCTTGGGGTGTTGGTTGCTGCGGGGCATGTTTGCTTGACCGATGCAGGGCGTGCTGGATGGCGTCCATGGTGTGAGCGATGTGGGGTTGGGAACAAAAAGACACGGAAAACAGAACCGGGAAAGCACCGGGACGTGGAATTGGTGTTGAGAGGAAAAGCTTGATGGAGATCTCAAGAAATCAGTTGTTGCAAAGAGGTAGCTGTTCAACTTCAAGTGGGATCCTTTTAAAGCCCAACAAACACGAGGCAGGTCCCCTCAGGTCCCGTCTCGGGCGGGATCTGAGGTCCACTGCCGGGAGTGCCCCGCAACGCGCGACATGCGCCACGGCGCAGAGCCAACCTGAGCCAGCTCCAGTGAGACCAAGCCCGACCCACCGTGTGCAACAGGGTTGAAGTCCCATTCGCTGAGCGGTTGGGGCGGTCTGCATTGCCGGGTCTAGACATATTAATCCTGTGTTCCCGCGGTTGAGAAAAACAATAGTTTTGAATCAAGAGAGCTCGCGGGCTTGCTTTCGAGGGCGACAGTAATGAAATGCATCCGGTGACGTTCGTGTAAGGGACCGTAAAAGACGAACCTATGAAATGGGTCAAACCGGGCGGAAATTGCCCCGAAACCCTTGGCTTTAATGTCCCTTAGCCTTTTGCTGCCTGCATCGCCACCAGCCGAGCCAGGGGGTGAACGAGAGCGGTCCTCTATTAAAATCTGACGATGCTGCTATTTGTATACTCGGACTCATCTCTGTCCATCTTTTCTCGCTCTCTGTCTCACTCGAGGGTGACGTTAGATTTTGACCACCCTTAATGTGCTCCCCTGAACTTAACGAGAGAGCGACAAGGAGTTTGTGACGACTGCGAATCTGTGACGACAGTTTACACCGTAACATTCACAACCAAATTCACAACCATGTCACCAAATACCGAGGAAGAACCACAACCTGCGCCCACATTTAAGGGCCGCCTCAAGCTTGACACTTTCCGGTTCGAGGATAAAGAGCGTCGAAGGAGTCCACGTCTTTCCGAGACACCCACAGGGCCAGCGGGGAAGAGCACATCATCAGCCACCACACTTTCGGTACCATCGTCCCGCGGGGCCTCTCGCTCTCCATCTAAGCGCAAAGCGCAGTCTCAGCTAGATGATGGGGTCAGCAATACCTCTTCTCCCTCAACATCATCCGCTACCAACGTAGCTTCACCCTCCGGCCGAAAACGCTCCCGGCAGAGTTCCTCCTATGCGCCCCCTTCAACTTATGCAGTAAGTTTCCCCTTACGGATTCACATCAAATATAACAATAAAAATCAAATGAAACCCCCATACTGACACTCACACGTAGCATCTCCCCCTTCTCCCCGATGCCATCGCTCCCAACCTCCTCATCCTCTTCATCGGACTCAACCCCGGCGTCCAAACGGCCCGCAGCGGCCACGCCTATGCCCACCCGACCAACCGCTTCTGGCGTCTCCTCCACTCCTCTGGCGTGACCCCGCGCCTCTGCGCGCCCACCGAGGACCGTCAGATGCCCGCGCTGTACTCGCTCGGTCTGACCAACATCGTTGCGCGGCCTAGCCGCAACGGTGCCGAGCTGAGCAAGGCCGAGATGGACGATGGTGTGGCTATTTTGGAGGAGAAGGTACGTCGCTGGCGGCCTGAGGCCGTTTGTGTTGTGGGGAAGAGTATCTGGGAGAGTGTTTGGCGCGTGAGGCATGGGAAGGCGATGAAGGCGAACGAGTTTCGGTATGGGTGGCAGGACGAGAGCGAGAATATGGGGGTGTTGGAGGAGGAAGGGGTGCAAAAGGAGGAGGAGAAGGAGGATGGGGTAGTGTATAATCCTAATTGGAAGGGAGCTAGGTTGTTTGTGGCTACAAGCACGAGCGGGTTGGCCGCAACGCTGAAGCCACAAGAGAAGGAAGAGATTTGGAAGCAGTTGGGCGATTGGGCAGTGAAGAGAAGGGCGGAGAGAGCCGCTGTTATCACTGAAGGAGAGTAATGTGTCGAAAGGCCACAAAATACCCATATAATTTGAGACCTCGTGCACTTCCCCAAGACCATTTTTGCACTCGCCAACATTGAGAAATCATATATTGAGCATTATTTATCGTAAACTGTTCGCTGCCCTAAACCCGGGGCATTAGGTACCCAACGATGGCGGCTATGCCCCATACCCCTCGAGTTCAAGCCACCACAACTCATCTCGACCGCCCCAAGTCTGCGCCCGAACGCCTTTTGTACTGATGGGTATACCCTTAAAGAATCGAAGCAAAAGCGGTGTTGGTCTCAGACTGCCCTTTTCCTGAAACCATTTTTCAACGGAAAAGGGGCGTTGAGAAACGAAAGATCCCCCGCCGAGAATCCCGAGAATTGTCTAGGCCGCAAAAACGATGGTGGCGACTGTGGCAACGACAGGCCACCAACCGGCTTGCTGTAGCAAGGCGTGGAGTCCATCACCAGCGGCGTTCCCAGCTGCATCGGCAGTACCGGCAGGAAGAGTGCCATTGATGAGCAGAGTGCTAGTACCGTTCACGTTGGCAACGTCGATTAGGGACTTGTTGAGACTGGCATAGCTGCCGTTGCCGATCAGCTCCTTCAAGTAATCTGTGTTGTCGTTGTCATCACAGCCACAGTCGCCATTCGGAGAGCAGGCGCAGTCTACCGGCTTGGACTCATTGCGCTGGCTGGACTGGTTGTAGAAGTGGTAGGGTCTGTCGTAGTGATACAGGTGGGCGCCGTACAACCAGACGCCGGGCCAGAAGGCGAGGGCGCCAGCAACGAAAAACACGGGAAGGATGCCTGAGGGTGAGCGACCGCCAGATTTGTACGGTTTCGCCGACCCTCCGCCGTAGTATCTCCCACCACCATAGGTAGGGGTCGGGGTAGTTCGGCCGCCGCTAATGATATGTTCCGTTAGTAACCATTTCGAGTAAGGGCGTGGGGGGGAAATCAATGCTTCGAGGCAGAATGAATGAAGCCAAAACCCACCGGCCTTGCGAATTTGACCCGCTGCTGGCCCCCCCGCTGCTGGTTCCCCCTCTGCCGGGGCCGGAGCTTCCGCTTGAACCAGAGTTTCCACTCGAACCAGAGCTTCCACTTGAGCCAGAGCTTCCACTTGAGCCAGAACCCCTAGTCGTTGTCCGGTTACCATAACCGGACTTTCATGGATTGCCAAAATTCGGGTTGGGGCCGCCACGCTAGGAAACGACAAAAGGGAGCAGTATAGAAACAAAGTACTATTCACTTACGATCCAGATCCACTACCGCTGCTGCCACCGCTGCTACCGCGTCCGCCACCACTTCCACGACCACCGCCGCCACCGCCGCCCTTGCGCTTCCACAACTCTTCGCTCGAGGACTCGTCGCGTTCGGTATTTTGCATTGGTTGGCGGATCGCGACCTCTGCGGCGGGCGGCGCGACAAGGGCACCGGCCGCGACGTCGCTGAGGAGCGTCGCGACAAAGACGAGGGAAGCAAACTTCATGATGGTACGGTCGAGGAGGGTAGAAAAAAAGAAGCCGGAAATGTGCTCCGAGAAATTAGGATCCTAGGATGTACAGGATCGGATAGTGGGGTTGACAAGCAAATCGTGAGTTGGAAAATATGACGGGAGGTCCAGAAACAGGATCTCGGTGTTGATATACGAAATACGTTCCACCCGAATGGACGGAAGCGCCGCTGGGTGTCCATGCTTGCCATCATGGTCATTGGTTAGCGCAAGTACTTGTGCGTGTGCCAAGCCGAACCCTGGGAAAGTGGCGGACTCGCACTCGCATCAAAGACGTCGCTGCCACCCAACGTTATCCCCAGACCGTGGGAGCACGGCACGCGTGGACCACTTCCCCAGGGCCATCCACCCATCCAATGTTCCCATGCCTGCGTTTACACTATGCTTTGCCACAGTGCCACAATGGAGGCTTGAAAGGAAGCCTTTGAGGTACCGCTTCGCCTTCCGGAAGGTGGCTTGTAGCCCCAAAACTTTGGCCAATCTGACGAACCCCGGGCGCCCTCCAGTGCCATCTTGCGCATCATACACTACGGAGGAGACGATGTATCCGTATTCGTAGCTTCATGGGTTCCCTCACAAACGGGAGACATCCAAGTGGCTCCCAAGCTCAGTTGTGGCTGATCAGTGGACGGACCTCGTCAATTGACCAATAACTGCAGTAGTTACAGACACGGGCGCCCCACTTTGATTCCAAATAGGCATGGCGTCGGCCTTGCAATCCGCCTCGCTGTCAGGCTGTCAGCACAGCGCACCACCCGAGGGCCAACGCGCGCACGACAATACGTATCATTACCTTGGTCCATTTTCTGTAATACGCTCCGTCCCGCCGTCGAACCACAAAGTTCCTTGCTCAACGCTCAGCATCTCGCTTCGCAGCGAACGGGAAGCAAAGACTGCAATCAAATCACCCACCCCGCAATTCTGTATTGCGCCCGTCCGCTCACCAGATCAACCCGTGAATATGCCACCTCCCCCTCCGAATGACCAATCCCTGTTGGACAGGCTGAATGCCCTCAAGCCAACGGGCGTCACATTGGACAAGCTTGACAAGCCAACAAAGTAATCCCGCCCCACCATTAGAAACATCCGCACTCACCCGTCAAACATTTCTTTGTTGCTGTCAAAGGAGAGCGTCGGGCTAAGACAAACGTGCGACAAGCACTGTAGCCCCCCTCGATGCGGAGGCTCGGGCGGTATCAAAGGAAGATGCGTTAGCCGCGAGGTTGCGAGTTTTGAGAAGCCAACCGACAAAAAGAAGCGCCAACCATGGCGATGCCCAGGACCAACACGCCTCCCAGCCATCACCACTTGCGCAGGAGACGGTGACCGTTGAAGCCGATAAACCGGTGCGACCTCCAAACACGTCTCAAAAGGAGGGTGAAAGCCCCCAGCCATCTTCGGCAACTCAAGAGACCCAAGTATCCTCCGTTCAGAAACAGCCCTCGTATCGTTTAGCCGCCCCCTTTGCAAGCGATGAGGATGCCTTGGACGAGCTTCTAGAGTCCTTGGGGGGTGAAGATTTCGACTTCACCGCGGAGGAGGTTATTGAGCTGCCCCTCGATACCGGACCAAAGGATGAGGCGCGCAAGGTGAATGACCTGATCGAGTCTTTCCGGAGAAACGCAAGGCGTGGTCCCTCCAAGGCTCTCAGTGACGGTGATAATGGTGATAATGAGGATGACGATGACAGTCCGGACGGCGAACAAATGACACGCGATGTCGAGACATTACTCTCGCAAATACGGGATGAAATTAGCGCTTTGCCACCGCCAAAGGATGTATCAGAAGACGGGGATCACTCACCACATCAAGGAGCACATCCCAACACTGCATCCTTGAATACCGAGGACGATAACCCCTTCACCCTTCCTACTGTCCCTTACCAGCTCCTCGACCCAGCCCCCGTCGACACCCCGGATGACGACACCGTCGACGAAAACCTCTCAGCCCGCATGGCCTCACTCCGCGGCCTCGGATCCGTCGACGCGCTTGGTCTCCCCTCCGCACCCACTTTCCGGCCCCAGGACCGCAACACCCCCGGAAATCAGGGCAGCGGCACTGGCCTGCTACGTTCTGAGAAGTACTCAGACGAAGACCAAAAGACGTGGTGCGTCGTTTGTTTGGAAGACGGGGTAATTGAGTGCATGGGTTGTGATGGTGACATGTATTGTGCGCGTTGCTGGAAGGAGATGCATGTAGGCCCGTCGGCTGGCTTTGAGGAGAGAGGGCACGAGTGGGTGAAGGTTGAAAAAGGGCGTAGAAGACCTTGATCTGCCGGGGCGATGTCGTCGTTTCGACTAGGTACCACTGGGGAAAAGAGACGTTTTTTTGTTGTGGGCAAGCATGGCAAGAAAGGGCAGGACAAGGACGTAGAAGAGTCGACGTTTATGAAAGCCCGAGCTATGCGCTACATATGTATACAATAAAAAGACCGCCATGATTTCCCATAAACCAGACCATCCATCCTGCCAGTTCCCGTTTACTAAACCGCATTGTTATACTTAAGAGATATCCGCCCAAACTGTCCGTTACCCCCCGCGTTTTGCCGCCCCATACCTATATTAATACCGGTTTTGAAGTGTGTCAATTTTGGGCAAAAGCGAAAGCTCATAATCCGTTCCGAAAGACCCCCTCCTCACCATCGAAAACTGGCCAAACCTCCCGAGCTCTTTCCGGTTTTCATTTTCCTATATCGTTTCTTAATCCCGCGAACCTGATTGTCCTCCATTTTCTTGCCCATCCGCCGTACCATAACTTCGGCTTTGCCCACCAGTACCAGCCGACCTCTTCGCCCGGCCGGTAATATCCCCCCACGTAGCCCCAAACCTCCGGCCGGTGCTTGCCAACAACCCTTCCTCCTCATCTACCTCGGCCTCCTCATCCAGTTCACTAACATCCAGACGCGGTGTACGGAACAAACTGGTAATAAAGACGACCAAAAACACCGCCAAAAACGCAAACTGTGCCCAGAAATCGACGGCGCCAAACACCGGCCAGTTGAGCGTCACACGGTTGAGGAAGGTCGACATAACGGTCGGTGTGCACACGTCCTTAGCAGCCGGCTCGCTAAACGCCTCGGAACAGGGTCGCACCATGTCACGATGCTCGCGGCAATCGGGCTGCTTGCCCGGGTGGCGCGGCGGGTTAACACAAAAGGTCTGCGTGCCGTAGATGGCGTACTGAGGGGCGACGACCATGGCAACGGCGTAGTTGATGGCGAGGACCATGAGCGCCAGCAGCACCGTGGCGATGAGAAGGGCCTGCGGTGCGGTGCGGCCTTTCTTGATTTGGAAAATCCGCACCCACAGGAAGCGGATACCGATGGTGGCGAGTCCGGTGATGGAGCTGCTGAAGAAGAAGAGGATCAGGAGCGCCATGAGGATGTAGTCGACGGGGAAAGCTTTGGCGGACTGGACAAAGACCCAGTTGATGGGCTGAAAGACGTTCAGGTGGCCAAGGATGTACCCGCAGTGCTGTTTACAGACTGAGTTTGCAGCCTTGTCAATGCCGCTGATGAGCATGGACACCCAGACGAGGATGGATAGCAGAAGCAGAAAGATGCCACCCAGGAGTTTCAATGGCCTGAAAATGGCTTCAATCTTGGTCCAGATTCGGTAAATCGTGCTGCGGCCGTCGCCACGCGCTTCGGCCGCCAGCCGTTCGCGGCGCACCAGCGTTCGCTCCTCACGCAACAACGCGTCCAGCTCCCGCCTGTCCTTCTGAGACAAGCCTTCAGGCCGGCCAGTGTTACGTATCTCCAGCTGTCTCTGAAGCTCGCGGTTGTGCTCCAGGTCCGACGCAGTTGTTGCCGAGAGCTGCGGGGCGGAAACAGATGGGGCAGATTTGATAAAAGACACGGGAAGTAGAGCCAAACCGGCACCCGTGTAGAAGGTATAGAGCAAAGTTCCCAGGGTAATGAGAAGACCGATGCCGAACGTCAGCGCCTTCTCCCCATTGTTAGCCCCCAACAAGCGCTTGAAGTAGTCCAAGTCCATGTGTTTTCCGGGATTGTTGTTGCCGGCGGCGGGCACAAAGAAGCCAATGAGGAAGAGAGCCACGACAAGGAACACGAATCCAAGCGTGTACTTCAATGCGTGCCAAAGGCGAGAGCCCGGGCTGCTGGTGCCTTCTTCTTCTTCCACTTCGTCATATTCCTCGTACCAGAAATAGGTGAAGGGGATAACGAGCAGACATAGTAGAGCATCGAGGGTGTAAAGCGTGTAATACACAATCTTAAGTGTTAGAAGGATGCCGTCAATCCGACCAGGCGTGGCCCAATCTTTCTTTGCGCCGAGGTGGACGGACGAAGTCGACGAGACGAGCGCGATGTCGACGGGGAGAAGGAAAACAGTCGCGAGCAGCGCGGTAAGGCTTAAAATCGAAACGAGGCTGACGGCGATGGATCGATCGTGGGGCGTCTGCCAGGTAAGTATGGTGATGACGGCGACGAGCAGGACCAGGGCAACGGCCACGCCGTACGCGACCCAGATTAGACTGGTCTGTAGCAGACCTGCCGGTGCCATTGTGAGATGTAATGTCGTTTTTCTACGCTGCGTACGAGCTGAATAATGCAGCGGCAGCTCCGTCCGCAAAGGCCGTCGAGCGAAATACTGAAGTGAGGGGGCGGCTTCAAAACGCAAGTCGTTGATGCGAGGTCATCGTGCACGAACCGTCGAGGAGTTCGCGGCGGGCAGTTGGCTGGGAGCTCAGGAAGCTGTGACGCAATGCTGCATGCATGAAGTCAATGCTGACCCAATGCGGCGGCCAAATCCCTGTTATCGTTACATACGGGACAAACGATCCCACGTCATACATTTCAGAAACGGTGCTATTGTAACATACGGTACGTTACCGCCGCGCCAAATGTAGGCTGGAACCTCCCTTTTTGTTTCGCAACCGGATCTTTGGACCTCCGGTCAACATTGCTGGACGGCCAACACATCACAGCTAAGCCGATATTTCTCGAAGATTGCGTGAATCTCAACCGGTTCCGGTCAATTGTTTCAGCCACGAAGTTGCAACACTTTTTACCGACTTCTGAGAAGGAACGCGCTTCAAAAAGAATGTGTCGCGATGAGTTCGTCAGCCCCAAAGGCGGATAGGTGAGAGGACGTGATTTGCCAGAGAAACGGGCATCAACTCGACATTAACAAAATTTGCTCGACCGTGGGCGGGGGAGCCGGCTCACTTCGCTTTCTAAAAAGTGACAATCAGGTACGCAGTACGACTCTCCTGAACCAGCCCCCGGAAGCGGCCGGGAATATGAGCGAGACACGGCTCAGAAGATGAGACCGGGAGTCGGAGTTTCTTGACAGAGCCCTGGCGATCGGTTGGTCCCGGACGCCACCATCCTACCCGTGGGGGTTTCTGTGGTTCTTGAAGATATTCGTATCGTACACTACACTCCTTCGTACTCAGGTCGGGATTCATCCTAGACATTGACTAGTTCCTCACTACACCTGATCAAGTGTATGTGGTTCCTGCGTACACTAGTAGTCAAGGGGGAGCTCGCATTTCAACGAAGGACATCATCCAATCCACTCGCGGCGTTTTGGGGCCGCTCGAAAATGGACCCCTGGAGGAGCCCTGATTCACCTTGGGATCGTGAGCCGGCAAGTTCCCGCTCGGAAATCGGCATGCCTCCTCGGGATATCGATGGATTCCCCTGTCGTCACCCCACTGACGCGATGCCATACCCCACGAGTTACGAGTCACGCGTGACGGGTGGGTGAGTGCTCCCTTTGTCGCCAATTTCACAGCTTGCGTTGGGTTTGCGTTGAGTTGAGAAGCCCTGGTATCCTGGGGAATATCGTTCCGGAATGGGGATAGATTCGAGGACACTAAGTGGGTCGGAGTCCGGGGCATCTGGAGGATGCGATGTGATGTGCATCTCGGAAACACGGTCGGGACCAGCCTTGCTTCTCAAGGGAAGGGGCGCCACTCAGCCCAACAAGAACAGAGTACTGGTTATCAGGTCGATGAGCAGCCCATGGATTCAATGTTCTCTCTTCTTCACGCGTAGGGGAAGAAACACAGGTCGAGGACATAAAACATGATTACGTGAATCCCATCCGAGAAGGAACGGGCAGGCTGTTTTAGAGATGCGGAACGAGACGGCACTACGCCTGATGCCGGCAGATCGACCTCCTTTCCGAACAGGGGAGCCCGGGTGACCGCTATCGCAATAAAACCTAGCACATGGCAACAAGGACGGGCCAAGAACGCCCGTGGCAGCCATCAGCGGCACTGGCCGCTCCGGTATATGGGGCATCTATCTCCCGCCCGTGCGTCCAGGAGGGGGGCTGATCCGGCACCATCGCTCTGCTCGAGGAGGGTCGCCCACAACATCGACAACCTCACCGCGCGTGCGGGGGGGACCGCGATAATCAACGATGCCGGCGGTGCTGATTCCTGAGCACGCTGGCTCCGTTGAGTCGAAGCAGTCGTTGGTCATTGTCATCTCTGCCACTTTTCTTGCGCTGTCGACGCTAGCCGTTCTTTTACGAATATACACCCGGATTTATATCCTCGAGCTTCCCGGATCTGACGATTGGCTCGTCGTTGTTGCACTCGTATGGCCCTCTACCCGCCGTCCCTCTAGCCTTGTATTTTCGGTGGATGCTGACGGATCGTTGCAGTTTCTCGCCCTCGGGACTTCGATTGAGGCGGTGCTAGGTAATTATTTCCTCCAGTGCTCCGCGTGGGATAACGACGAGAAATGGGAGAGCATGGCGCCAAAAAAACGGAATGACAAAAGAAGGCTGACTTGACTCTATCAGAACTTCACTGGGGCATGGGACTACACGTGTGGCTTGTGACTGAGGAGATGGTTCGACAACAGATGAGGGTACGTGTCTCTTTCCTCCATCCTGCCCGCCACGCAGGACGCATCGTGCAATTTGGCTGAGACTAACTCTGTAGGCACTGTATGCCTCCGTCCTCAATTACAACCTCGCGAGCAATGTCGTCAAGATGTCCTTCCTTCTCCAGTACCGGCGCATCTTTGCCAGCAGCAGCCCTACCGCCGACCGAGTATGCCGCTGGCTCTTCTCCTTCGTTCTCTTTTGGGCTGTCCTACAAGCCGTCCTACTTGGGATTTGCTGCATCCCAATCACCGCATTCGTTCCCAGCATGACCGGCAAGTGTCTCGATACCTTGCCGGTCTGGTACTTCTCGTCCGTCCTGAACATCGCCATCGACTTTCTCATTTTTGCCGTGCCGTTACCCTGCGTTTATGGCATGACTATGCACTCGAACCAGAAAATGATGATATTTTCTGTCTTCTGCTTGGGCTTCTTGTAAGCGGCCTTCCCTTGCCCCGATGCGACCTCCAATTGACTCACCAATCTTATTTAGTACCTGTATAATTTCCGTCATTCGACTTTCCTATCTTCCCAAGGCCACCAACCAGGATGACCCGTCCTGGAACAAGTACGTCGAGTTCCGAGCTGCCTCACCTCCATGATCCCCTGCAGAGTTTCCGTGGACCGCGCTTTTTGTGTGAAGATGACATAGCTAACCATTTGACGCAGCGTGGACTTGTCCGTCTGGTCCATCGTCGAACTCAACTGCGGCATATTGTGCGCCTCTCTCCAAACACTGCGCCCACTCGTATGTCGATTCATACCCAGCTTCGCATCATCGGCCTCGGCGAACGGCGAACGGGTCTGCCGACGGCTGCCAGAAGTCCGAGAGACAGTCCAGCACCAATCATCCCCGTCGTTATCTCATCTTGAGGGTGGTCGCATCGAGATTATCAAGTGTCCATTCACTCAGGTCCCTCCTGGGAGAAAGTGGAAAGAAGCAGACGGGAGAAGGCTTAACGTACGCCAGTAGTAATTAACGTAATATAATGACAATACACTTCTAATATTTACACCCCTTGAGTTGGTCTCTTAGGTTTTTCCTCAAAAAAGTAACCTGTTGAAACTGCACAACCCGGCAATACCAGTCATAGCGGGCAAGCATGGGAAAATGGACCAGAAGTGGCATGTTTTCTGTTAACTGAGTTGATGGTCCCCATGGACGAAGTGCATGTTAACATGAATTGGTAATTACAGTACAGGCTCGTACATGTACCGAGTGCACAGTGGGGTGGGTCAGAGTTGCTGTGAATGGACCGAGCTTCCCTGGCTTGGGCCCAGCAAATTTCGCGGGGCGTTTGAAGCGCGTCTCCCCAGACAACGGCCAATTGCTGGCTTGGAAGCTCGCCCAAAGCTTCGACCGCACCGACGTCTTCACAGCTTAGCCAGCATCACATCTTCGGTTCCAAAACTCAAGATATGCCGATGAGGTACGCACCATGCAGTGCTATACAGAGCTGACGCCGCCTACGGCAGTCACGCATTCGGCAACACTGCATTTCATCCCCGGACAAGGCACCAACCTCGTTGTCGCCAAGTCTTCCTTTCTTCAGATCTTCAGGACAAAGCTCGTCGCAGTCGAGACCGACACATTATCGCAAGGTACCGGACAGAAAGCCCGTAATGCGGCCCGATACGAAAGCCGAGTAGCCAACGATGACGACGGCCTCGAAGCATCCTTCCTCGGCGGTGATAGTCTCGCTGCGCGGACCGACCGCACCAACAACACGAGGCTCGTCCTCGCTTCAGAGATTCCGCTCGCCGGCACGGTAACAGGATTGGCAAGGATCAAGACTCCAAATGCGCGCCACGGATGCGACTCGCTCCTGATCGCGTTCAAGGACGCCAAGCTCAGTCTCGTCGAATGGGACGCAGAGCGGCACACACTTTCGACGGTATCGATCCATTACTATGAGCAGGAAGAGCTTCAAGGGAGCCCCTGGGCTGCACCATTGAGCCACTATGCCAACTTTCTGGCGGCGGACCCTGGAAGTAGATGCGCGGCGCTCAAGTTTGGGGCTAGGAACTTGGCCATCCTGCCCTTTAGGCAGGCCGACGAGGACATTGACATGGACGATTGGGATGAGGGGCTCGACGGTCCGCGGCCGGCTAAGGGCCCGTCGAGCGCCGTCATAAATGGAGCTAGCAACATAGAAGACACACCATATTCACCGTCATTTGTCCTCCGACTCTCCAATCTTGACCCAAGCCTGCTCCATCCTGTGCACCTAGCCTTCCTGCACGAGTACCGAGAGCCCACCTTTGGCATTCTCGCCTCTACCGTCAGTGCCTCAAACTCGCTCGGCCGCAAGGACCACTACGTCTACATGGTCTTCACACTCGACCTCCAGCAAAAAGCATCCACTACCATCCTGTCAGTTAGCGGGCTGCCTCAGGACCTTTTCCGGGTAGTACCTCTACCGGCCCCCGTGGGCGGAGCCCTACTCGTGGGCGCCAACGAGCTAGTTCACATCGACCAGTCGGGCAAGCCCAACGGCGTAGCTGTCAACCCCATGGCCAAGCAGTGCACCTCCTTCAGCCTCGTTGATCAATCTCATCTTAACCTGCGCCTCGAAGGCTGCGCTATCGACGTTCTGACAGCCGATCTCGGCGAGCTTCTCATCATCCTCAACGACGGCCAGATGGCGGCGGTCACCTTCCGAATCGACGGCCGCACGGTATCTGGGTTACAGCTCAAAGTACTACCCGCGTCCTCCGGGGGTTCCATCGTGCCCGGTCGGGTGTCGACCGTCTCGCGGATTGGTCGAAATGCCATGTTTGCCGGGCTGGAGGAGGGCGACTCTCTTCTTTTTGGTTGGGGTAAGAAGCAGGCCCAAGGTGGGCGGCGAAAAGGGAGAGCGAAGGATATTTCTTTAGACCCTGGGGTTGGCGACGGGGATCTTGCGGAGGAAGACGAGGAGGACGAGGACGATTTGTATGGCGAAGAGTCCAGTCCTCGACATCAGCCTTTGTCTGCGGTGAACAGCCTCCTGAGCGGAGACGTCAGCTTCCGGATCCACGATCGCCTCATCAACGTCGGTCCCGTTCAGGCGCTGACATACAGCCAACCCGCTTGGCTCGCGGGGAGCGAAGAAGAGCGAAATTCGTCCGGCGTCCACAGCGACTTGCAGTTAGTTGCCGCCGTTGGTCGAGATAAGTCGGCCTGTCTCGCAACCATGAGTTTGGCGATCCAGCCTAAAGTCATTGGGCGATTCGACTTTCCCGAGGCACGCGGCTTCTGGACCATGTTCGTTAAGAAGCCGGTTCCCAAATCACTGCAGGGTGACAAAGGGGGGAATTCGCTAGGGAAAGACTACGACATGCCTGACCAGTACGACAAATTCATGATTGTCGGAAAGGTAGACCTGGACGGGTACGAGAAGTCAGATGTGTATGCCTTGACCGCAGCCGGATTTGAGAGTCTTGGTGGCACTGAGTTTGATCCCGCAGCCGGCATTACTATTGAGGCGGGAACCATGGGGAAAAGCAGCAGGATCATTCAGATTCTCAAGTCTGAAGTCCGATGCTATGACGGAGGTATGTTGGAGGCGTAAACGATGGCTCGGACCCATGCTTACGACGTGTTGCTAACCCTGTGGTTTGATACTTCTTTCTCCATTAGATTTTGGTCTCAGTCAAATTGTTCCAATGCTCGATGAAGAGACCGGGGCGGAGCCTCGAGCCATCGCGGCAAGCATTGCAGACCCATTCCTCCTTATTATCCGGGATGATACTAGTGCTTTCATTGCCCAAATCGACAACAACAACGAGCTCGAGGAGCTCGAAAAAGAGGACCAAAACCTCGTCACGACCAAATGGCTCACCGGCTGCTTATATGCAGACACCACTGGCGCCTTTTCCGAAGAAACTGCTACCAAGGGGCCGAAACCAACGCATAGCATTCTTATGTTTCTGCTAAGTGCAAGCGGTGCACTTTATGTTAGTTTTGCCCTCGTTCCCATGCAGAAATATCGCTGGTTCTAACCTCAAAGCGCAGATATATCGACTCCCTGACTTATCAAAGCCAATTTATGTTGCCCAAGGGCTGTCGTACATCCCGCCAGGCCTCTCCGCCGACTACGCCGCGAGAAAAGGGACGGCAAAGGAGACGATTGCTGAGATTATCGTAGCTGAGCTGGGAGACACGACCCATAAATCTCCATACCTAATCGTGCGTTACCTCCGATTATCCCGTTATTTCTTTCTCTAGCTAGGATCACTAATCGAGTGCAGCTTCGTCATGCCAACGATGACTTGACCCTTTACCAGCCCTTCCGCTACAAGGCAGGGCCAGATTCGGAGTTTTCCAAGACGTTGTTCTTTCAAAAGCTCCCCAATGCGGCATTTGCCAAAAGCCCTGAGGAAGCGGATGAGGACGAGGCCACACACCAGCCCCGGTTCCTCTCCATGCGGAGGTGCAATAACGTTGGAGGGTACAGCACCGTGTTTCTTCCAGGGGCGTCCCCTAGCTTCATCATTAAGTCATCGAAGTCGTCCCCGAGGGTGTTGCCGTTGCAGGGAACAGGCGTGATCGCGATGAGTCCTTTCCACACCGAGGGGTGTGACCACGGCTTCATTTACGCAGATTCTCACCATGTCGCTCGGGTTACCCAGCTGCCGCAAGACGTTAGCTATGCGGAGACCGGATTGGCGGTCAAGAAGATATCCATCGGAGAAGATGTTGCGGCCGTGGCGTATCACTCACCGACACAGAGCTACGTTGTGGGTTGCAACGGCGCCGAAGAATTCGAGCTGCCAAAGGACGATGACTATCACAAAGAATGGGCGCGGGAAGCCCTCTCTTTTAAGCCCACTGTCGACCGTGGAACTCTCAGGCTCATAAGCCCTATCACTTGGACCGCTGTCGACTCGGTCCAAATGGAGCCCTGCGAAAGCATCCTCTGCGTGGAGAGCCTCAATCTAGAAGTTTCCGAGTTCACCAACGAGAGGAAACAACTCATCGCTGTTGGCACCGCACTCACTAAGGGCGAAGACCTGCCAACTCGCGGCCGGGTCTACGTGTATGACATCGCGGACGTCATTCCCGAGCCCGGTCGCCCAGAGACCAGCAAGAAGCTAAAACTAGTAGCCAAAGAAGACATCCCGCGAGGCGCAGTCACGGCCTTGTCTGAGATTGGCACACAAGGCCTAATGCTAGTTGCGCAAGGTCAAAAGTGCATGGTGCGTGGTCTCAAGGAAGATGGCACCCTTCTTCCCGTGGCATTCATGGATATGAATTGCTACGTGACCGCGGCGAAGGAGCTGCCAAAGACCGGGCTGTGTCTAATGGCGGACGCGTTCAAGGGCGTGTGGTTTACTGGGTACACGGAGGAGCCGTACAAGATGATCTTGTTCGGCAAGAGCTCAACCAGGTTGGAAGTGCTGAACGCGGATTTTCTGCCTGACGGAAAGGAGCTTTTCATTGTAGCCGCTGATGCTGAAGGCCACATGCACATCCTACAGTTCGATCCCGAGCGTACGTTTGTTCCCTGACACAACCCTATTATTTCTCTTTCTTTTTTTTCTTGACATACTAGATCTAAACTGACACCCCTTTCCAGACCCAAAATCCCTACAAGGCCACCTTCTCTTACACCGTGTCACCTTCAACACTGGCGCCCACCACCCAACCCGATCCCTCCTCCTCCCAGCTTCCACGCCAGCCGATAAGGAGCGCGACCGCGCCCTAGCAACCAAGGCCAAATCGAAACCCAACGGCCATACCAATGGTACCAACCCGGCCGATGACGGCGAAGACGCCGAACCAGCCACCCAGCGCCCGCACCTTCTCCTCCTCGCGTCTCCCACAGGCGCATTCGCCGCCCTACGCCCCCTCTCCGAGTCAGCCTACCGCCGGCTCTCATCCCTCGCGGCGCAGCTCGTTAACTCGTTGCCGCACGCGGCCGGGCTGAACCCGCGCGGCTACCGGCTCGCCAACGCCGACTGTCCGCCGGCGGGCGTCGAGGCGGGGATTGGACGGAGTATTGTGGATGGTGCGGTGTTGGAGCGGTTTATGGAGCTTGGGATGGCGAGGAAGGTGGAGTTGGCGGGGAGGGCTGGATATGCTGGGGTTGGAGAAGTGAGGGCGGAACTGGAAAGTGTATTGGGGCGGGCGGGCATGACGTATTTTTAGATCACGGCGGGGATATGGATAGGAATCATAATAATATTCTGAGGTTTTGAGGGTATACACGGCTATTTAGCATGTGGTGTCTCATTCTCACGGTGTCTTGTCCCTGATTATTGTGACTGTGGCCTGTTCGGTAATGTCACCACTGCGTCGTTTTCCGACGGAGAAAAGGAAGACAGAGAATGTGGAAAGTGGTGGTGAAAAATCATTGCCGTCGTGTCTATTCTGCTCTAAAGCTACCTCAGTGTCAAAGCGAATCATTCCATACTACTCAGATAGCACAGCATCCGCCTTAAAACATAGAAAACTACACAAAAACGTCAAGATACTCGCGGTAAGAAAAGAGAAGGGCACCAAAAATGGGGGTAATGAACACAATCATCAAAACATCAGAACATAATCCATTCCAAATCGCACTTCCCAATCAGTAGTAGCCCGCATAGCCACCCTACTTCTTCCTCAGACTCCCAAACCGCCTCTTCAGCGTCTGCGCCAAATTCTTGCCCCCGGAGCCCGCATTATTCCTTCGCGCAGCGCCCGACGTCCCAGTGCCCCACGCGTCATCTTCATCGTCGCCATAGTCGCCACCTTCCTCACCATCTTCGTCATCGTCGTAATACCCATTGGAACCCCCCATCAACGGGCGAGTCTGCTGTGCGTGGGCAGTAGTAGCAGGGCCGGCACGGTCATTTCTGCCAACGCTAGCGGCGCGGCGGCGGAGGCCGCGTGTCGCTGTTGTGACGGCGGGCTGTTTGGAGGCGTGGGCGTCCCGGGAGGTGGCTGAGGCCGTGGGTTGCATCTCGTAGTAGACCGTTCCGGCCTCTGCGGCATGCGGGGCGGTGGTGGCTTTCTTTTCGCGACGAGCTTGGTCGTAGGAGAAGGCGGGCTCCCCTTTTCCCTTGTAGTCGTCGTCACGGTAGCGCTGGGTTGAATGATGTTAGTTATTTCTATCCTAGCTTGATGGGGAAAGGGATGATATACATACAACGTGGTCCCAGCGCTTGTACGGTCCGCCCTCTGCGTCTTCCTCACGCATAAGGTCGGCGCCTTCCTGGTACTCCATCGTGCGGCCGCCCACGTCCTGCATGCCAGGGGGCACAACAGCGGTGCCTTGGAGCGGCACATGCTTGACAAGTGAGTCTTGGACGTACTCCACCGGGGTTGCCTTGAGGGCTTCCATGTTGGTCTCTTTAACCGCGTCGACAGGGGCGTACTTCTTGTTGAGGTTACGCTCCTTAAGCGTGGCGTCGAAGGGCCCGCCATGATGGTAGGTGGCGCCGGGCACGGGGCCCGTATGATCGAGGGTGTCGATTGGGTCGCTCGGCTGCTGACGGCGGTGGGTGCGCAGATGAGGTGCCCGGTCTGCAGCACGATGCTGTTTGGTGAGCATGGCTAGTGGGCGGTGGGACATGTCGCCTGGATAACGCTCTCGAAGCGAGTTAGCCCGGCGAGGGAAGCCGTTCTCCCCTTGGGTCCCACCTCCGGTGCTAAGTTCCTTTGAAGGCTTGTCGAGAGGACGGCGATGGTTGTCGCCTTGATAGCGTTCAACTAGGGAACTAGCACGAAGCCGGTGGCTAGTCTGGTTTCCTATAGAGGCCATGATGTCTGCGCTAGGCCGAGGAGTGGATATGCTGCTAGCCCTAGTGAGGATGGTGCCTTGGTTCCAACGGGTCGGTTTGGGGGCTGCCGTGTAGAGCGAACGTTTTCGTTCCAGGCCTGCCGGGGGTGGATACTTGGAGCGTGGTGGCGGCGGAGGTGCGGGTAAGGGTTTGTCCTTTACACTGTTGCTACGACTGCGGCTCAAGCTGAGGGAACGAAACAGAAGCGGGAGCTCTTCGCGGCGGCCGTCGATGGAATTCTTTCGGAGACGCCTCTGGCTAGAGGAGTCGCGGGCAGGACTCTCGGGAGATGGCGGAATAGGGAGTGGCTTGTACTGTGGTGCGCACACTTGGTTCGGTTCTGGATCGTAAAGAGGACCTAAGATATATTTAGACGCCTAGGTGAGGGAGGTACAAAGAAGATGTGTTAGTGACGGAGGAAAAGATCAACACTATTTCGTAGCAAAGGGCAAGTTTGGGAACGGAAATATCGGATCTATAGAGTCTATGTATGGAGGTACGTGTACAGGCGATAAGAGAAGGCAGTCGACAGTGCTGAGTGGCAGGTTGGCGAAAGTTCGAGGCCTGGAACTTGGCAGCCGATGCCATGGATGCGGCGGGAAACCTGTGACGCAACCTCAAGGGCGATCGCAGGGGTTCGGCGATCGGCCGCGATCATCCTCGCAGCCGTCGAAATGCTGCTGTCGTAATGGTGGGCCACAACCCGTCGAGTCACCATCTTGGTTGGCTCAGGTGCACAGTTGGATATACCCCGCCGTTCCATGCCTTGGATTTGGCAGAAATGAGAAGCGAAGCCCCAAGCTTTTGGGTATGAAAGGGATCGTGGGTGATGCGTCTCCAAGTCCATTCAAGCCGCATGTGCGGCGGGGTAAGCGCTGTGAGACCTCATGGAAGGCCGCAGCAACCCAGCGTCATCGAATGAGGTGGCTTGACTCCAAGTTTTGTACTGCGCAAAAGGAAAAACAGAAAAAGAAAAAGCCGAAAACAAAGGAAACCGCCCGATGAGAGCGAACCATAAATGTTGGGAAGATTCCATCTGGAGGAAGCCGCACACGCGGGTTTAGGTAGGTATGAAGTGGATTGAGGAATTGGATGCCCAGAGCAAGGGAAAAGGGTTCACTCACCCATTGCTTGTCGGGAAGTCCGTCGTCGGAGCCCCTGTCGCTCATTTTTGTGTAGTGGCGGCGCAATGCCACTGTTAGCGGGTCATCAGTTGAGCGGGGGTCATATCTGTGGGTCATGGTTGAAGTCGGAGTGGGCGGACTGCACGAAACTTTTCGTGATCTTGGACTGGCTGCGTATCGGAAGCTTTGAACTTTGTGGTTGGGTTTCTTCTAAGTTTCACGGTAAAAGGTGTCAAGAAAGAAAGAACTGGAACGGCATTTGGTCAAAACCTCGGGAACCGAGCAGTTTTGTGTGACCGGCCAAAGTGCAGCCAAATTTCCGGGGCAGCAACCGCCTAGGTGGTCGTCCTGTTGCGAAATGGAATCACCCTAATTCCTTCAAGTTTTCTTTCAAGAAGGAAAAAAGCAAGCCGTCATCAATCAAAGAACATCATTTGTGAACAAGGTTTGCCCACTTGCCCGCCCGCTTCGCCTCGTCTTAGTTCGAGGCCGATGTTTTGGTTCCATTCTCACACCGACCCTCATTTTCAGCGTTTCTTTTGGGGCAGGGGATAAAATCGGGTGTAGAAGAACAGCCCGAATCACTGGCCGGCCCTTTTACACGGGCATTCTTGCAGCTCAACCCGCGTTCCCGAGGCCGCAGTATGCATCCATGGATGTAAGGCACTCAGCTGCCCTAGCGATCTGCCCGTAACTGCGTCTTTGCTTGGCGGCTCGGGGTTCAGGGACCTGTTTGCGGCGTTTTACGTCCGCAGCCGTGGATTGGTCAGGTCGTCCGGTGTTCAGCTTTCCCGCCTCAGCACATCAGATTACGACACTAAAACGTGGCTGCGGCAAGGTTTGCGATCGGCCTGAGGTCTGCCCACCGGGCCGGTCTCCACACGGAAACAAAACGAAACAAAAAGACCTGTTCGGAGGGCATCCACAATACCGCCCGTCAGAAGCAGGCCTTATCCGGGCTTGAAACACACGGGGTAATGGCTCTCGTAGACTACGAGTCCGATTCAGAGGGCTCTGCATCGCCGACCGACACTCCTGCAAGGAAGAAGCCAAGAACGGGTTCCCCAGGCCCAAGTGCCGGCCTTGATCCTAGCTCCGGCTCCGGCTCCGGTTCCAGCTCCACTCATGACCCCCTCCGAACGCTGAATGACACAATAGCGACCTCCACAACCACTACCACAACCGCATCATCTCTCCCCCCTCTCCCGGCCTCTTTCCACGACCTCTACGCCTCCACCGTCCGCACCACCACCTACGACGATCCCTCGCTGCACCAAGGCCGCACCCGCCAAAACCCCCACGTCCACGGCCACTGGCCCAGCCACATCTACATCGAATGGCACCCGCCGCGCTCGATTCACGCCTCCCTCTCCGCGCAACTCGCGCGCCTCCAGTCCCAGACAAAGTCGGCAACGGGAGATGACGTCACCAGCTTCCTAACCAGTGGCCTCGCCGCACCTTTGCCGCTGCACATCAGCTTGTCGCAGCCGATTGTGCTCTCGTCGGAGACCAAGGAGGCGTTTCTACGGGATGTCCAGGCCGCGGTGGCGGCGGATGTGCCTGTGTTTGAATTGCGCGGGGATAGGGTAGAGTGGCATCGCACAGTGGAGAGTGGTCGGTCGTTTTTAGTTTTACGGGTGCGGAGTCTAGGCGCTGCTGATGAGGACGAGACCCTGAACTTGAACCCGAACCCGAACCTAAACCCAAACCCGGAATTAACGAGCCTGCTGAAACAGTGCAATGCGGTAGTGGAGAAATATGGGCAGCCAGGACTGTACCAGTGGGCGGAGGAGGAGGGTGGGAAAGAAAGGCGGAAAAGGGGTGTTGGGAACGCATTTCACATCTCTATAGCGTGGTCGTTTGCGGAGCCGACGGAGGAGCTTGTTGACTTGACTCGTCAGGTGTTTGATCATGACATTGGGTCAAGCACGGGTGTCCGAGAGGTGCGTGTTCCCGTTGAAGGGGTCAAGGTTAAAATTGGGAACGTTGTTACCCATGTTCCTCTCGTAAAACCTGGGAGAAGGGGTGGTGCAGAGGGTAGAAGGAATCTACTTGGGTTATGAACCCATAGCAGCGAATAAGGGAATTTGGACGCCACAAACGGCGTGTTGTTTAGGTCCTGTATGTGTAAAGACATATATGTATGTATTTCCTAGGCAGCACTGTGACATCCGACACTAGTCATTGTAGAATTCAAAATGTATCCAATGCATCGCCGTTTTGCGATAAATCGAGGAATAAAAATGGAAAAGAAACAAAACAGTCCGTCTTATGCCAAACGCCAGTAGCGACTCTAATCAACAAAGTCCGCCATGCAACGATGCAATGCTAACCACAAAGAAGAAAGAGAAGGAAAACAACGACGCTCCCTTGCTTGTTTACAACTCATCCACCCGAGCGTAACCCCACGACCGTGGCGAGACGGGTAGGCCGATGTAGAACTGCCAGAGCCGTTTCAACTCGGAGGTGACTATGGCCCACCTAATACGCGCAAAAGGGTCAGCGGGATGTTCTCGAAAACAGAATGTGCTATCTGGGGGAGCTTACACGTGTGATGGAACATGGAACCAACTTCTCACGACGAACTTGAAGGCCCTGATCACATTCTGCAGCTCGTCATCGAATTCCTCTTTGGCAGTCCGGTTTTGATAACCCTCCGCACCGTCGTCCTTTTCGAGAGTTTCGTCCGCTCCAACAGCTGCCGACGGAGCCACCTCGGACGACTCGGGCACAACGGCATGCCGTGGCTTTTTTGCCCAGTCTGGGATCACGTTGACCTTTGTGGCCTCCTTAGGTCGCTCCGCCTCAGCCTTCTCGGCCGCTCGGCCCTGTTCCACCATCTGTCTGAACTGCTGCACAGCACTCAGGCTGCTGCTCAACCGCGCATAAGTGTTGAACAGAGCAACCAGCTCGGTGCGCTTCAGTATCGGGACAGCGGGGTGGTCGTTATTGTCAAACTCGAATAGCACCTTGAGGGCGGTTCCGTAGCCGACTGTCTGAAGCTTACCCCAAAGGCGGCACTTGTCGCAACCTACGCAGTCCATCAAGCGACTGACATTGCGGAAGCGGTTGCGGAAATCTTCCTTCAGAGAAGGGCCTTCGCCGTTCTTGAACATGAGACTCTCGTCGAAAATCTGTGGCACGCTTGCTGCCTTGTCCGTGACGGCCATGACCTTGTCCCTCGTTAAAGTGTCCTGGTCGGAATCGCTCGTGCAAAAGGTATAATCTTGGTGCTCGGAGAGATAGGGCCCAAGCTTGGCAATGGCGCGGGTTAGGAGCGCGTAGTTGAAGTAGAGGTTGCTGATGCGATCCGGAAAGTTGTGTAGCCGGCTCATGTAACACTCAAGATTGGGCTGCCACTCCCCGGTCGTCCGGTCGAGGTAGTCCCAGCAGATGTGCGTGGAGATACTCGCGTGCATGCCCGATATGACGCGGTAGAACACGCGTTTCTCCAAACACTCATCTTCGTGCTCCAGACCCGTCTTCGCAACGAAGGGCGTCAGCGGGTTATGCTGCCGATGTTCCTCCAAAACCTGTTGCCGACCCGCAGCCTCAATCACAGCTCTGAAATCCATGGCGGCCGGGCCCTTAACTGACTTGTCCTTTCCGAGGGACGCCGAGTGCGGAAAGGAGCTCTTCTGGAAGCAGTTCTCCCGGTAAATGGCGTCCCACACTTGCTTCGCCCCGTCACCTGCGTATCCCGTGAAGCGTTCCGGATTGCGCAGCAAGCTGACATAGTCGCCCTTTGAGCTTGCGCTTTCGTCCTCCGGAACGCAGTAGTCTCGCTCATCGCACTCGTCATCGTACTCCACCACGCAGCTCTCCCCGACATCCTCACCCAAGCGTCCCTGCAGCGGCCGGTCGGGCTGCTCCTTCTGCAGGTTCTTGCCAGGATGGTGTGCGCGAGGGCCTTCCAGCTTGCCCAACTCGCTCGCACGCCATACTAATGGAATATCCGCCTCATTGTCCAGTGTCTCGACAGCGCAGGCGATGTTCCCGCACATCCCATTCTCGTCATCCCAAAAGGGGCATTTTTTGTGGAAGAGATTGACTCGGTAATGCGAAAAGAAGTCGGTCGTCTGCGTCAGCTCGTCAAGTGCCGGCTTGACGTTGCGGTTCAGCCGCTCAAGCGTCGAATAGGAAGCGCATGCATCGTGGACGATAGCTTTGGGTGAGATCTGCCAAAGCGAGCCGTTAGAACGAAAGAAGCGAACTTGAGTCGCCGAGGTAACCGTCACTTGGGCGCAATGCGACAGTGCAGCGCCAACAGACGTGTAAACGAGCAATAAACTTAGAAGGGCATACCGCGCAGGCATCTTGTAAAGGAGAACTCGGGTCCGGGTTCTGACATCGGACTTGAGGGGCCCAGAGGGCAAATACCGACAGGTAAAAGAGGCGCGTAGCCGACTTCATAGGGTCGGCTTGGTGGTACGACCTGCCGGTCGTTTAGAATGTGTTGACTTCGGGAGGCCCCGGGGCGAAACTACAGAGGCCAGCTTTTGGCGATGTAAACGAAGCTCTGGTGTGGCCGGGACAATTCCCAAGGCCCGTCCTGAAACGTCGAGGTCGCGGAGATGTGGTCCGAACTTATGGGTGGCGGCCCTTATTATTACAAAGAGGACATTTGGCGATAAGAGCTTATCAAGGCGAGGCCTGCATCGAAAACGGCCCGCAAAACGAAAGTCTTGGCGCTTCTGGAAGCCAATTATCAAAAACGGAATGGACCTTCAGGGGAGAGTCGCGGTATCTTCTCGCGTTTCGCTCTTCAGAATTCGTAGAATTCATCGTGAAGGTGGCTCCGGGTGACGTCGGGCGGCCCCTCATTTATTAACAATCAGCATTGAGGAGATGAGAGGGGGTCGCGACGGGAAGATGAAATGTGTCCAGAACCGAAGACCACTTTCGGATGGTGATTTGCCGACAAAAAGCGACTGCTGCATGCTGATTGCTCGAAATAATCTGGGGGATGTTCCGCTGAACCCGGCGTCGTATTCTCAGTTGCCGTTCCGCTGCGACTCCGATTCCCAAATTGGAATCTTGAATTTACACAGATTGGGAAACCCCTCTCTCCGATGGCCGTTTGTTCCGGTTGTTACTCCAATCCTGCTTGGGAGGGATCAGTAAACTTTGTTTCTTTAAAAATGTGGCTGTGTGTCAAACAGACCAGTCCGGTAACACCGGAGTAGGCATGATGTAAGGTAGTCTCACTAGCATCAATTCCAAAGAATAACGGGACGTCACACTTAGTACCTCTTGAAGCGGTCTTTAGTTGGCCATGGTCTGCTCAAAGGCTGTGGTTATTATTTGTTGATCCTATGGAATAACCAACAAAATCATCATTCAGGCGGGCGTCAATTGCGACTTGCCCTCTCTCGATGCTAACCACACCCCAACGCCAGGCAAACCTTAAGACGGCGTTCAAATTGACCTTCCAATCCACAGTTCGTCACCCACACGACGCAAATACCACCGCCCTTAATGTACCCCGCTGCTGGAAACCAAGCGATGAGAGTGCATTGTGCGAGCTCACCGCCCGCTTCATGCGTTAGTCGAGAAACAACACTCTGACACACGGGTGAGGCGCATTATCCTCCTATCTATCGTGGTGTTGTTCGGCGTGCCCATATAACCCTAGCATTCACAGTGCAGCCAGGCTGCTCATGATGATGCAAGAAAGGAGGCAAACTGAACTCCGATTTAAATGCTTCTCGTCGTCACCTCTATCTCGGCCTGCTTCACTGCGGTGGTTGATAATTCAGGGGGCGCCTTCTGATAGTTAGCGATGGACATGGGCAAGAAGTCGCGAGCGGTATCTTACTTGAAAAGCAGGATATGGGGCTCCGGCTCATGCACCTCATAGTGCTCCCATCCGAGACTCTGCATATACCAAATTAGCACACTTGTCGTGTCGCTTCCCCCTTTGTAGGCAAGCGTACCTGTGTGATTCCCATGGCCCTCCACTCATCCTCCCACAGGAGTTTCAATGTTCCCTTCGATTTGTCGTGGTAGTCGGCCGGAATAAGCTTGAGCATCGCCTTCGGGAGTTGCACATGACGATACTCAAACTCGCTGTCGGAGTACCTAGTATAGGTTAGCGTCAACGGGCCTAGTTATCGCGATGGAGGAGTTTGGAAGTGCACCTGTTGGAATAATGTATGTCGTTGATGAACTCATCCAGTCGCGAACGTTCGTCGTCCGTCAGCGGTCGCGGGACACGGTTGCGGCGGCTGGTGTCAATGCCCATTTGCTCCTGGGTAGCCATCCTCGTCTGTTCACGCTGTTCTGGAAAATCAAGCGACGGATCTTGCGGTGCCTGGGGTTATCTATTCGCTGAGTCGAACCCTGTTTCTGGGCGGGTTTTCAGGATCTGCCCACCGTCGCGCGAGTAGCAGTTGGCGCAGATTGGACCCGCGACAGAATAGGTGCGTGGGGTAACAATGCCCGACCCGGGGGGTCTCGATTTTGAATGAAGGTGCCGGATAATGACGTTTGAATGCGCCGAGCGGAGGTCTCGTTTGCGGCGGAACTAGGTGCGGAAGAATGGTGCGCGATACCGTATTCGCTCGTAGGTAACGGGTGTTGAGAGCGAGAATTCGTTTTCGAGGAGGGGTTGAAGCGTGGGCGAACATAAACAAATGGAATCGTTCGTCCATTTTAGCTCTGCCAGGGCCCCTGCCGCGCCTGCCCGACGCTAAAAACTTTAACCCCACCACAAATCGGGCACGGTCTCCAGAGCGCAAACGGTCGCGTGTGTCGAGCTTCAAACTATTGGATGCAAGGTAAATTTTGTCACGGGGTACTGTGAGGCACAAGGCACTACAAGAGGACTTTATGAGTGACAATATCATCGTCCCGGTTCCGGGAATCAATGCGACAGGAGATGTGTATGATCCGGGATGATTCTAGTGGGTGGCCTCCCCGTGGTAAGAACGGGCACTGCACTTCTAAAGTTGTTTAAAGACCCTGCAGCTACCTAGTTAGAACAAGTCGTTTGTACAGATCCATAACACCTCATTAGCTGTTGAATTGTTCCTCGCCTATTTTCTTAACAACAAACATACACACGGCCAGAGTCACAACACAACAGCCTTGTTCCTGTTGTTCACCCAACCTAGATCCCTTGGCCACACAGTGATTTCCGTGACTTATGGCACTGTTTCACACTGTTTTATGCTTTCCCTCGCATGCCAAGCCGGTTCCCCCTTGCTAAATCGGATTGACCTGCAAAGATGATGCCGGGGAGCACGCTTTGACCCCAACCAACATTTCCATGGGTTGACAACCTTTCTCCTGAACTGCCTCACCCACTGCTCTGGTTCTTTCTCACGTTAGGCCAGCGCGCCCTTGGAACTCGTGTGCTCTAAGTGGCAGCACCTTGACATTGAGGCTAAGCGCCCCGCTCCGTCGGAGCTTTTGCGCCTCTCCGATTCATCCTCGACGCGTCTCGACTCAACACTGGCCCGCGCCTGGACGTCAACGCCCATCGCATCCACATAATTATCCCTCTCCCGACAGACCCAAAAAATTTCCCACTCGCGGCTGAGAAGTGTGGCCACCGTTGGCCAGTGGAAGCGCAATGGACCATAAGCGCAAGGCGAGTCTGTCTGGAGCCGGCGTTGCCGATGGCGATGACCGGGCTTTTAAGAGACAAAGGACACCAGGTGTAAGTCCCAGGGCGCAATTGGAACCCACCCTCCTTATCACCTTCTGCTAGCCTGGGCCTAGATGTTTTGTCACCACTGTTCTCTCAAATCCCACTGGCCGAGCGGCGAGTTTTAACACTTCCCATCACTCCATACAACAACTGGGCTCTCTGAAGTCTATCCCTCCCTTGTCGCATACACATTGGACACGTTCCCCCTCGACTGGCAGCAACCAGGTTGCTAATAGTGGACGCAGCAACCCTCCGACTACAATCTCCTGCAAGGGGAAACACACGAATCTACGACCGCCTATGGACTACACTTTCTTGAAACGATTCGGAGAACGAAGGACAAAAGGTGCGCTTGATCTTGCTTCCCCTCCCGATCTCCATATGGACCGCACTGACCGAATATATCACGGATACAGTGGGCGGCTTGTCGCAAACTACTTCGAAACCCTCATCCCACGGGAGAACAACCAGGAATACTACGAGCGCATTCGCCTGCCCATTTCGTTGAGCATTATTGAGCGAAGACTTCAAAACCAAGAATTCGCGAACCTATCGGAGCTTGAAGCTTACTTCAAGCGCATGGTGATGAATGCGAAAGATTTCTACCCCAAGTCTTCAGAGGTTTTCGAGGACGCCGAACGCGTACGCAAGGCGCTAAGCAATTACATGACAAAAACCAACCCGGCATACAAACTTGTCCATGGCTATAGCTGCCAGGCCACCCCGGTCGATACCGACGGGCAGCCCGAGACCGGTAGTGCTATAGTGCACCAGTCGGCAGTGGAGCAGATGCCGGTGAGTGACGAGGACGCGGAAGGCGAGGAAGATGCGCAAGAGGAGGACGAAGATGCCGAGGGCGACGAAGATGACGATGAAGAAGATGAGAACCCCCGGAAAATTGTGCTCAAGAGGAGGGGCCCTGGCCGGCCAGGCTCCGAGCAGTCAAGGAAGTTGGATAAGAGCGGACGGGTCAAGGCAGACCACGAGTACGAAGGCGTGCCTTATAAAGGACTCTCTTTTCAACAGGCACAAGAGAAAATTGTCGAGGAGTTGATCAGGAAACCAGATGGGTCGTAAGTATCTGTTCTTGTTCGAGTTTTGTGTGGCAAAGGAAGGAACGACAAACTGACCAATGCAGCGACCCATATTTCCTGGACTTTATCAACCTTCCGCCGCGTAGCTACAAAGACTACTTCGCGGTTATCACATCACCTCTGTCTTTGAAAGGTTTACAGAAGCTTGTCAAAGGCATTCATGGTCGACAGCCAGCGACGGGAGTGAGCGACTTCAAAGGTTGGGCGGCATTTGAAGAGAGAGCGAGCCTTCTCTGGACAAACGCACATTTCTACAACGAAGAGGGGAGCGTCATTCACACGTTAGCGACAGAGCTCAAGGTATGACGCCTTAATATGCAGGCAGTATGTCAGAACTGACGCAAAATTTTGCAGAAATGTTTTGAGCGGGAAGTGGGAGAAGCCAAAACCCTTGTGCAGGAGCCACCACAACCAAAAATTAAACTCAAGATGACGCCCGGCCAAGAGACCCCGGTTCCCGGTTCAAAGAAAATTACCATTCATGTTGGAGGGTCTCGTGGCAGTACCGCAGCTTCGCCCGCACCACAAACTGGCCGTTCAATGAGCGATTCGAGCCGCCCCGACGGAATCCTAGATAATAGTCGCAACAATTCGGCGGTCCCGGCCAACACCACCACTGCTAGTTTCCAGGTTGATAACACCAAAACCTTACCCATCGCTGTGGGATCTCCCCACCCTATCGGTGCCGGTCCGATAGCCCAAGGAGGCCCTCAGCCATCCCCGCCCTCTTATGCGCGGCCGAACGACAACACGCAGAGCGTGCCAAATGGCATAAACGGCATCCCGGGTCGCGGTCAAGTCTTTCACCAGCCCAACGGTCAGCCGATACAAAACGGCCACTCACATCCGGCCCCGGCCCCGGCCCCGGCGACAACCCCGATCTACGATTTCAAATACCGCGCCCCTGGTAGAGGTGCGTCACCCCATGACTAGCTCTTGCTCTCCAAGTTGTCATAGAAACGCGCGCCTAGCATCGTAACTAACCTTTTCGCCAGGTCTCGCCGATGCGCTCTTGCCTAGCCTTTTGGTCAGGACACATCCTAGTGTGGTTATGGACCACAAGTTCCGGATGGAATTCCCGGCTCACCCGCGAGAAGCGCACCAGAATCTCACAATGCACCTCCCAGCCAGCTATCACCGACTGCAGCTTATTCCTCGTTTGGCGCCATTTGAGCAACAAGGCCGGCAGTACCGCATGTTTGTGGCCGTCAATGGCCATACGGTCGGTCGGGCGGTCCCGCTGCCTGTTAAGGACGATCCGTTGCCCCCGAACGCGATAGTTTTTGACGCTAACCTTCAGGCTTCTACGAACATCATCGTGGTTACGGTTATCGCTAACTTACCTAAGGGGCAAAAGTTGATGAATGGTGCCGACTGCGAGGTGGAGAAAGTTGTTCTCAACCTCCAACTCCTCCGGTAATACTTACCGGCCACAAGGCTGTTCTCGGAGTTGTCAAGGGGCGTGTTGCCCGAAAATAATGAACGGGCAGGGAACAGTGGGCACGGTAAAATTGCGGTGCCAGTATCTAGGCTTTATGGGTGCTGCGACGATAAGGCGGCGGACTCTGTGGCGGCTAGGACGGCTGGAACTGGCGTTTGGGGATGGGCGGGTTAACCTGTATGTCTCTTTCTTTCTTCTATTAGTCATTGTATGCGCTATGTAAGGGCTTTCGAGCATCTTAGTTCACATAGTCCACCATTGTAGCACAATGGGAGCCACGCGGTTCACTCCGTCCTTCAGCCAATGTTCACGGGCAAGCAGGACACCCTCAAGCCGAAACGGTGGTGGCATCTATATCCGGTCCCTTCTGTTTGCTCCCCCGGATGCGGTTGCCATTGGAAAGCTCATTCCGTCTGTCGCTGTGAAGTTCCCTTTGTCCATGCAAGGCCCCGTCTCTCAACTATGCACAGCCGCGCGTCTTTGTCTTGACAAGTAGCATTATACGAATTTTGATTAGTGATTGTTAATCTAGGCTTTCTCATCCGCTTTTGTCTTATTTTTCCTCTGAACTGAACACCTTGCATTCAGTCGTTCGCTGTTGCTGTACAAATAGCCACAAGAGGAGACGACAGGCCTCTACGCTTTTGCCAACTCAACCATCCTCCCACAAGAACTGCAGCCCCGGCAGAGATAAATCATCATTTGCTTCACGCTTATACCATGGAAGGCCCTGACATCTACCTCCGCGGCGGCGCCGGACCCAATCGCGACGGGCCATACCGACCGCCTTCGACGTACTCCATCTCCAGCTCCTCTTCATCGGAAGAGTTGACCAAGCTTCGGTCCAAGCGAACCACCAAAAAGCAAACTCCGACGACAAAGAGACAGGGCCACCACCAGGCTGCTCCCAGCAGCGAGTACACGGCCGCTCCCAGGAACAGGTTCAAGCACCGTGAGAGCAAGCGGCTCGGGATCCAGGACAGCCCGCTCCGTCCCGCCCGCGCCAAACCCGTCCGCGATAAGCCAAATGCGGGTTCCGAGTGGATGACATGGGCCGCCTCAGCTGCCCGCAGCTCGGATAGCCGTGTGCGAGAACTGACCAGCGGGTCATGGCGGCCGACGAGAGCGCGGTTCGATGCGCTGTGGCCAATGGATGGCGAGGTGCCTGATGAGTGGTACGAGAAGTTGTATTCACGGCTGTTTGAAAGCGTGCGGGACTTTGCAGAGACGTATTTTGGGCATGACGATTTCCCAGACGTGGATGTGGATGGGGCCGAGGCCGAGGCCGAAGGAAAGGAGAATGAGGAGGGCGCGATCTGGTTGGAGGCAGGGCTCTCGAACATATTGCTGTCGTTTATCGGGCAGATTGCGATACAGGACAACAACACTGGTGGGTGGGATGCGCTATTGACCCAAAGGGCTCAGCGAGAGTGTCTGGTCGTCGGGGTAGTTGGGAAGGTGCTGGAGACGGCGGTTTTTGACGACCTGCTTTTCGGCGAGAGCGAACCGGGAAAGACGATGTTGGCGGCTCAGGATAAGAGCACTGTTAACGCTGAAGGTAAGCATCCCGAAGCCCTCACGCTCACCGGGCACTGGGCACCTCTTGAGCTCGAGATCAGTGACTGACCGGCGTAGGCTATCACCGCACCAACCTACGCTCCCAAAACGTCCGCACTCTCTTGGCCGGAGAAACTTTGCCTTCCAGCTTCTGGGACGCCGTGGACCAGCTTGCGCTCCAAATCACAACACTTATGCTACCCCTTCTTGAGCTCGTTGAGAACCACCTGCCGGCCCGCAAGCTACGGTCCCTACGCAGGTTTTACCAGGACTTACACATTATCGTGTCGGAAGCCGGGTATCTTTCCATTGGTATTCGCTGGTCGCGTAACATATTCCGTTTCTCACAGCCGTTCCCCGGCGAAGTGTGGAATAATGATCAAGAGCATGTTGACGACACCGTCTACAAGGCTTCAGAGGCTGCGGCTAAGAAGGCAGACTCGGCCGCGGAGCAGAAGTGGAAACTCGAACGAGCCGGCGCAAAGAAGGCCGTTTGGCGCCGTCCCTCCCGCATGGGCAAGGTCCAGGTGGTTCTTTGGCCGAAGCTTGAGCGGTTCGCGACAATCGGCAAGGTCGACCCGATGACGGGCGTTGCAGATGGTGAAAACCTCACCACAATACTCAAGTCTCAGGTGGTGTACTACCACGGATTGGCTAACCCAGAAGATGAAGGAGAAGGCGGCGATTACTCGACCTTGGATGAGTGGGTGTCGTTGGCCAAGCGAGGGGGCGCAGTGAAGCGGTGGTTTCTGGTATTGCGCTGGGCTACATCCATTTCTGTTCTGTGGTTGTTGCTGAGCGTTCTGGGGTTATACATCCCGGCCGTTGCCAACTTCCAGCATGCCATTACGGAAGAGATTGCCAAGATGTACCGCTGGTTTATCACCTCGGTATGGTCTCCGGTCGCCAGCAAGTCATCTTCTTGGGGGTTTGGCTCCAGCATCTGGAAGTGGATTGCCCGTCAGTGGGCCTCCCTAGTGAGCTTGGTATGGGGTGGTAAAAAGCAGGGTCCTGTTGAAGCGGTATCGTCTCGTTTTGGTTGGGTCACTAGCTGGTTTTGAGTTCTCCCGGTAGGCGAGCACCGGACAGCAAAACTCTAGGAGACCCCAGAGTGTCCTCTTGACTCACTTTCGGCCGCCTATTTTTGAGGTTTCCTTACATTAGGTAGTAGAACTAGCATCATAACTGTGAAATCTCGTAACTCATCAAGTGGAAGATTCGGGTGGTATTTGGAATGGTCGCATTAAGTCTGCAGGAGTATGGAATAATCTGGGGTGGCAAGTTGTTCAATAGATCCCACATGAATTGTTTGGTTTGTTTTGTTGTCCAGGTTAAATGTCATAATGTTACGTCAAGAAGCAGATTCGCTCGCGCTGCGTCCGTCCCTCTTTGAGTGTCCCCACACCGCAAATGGCCCACCAAAATTTTATCCTCCATCAACACCGAGGGCCGTCAAGGTTACCGAAACGCGCCATGCGACCAACCTGAACAAATCCCAATGTCGAGAACCACGATGCAATTAAACTAGCGCCAATCCTCTGAATACTTAATCGACCGCATGCGCTATTACAATGGACGCAGCTGCTCTTCTCAAGTCACAAGGCTGGCGGGGCAAAGGCTTCTCGCTTCATCCAACAGACAACGCGATCGGGTTATCAAAACCACTGCTCATTTCTCGCAACACAGACGGCCGCGGTATCGGGAAAAAACAGCATTACACAAGCGACCAATGGTGGCTCCACGCTTTCGACCAAAAGCTTAAGGGCCTCGATACGTCTAAGAAAGGGGTCGTGGTGCAGTCAGTAACACAGGGCAAGCTGGATACGATTGCAAGCAGCCAGCCGAATGGAAAATACTCGGGGGCTAGTGGGCTCTACGCGTCATTCGTACGGGGAGGCCTACTAGAGGGCACGCTGGAAATGAATATCACGAATGGCGAATCCACAGATGCGACACCCACCACATCGGACGATAGCGAAGGGTCTGTCCCAAAGCAAAAGAGGAGAGGCGAATCCAGGGCGGAAAAACAAGCACGACGAGAGGCCAGGAGGTTACGCAAGGCGGCCAAACTCGCTAGAAAGGCTGCCAAGGCCAAGGCAGCGCAAAAGGTTATAAAGAAGGCCAAAACAAAAGAGTCGGAAAAGGCAATGAAAGCGGGCGAAACAAGGGAGGAAAGACGAGCCAGGAGGGCGGCGAGGAGAGCACGCAAAGAAATGAAAAGGAGGAAAGGGGACGCAGCGCAAAATTCAGATCAGGGGTGAAGCAGTTGAATCGAGAACATTTCGGTTGTATTGCTCCACCCCACGAGACGAGGTGCGCCAGGCATTCGCCCAGTTGCCGAACAGGCTCCCTCGAGGACCTCGATGAACACCGCATCCGAAAGTGCGGGCCAGCCACGGGGCCCCGGGGTGACAGGAAGAGAGTTGGAACTCCGTCTCCGGCTCTACAGCGAGTTCCTAGCCCAGACATCAGGGCTCCTTGGGGACCTTTCCGGGCTTATTCGATAACAACCAGGGCCGGCGGTCCCAAAACTCGTCCTTGATAATGTCAAGATGCTCCACCACAATTCGAGCCTTTGCTCTTCTCTTCTTGTCGTTTTCCGTCTGTGTCTTTGATTGCGGAACCGGCTCTGCTAAGTTATCCGCCTCTGTTGCCGTGTCATGTGTTCCAGGTTCCACCAACTCATACTAAACTCCCTGTTCAGCATGACGGCAAATGTGTTGGAATAGGCCATAGAATAGATTACTTACGTCCCGGAAAACAACGCTTCCTTTCTTATACATCTCGGGTTCGTTGTTGTAATTAATCCCAAATCTTGAAAATAAAATCTCGTTCTTGTCTGCAGCATACGTCCCCTGGGGAAAGCAGCAAATATCAGTATTCTTGATCTCAATGGGATACATTCCAATAGACCTGACCTTCAGGGCATTTTCAGCCTCTGTAGCATGCACGCCCCCTAACTGGATGAGAGCCCAGAATGTTGTATTGTAGAGATTGTTGATGTGGCCTACAAGTCAGATCAAAGTACAACACAATGCCATAGTAGACTTACAATCAACCTGCCGCCAGCTCATGTAGTCACGTAGGTTTGTAACTGTTGGATAACACACGGCCCGGCCATCGAAGCTCGGTAAGGGGGGAGACAGAGGCGTTTCCGGAAAGTGGGTAGACCAGAGATGGACATAATACGCAGTGAAGGTGGAAACTATTGTCGAAACCAATTTACTGTGGCCGGTTAGCCAGAAAATAAACAACCCACAATGAATGGATATCATACCTCGAGCGACGCTCGAAAAGACTGCAGGTCTTATGGAAGACAAAGCTAAATGGCGTGTTAATGACACGATTTTGCGGACATCTCGTGAAACAGAGACATGCCTGTACTCATCGCTCACGCCATATGCGATGGTGATGTCTGGGAGCTCAGCCATCACAGCCCTCGCTGCAGCATTCATGAGCTCAAGGGCTCGTTTGTCGTTTGGTTTCTCAAACCCATATTTAGTCGAGAACCTTACTCGAATTTAGAAACGTCTAACAGTAGGTTTAGCATGGGTCATCCAAGACCTACTTTGTAAACCCTCGTCCATCAATCCTGACCACCACCCACGTGTTTGGTAGGAGATTGTCAGATTGCTCGAAGTTTTTGACGTATTCGAACCTTTGGAACGTTGACTATCATTAGTCATAGTTATGGGAGTCAAAATTTGGTGTTCTTCATACTTTGAGTTCGCCATACTTCAATCCTCTAGCCTTGCCTTAGAGCATGTGGGACGAACCACCTGTTTGAAGACTGGCGTGCCTGTTGAGGTCGGGAGAAAACCAGCCGACCGAGCACCCCGCAGGCCCACATGCCACATGGGGGGTGGTGGGGGTTGCTGTGATCGGGCGCGCAAGGCGCGACAACCCCTGTCAATCTGGAATAAAACCAAGCACCATTTCGCAGCCTTGCATTTCCCCAAATCTCCCAGTCCCGTAAGTACCTACTATGTAATTTCGCAGCGATAACTACATTCGCCCAACTCAGTTCCATTCAGCGCGGCGATGAATCTGTTACTTTCCGATGATTATCTTCTTCAGGATTACCCCGAAAATATTACCAATACAATCCGGTCGGGGCATTCGACATGCGTCCGATTCAACCGAAGAGGCGACTTTCTTGCCTCAGGGCGCGTTGATGGCACCGTTGTCATCTGGGACTTGGAGACGATGGGCGTGGCTCGTAAACTGAGAGGCCATTCAAAAAATATCACATCTTTAAGTTGGTCTCGGTGCGGGCGTTATCTGCTCTCAGCGTGCCAAGGGTGGAAAGCCATACTCTGGGATCTTCAGGATGGTAAACGCCTTCGCGAGGTTCGCTTTCGCGCCCCGGTCTATGGGGCCGAGCTGCACCCCTGGAATCAGTTTGTCCGCCGAGTTCCTTGTGCTATGTCTCTTTGTAGGCTAACCTAGAATAGCCTCGAGTTTGCTGCAGCTCTCTTCGAGGACCAACCGATGCTTATCGACATCGCCGACCCCGCCGACGTCCGGTACATCCTACCCTCCGTACAGAAACGACCCAACACAGAAACCGACGCGAACTTGAGAGAGAAGCAGGCGAAGGAAGATGCTAAGCACATGACGACGGCCATTGTTTACACTGCGACCGGTGATCATCTTTTGGCTGGGACGACAAAAGGTCGCCTCAACATCCTTGATGCTCGAACGAGAGAGATTATCTACTCTGAGAAGATAGCCAGTGGTATCATCACAACGCTACGATTGACCGAGTCTGGCAAGGAGCTGCTTGTCAATGCTCAGGATCGGATAATACGGACCTTCATTGTCCCCAATCTCTCCGCCGTAGACCTCGATCCGGACACGATACAAATACCCCTCGAGCATAAGTTTCAGGATGTAGTCAACAGATTGTCATGGAACCACGTCGCGTTTAGCTCCACCGGGGAGTACGTAGCAGCGTCGACCTATAACAACCATGAACTATACATCTGGGAACGGGGGCATGGTAGCTTGGTGCGTATGTTGGAAGGCCCGAAAGAGGAACAGGGGGTCATCGAATGGCACCCACACCGCGCTCTACTTGCGGCGTGTGGTTTGGAAACTGGTCGGATCAATATTTGGTCCGTCACCAGTCCGCAGCGATGGTCAGCTCTGGCGCCCGACTTTGTTGAAGTGGAGGAGAACGTGGAGTACATAGAAAAGGAAGACGAGTTTGACATCCACCCTCATGAGGAGATACAAAAGCGGCGGCTTGATCAAGAAGATGAGGACGTCGATGTCCTGACTGTGGCAGATGGGGGCGGGCTGGGAAGTGACGTGGGGGCTTTTCGGATGCCTATATTGTTTAATCTGGGAGAGTCAGACAGCGAGGAAGAATTTGTGAACGTAGGGCTTGGGACACTGCGAAGGAAGAGTCCCGGGGACCAGGATGAAGGTGACATGACCGGCGAAGAAAAGGGCCTTGGAAAAAAAACAAGCGGGGCAGGCCGAGGACGTGGGAGAAGAAAATAAGGTAACGAAAGTCGTCTCTAATTTCTTAATCTTCCATGGGGTGGTCGCATGAGCCTTTGCTGCTCGGGCATGTGGCACATATCGTGGAGTTGAAACCCTGAACGGCTAGGTAGGCCGATAGACCCAGTTCTATTAGCTACTATTCTTTCAAACCCGAACTCTAGTTTGACAGCTAGACCGTCATAACAACATACCTTGACTCACATGTGCGGGCCGGAGCCGTAATGACTTAACCTTGGAGCTCCCCCAGTGATACTGGGCGCCCAGCCCCGCAAGAATACATACCTAAAGTGAAGTCTGTCCAGAATTTGCCCTCCAAAGATTGACGAGGCCAACTCAAACACAGTAACACCTACATTCCCTGCCTCCCAAAACCCTCGCCCTCAAGAAACACATCCTCGCCCAATTGTCTCGAGCCCTTCAATCATACCTTCCGGCGGAGCCCGTATCTTATCGAGGCGCCTGTCAAGGGCTCAGGCCTAGGGCCATGCTCTTGTAAAAAAAGGCCTTGGTCATGAGCAGTAGTGTTGGATGGCCGAGTTGGACCTCTTCCGAGGCAGGCTCCCGCCCTCCGGGATCAGCGGCCTAGACCACAAAGGCCCACAAAGGTGCCCAGCGTGGATGATCGTCGCCGTAGGCTCGCGGTGCTAGGACCAACACACGGCATGAACTCCGGGCAATGAACAGCGCGCGGGGGACGGGAGCCTTGCACGTTGCCCACGTCATCCTGGCTGGTCTGACCATTGTAGACTCGCTAGTCGGCTGCCGGTTTTCAGCTGGAGAGGGCGAGTCTGTTCCCCGGGAAGCAGGGGCTGGCTGAGAGAGGAAATTTGTGTGTGTATAAACCCCCCCTTCCACAGCCTAAAGAGTCAGAGAGTTGTTCATCAATCCCAGTCATTATCAACCACAACATCAACACACACTCCCGAATAACCGCAACCATGCAGTCGACCGTCCTTATTTTGCTCGTTGGTATGGCAGCTTCCACATCCGCCGCAGCCCTGACCCCGAAGTCCACAAGCTATGCGTTTAAACTCGTCGCGAAGGAGGATGCGGGCTCGCCGTTTGACGGGCAGGAGGTCACTGCGAGCCAGAACAAGCTGTGGCTGTCGCAACCCATGGAAAAGCAAGACACAGATTGCGGAAGCGGGCCGGTGGACAAGGCACCGGCTACACTGTTTCTCCAAGACGACGAGCTGTTCCTCTTCGGCGGCGAGGGTAAATCCCATCAGCAGTTGGCCGCCAATGTGTCTGGAAAGGGTAATTATATTCTTTTCATTTTTTGATCTTTTTCTATTCACTTTTTCTTCAGCTTGCCCGTTACTAGTATCTTGAAGGTGAAAAACAAGCATGGTTTTAGTGATGAATATCTAGAGCACGAGAGCCTGAAGTACTTCAACAATACCAAAGACGGACCCGGGCAAGACTTCGAGACTAAGGGCTGGTCTTTGAAACCGGACAACCAGGACGAATACCTATCCTTCAACGAAGCTGTCATGCTGGCCTGCCCAGCATCCGACGATTCGTTTACGGTAGGCGTGTATCAGGACTATGACCGAGGCTGTTTTGAGCTTAAAGCTCGAGTCGAATACAACTACCAGCCGGTATCGTGCAAGTATAGCGGGAACTAGGCAAAGGAGGACTCCCCAAAGACCTTGGAGCGCCCTTCTTAGAGGTGTCGTTGGTGAGGCTGAAATACCCGGGGTACAGGAAGGTTGGTTACCAGGTGAAGGGTGGGTTGGATAGGGAGATTGTGGGTAGGGCAAGGGGGCTTCGGCGGTGAGAAGTTGGGCACTCGTGAAGCATCCAAACGCGTAATGTTAATGTTATCAGGTAGTTAACCAGAGCCAAACAAAACCGATCAGACCCTACACTAGTTAAGCCCGCCACTGACAGGCGACTCGGTAGTTACGTGTGAGACACCACTAGCGTTCAGCTGACCCCCGGCAGGCTCAAGTGAGACAAAATTTTTGACTTCCAGCACGGTATCTCAGTCAGTTGTCTCGATTAGGCTCAGCGTCTCATGCCGATCAGTTGGTGTTTCGCTCGGGCGCAGAGGGAGGGGGGGTGTCACTCTGGTATTTGGACAACAGCCCATCTTCGGAACTTCGAGACATGTCCATCAACCTCAGCACCAACAATATCATCAATATCATTTACCACGTGCTCTCCAATCCGCCAACCAAACCGAAACGAAGAATATAAAACAGGTACCATGCAGCTGACCACGCTCACTTTCCTCGCCAGCACCGTGGCTGCCGTGTCCGCCGCGGCCCTGACCCCCGAGCCCGAACCCGAGCTCAAGAAGTTTAGTCTCACTCCGGTGCGAGAGGACACGCCTATCCACAAAGCGCTCCTCAGAGCGAGCAAGGGCAGGTTGTGGTAATCTCTGCCCAAAGAAAAGCAGGATGCTCAGTGCGACGGGGAATTCTAGCGGACCACGTTTTTTCTTATAGATGATGAGCTGTTCCTGGACGGCGGCGATCATAACTCCCATCAGCAGATGTATACCAATAGTGCCAAATATAGTCAGTTTCCTAGTTGTTTTTTTTTCCCACGAGTTTACCTTTCTTTCCTCATCCTAGTATATATAAAAGTGTAAAGTACCTAGAAAAGGATATTCTTTATTGGCAGAAGTTTAAGGCCGGGGTACCCTAGACTACTTCAATAACACATCCGACGGCGAGACTTCGCGCTAGCAGGCAAAAGACCCACACTTGTCGTTCTGTGACTAAGACTTCTTGGCCTGCTCAGAGGATGACGGCTCATATTCGGTGTCCCTATACGTTGGCAACCCCAGCCAGGACGGCCGCAAACTATGCATCCCTTTCCAGGCCGAGGTTACCGATGAGCCTACGCCGGTGTCCTGCAAGTACACCGAGCAGTAGGTCGAGGAAGCCAACTTGATGGGGGGAAGGGTTCTCTACTTGGAGGTGCAGGTATAGTTGATGGGGATTGAGATAACGGGGTTGAATGTTGGTGGTGTTATGTCGAGGGCGAACTGGTGGAGGGTAGAGTTGGATGGTATGACTTCACGGGTAAGATAATGGATTCCGACGGCTAGGAGCTGGGCGCCTAGACAGCATTCGAAGACCTGACGTTGGGGTAGTTGGTTCAATGTGATTCAAGATCCTGGCGTTTTGATAGTTGTTCCCATACTGGCGTTTACCTACCTACCTAATTGGCCTACGGTCGGGCAGCCTCTGGCTAGCGATCACGATGTACCGCCAGGGAGCTCAGTCAGCCTCAAGGTCAGGTAATGAACTCTAACTTGAAAAAGTATACGCGTGAGGTAGTTGAGGGTCAGGGTTGACAGGGAATATGCGGGTTGATGATTACTAGCATTCAAGTACCTAATCAAGTTCAATGCGACCCAAGTTCCCTTTTTTCTTCTGACAACAGGCTTCAACTTGTATCACGCTCGCGTGATCTCACTGTTTGTGGCGGTGGGTGAAGGTCCTTCCGGCTTTTCGTTGGTGGTGATTCGTGCGACTTCTGAAGGTGGGAAAATCAGGTATGTAATCAAGGCATGTAATTACAATAGGTAGTTGTAGACATTGACGCCATAGTACACGACTCTCGCACTTTTTTGGTTACATCCATTACTCGAAATGACGCTGAGCGCTCCAAAGCGGACTGGGTGAGTGGAGCAGTGTGTTCATTTTGGTTGGGTTGCAATCCTTGTGCAAACGGCTGCAGGTGAGTGCAATGAGGTGTTCGGTTCATTACTTCAGAAGAATGTAAGATGAATAAAGGTAGCAGCGGGAAGGTCTTGCGGGTTAGTTATCATTGTTGTTTCATTGAATGACCGACTCAAGAAAGTTACGGTACGTGCACGGGCGCGTTGCACGGAAGGGTTCCACTCAAGGTTCATGAGCCCCACTTAAACTAGACTCTCGGTCAGCAGCCGCCTTTGCCTCTCTCCCGCGTTGCTTTGTCAAGTCGAACTTTTCTGAGGGATGCCATCCTCGCTTCTCCGAAACATTCATTCAACGACTTTCCACCGCCATCACGAATCGCGCCCAACAACCGCGAGTTCCTGTCGCCCATTGCCCCACGACAGAAAATCGAGTGCGCGATTGCAAGTCCCGATCAAGACGTTGTTTTCTTAATTCCAGCGACGGTGAAAACAACGGGCTCTTGACGTCGCTCCTTCAGGCCGCTGGCCTGGAAAGCGTTGCGGAGGAGGTTGAAAACAGCACCGCGGAAAGGGCCATCTCGCGTCGGTTTTCGCGCCAGGAAACCATCTACCCATTGCGCAATAACCTTCCTTTCTCATTTCAACGAGCAGGTTTCCTACGACAGGCTCTTTGCGCGTGTTTTAGAATCGCGACATTCCCTTGACCGCGTCACCGGCATTCCACCAACTGTTCATTTCAACAACCTTACCTTTCCAATCGAACTTTTCATCAATTTCGGCATCGAACCGACGTCAACATGGCGAACCTCATCTTCGCGCATTCGAGCGCGCCGATCCAAACGATCAGGGAAATCCAGTTTGGACTCCTGTCTCCGGAGGAAATCAAGGGAATGAGCGTTTGCCATATCCTTTACCCAGAGACCATGGACGAAAGCCGCACAAAGCCTCGCGATGGTGGCCTCAACGATCCCCTTCTCGGTTCCGTAGACCGACAGTTCAAATGCAAAACCTGCACAGAAAACATGACCGAATGTCCCGGTCACTTCGGCCACATTGAGCTTGCTCGGCCTGTTTTCCACCCTGGTTTCATCAGGCGCACAAAGAAGTTGCTCGAGATGGTCTGCCACAACTGTAGCAAGGTGTTGGCTGATCGAGTTAGTGCACCCTGCTTGATTAAGCAGTCTTTGTGTGGCTGATGCTGACATTCTTTCCCAGTCTGATCCGCAATATGCTTCGGCCATGAAGATTAGAGACCCGAAAGTCCGGTTCAAGCGAGTTTGGGACATTTGCAAGAGCAAGAAACGCTGCGAGAACGAGGCCCCCAAACAAGAGGGAGCCGACGGCGAGTTCAACCCGAACGGCGGTCCCGGAGAACGGCCTGTCGAGGGCCATGGAGGGTGCGGCAACGTCCAGCCCGTCATTCGCCAGCAAGCACTCACTTTGTGGGGAAGTGTCGAGATTAAAGATGAGGACGGGATCAAGAACAAGGAGAAGAAGGTCATTACGCCAGAAGCCGCGCTCAACATCTTTCGACGCATGTCCGACGATGAGATGATCGATATCGGCCTTAACATCTCCCAAGCCCGTCCCGAGTGGATGATCATCACCGTCCTCCCCGTCCCGCCCCCTCCTGTCCGTCCTAGCATCTCTATGGACGGTACCGGAACTGGCCTGCGAAACGAAGATGATTTGACCTACAAGCTAGGTGATATCATTCGCGCCAACGGAAACGTGCGGCAGGCTATTTCTGAGGGTTCCCCGCAGCACATCATCACGGACTTCGAGAACCTTCTTCAATACCACGTCGCCACCTACATGGATAACGATATCGCCGGCCAACCTCAGGCCTTGCAAAAGAGTGGTCGTCCTGTCAAGGCTATTCGCGCTCGCTTGAAGGGCAAGGAGGGTCGACTTCGAGGTAACTTGATGGGAAAGCGCGTGGACTTCTCGGCCCGTACTGTTATCACCGGTGATGCCAACATTTCGTTGGACGAAGTTGGTGTGCCGCGCAGCATTGCCCGGACGCTGACGTACCCTGAAACCGTCACGCCTTACAACATCGCGAAACTCACCAAGTACGTTCAAAACGGGCCGAACGAGCACCCTGGCGCCAGATTTGTCGTTCGCTCTGACGGCACTCGTCTTGATCTTCGCCACTCTCGGCGGGCCACGGGTATCCAGCTTGAATATGGCTGGAAGGTCGAGCGTCACCTGATGGATGGAGATTTCATCATCTTCAACCGTCAACCTTCGCTCCACAAGGAGTCCATGATGGGTCACAGGGTTCGGGTCATGCCATATTCCACGTTTCGACTGAACTTGTCCGTCACCTCGCCTTACAACGCCGATTTTGATGGCGACGAAATGAATTTGCATGTTCCTCAAACGGAGGAGACTCGTGCTGAGGTGAAAGAACTTTGCATGGTTCCCTTGAACATCGTTTCGCCGCAGAGAAACGGCCCTCTGATGGGTATTGTCCAGGACACTTTGGCCGGTGTGTACAAGCTTTGTCGGCGTGACGTGTTCCTCACCAAGGAGGAGGTGATGAACACCATGCTCTGGGTTCCTGACTGGGATGGTATTATCCCACTTCCGGCCATCTTCAAGCCTCGCCCTCGGTGGACTGGCAAGCAGATCATCAGTATGATCATCCCCAAGATCATCAACATCCACATGAACTCGGAACAACCAGATAGGGACCATCCGTTCAAGGACGACGGTCTTCTCATCCAGCAGGGTGAGCTGGTGTTCGGGCTTCTGTTGAAGAAGAGCGTTGGCGCTTCTGGGGGCGGCATTGTTCATTTGTGCTACAATGAACTTGGTCCTCAAGGCGCCATGGATTTCCTGAACGGCTGCCAGCGGGTGGTCAACTACTGGTTGTTGCATAATGGACACAGCATCGGTATCGGCGATACGATCCCCGACACAACCACCATTGAAATGGTCCAAAAACATATCAACGACGAGAAGGAGGAAGTCCGCCGGCTGACCCAGCAAGCTACCGACAACGAGCTTGAGCGTCTCCCCGGTATGAGCATCCGAGAGACCTTTGAAAATAAGGTCTCAACTGCCCTTAACAAGGCTCGTGACAAGGCTGGTACTTCCACCGAGAAGAGTTTGAAGGATTTGAACAATGCGGCCACAATGGCTCGTTCCGGGTCCAAGGGTTCCTCGATCAACATTTCTCAAATGACTGCGTTGGTCGGTCAACAGATTGTGGAAGGCAAGCGCATCCCATTCGGCTTCAAGTATCGGACGCTCCCACATTTCACCAAGGATGATTACTCTCCCGAGGCCCGTGGCTTCGTTGAGAACTCGTATCTCCGTGGCCTGACGCCTTCGGAATTCTTCTTCCACGCCATGGCTGGTAGAGAGGGTTTGATCGATACTGCAGTCAAGACAGCTGAGACGGGTTATATCCAGCGACGACTTGTCAAGGCTCTCGAGGATGCTGAAGCGCGCTACGACGGGACGGTGCGGAACTCCCTCGGCGACATCATTCAGTTTGTCTACGGTGAAGATGGCTTGGATGGTATGGCCATCGAGAGACAGCGGGTGGATCACATGAACATTGCAACCACCAGCTTTGATAAGCGATTCCGCCTGGACGTCATGGACGAGACGGCTTCCAGCACCGCCCTCGAATCGTTAGAGTACGGAAGGGAAATGGCCAGTGACCCCGCTGTGCAAGAGCTTTTGGATCAGGAGTATGATCAGCTCGTCGCCGATCGCAAGCTCGTGCGGGAAATCCAGCGGCGCAAGCTGGCCGAGGATAACATGCAACTTCCTCTCAACATCGCTCGTATCATCGAGACGGCAAAGAAGCTCTTCAAAGTCGACGACTCCCATCGTAGCGACCTCACCCCTAGCGACGTGGTCCCCGCCGTTCAGGCGTTGCTTGACCGGATGGTTATCGTCCGTGGGCAAGATTCAATCTCGAAGGAGGCCGACTACAATTCCACAATCTTGTTCAAGATCCAGCTGCGATCACGACTGGCGTACAAGCGCCTGGCCGTCGAACAGAAGCTCACCAAACTAGCGTTCGAGCACGTGCTTGGCGAGTTGGAGAACCGGTGGTCCAGATCAATGGTGGCTCCTGGCGAAATGGTTGGTGTGCTCGCCGCCCAGTCCATTGGAGAACCAGCCACGCAGATGACACTGAACACCTTCCATTTTGCCGGTGTGTCGTCTAAGAACGTTACACTCGGTGTGCCTCGTCTCAAGGAAATTCTGAACGTTGCGAAGGATATCAAAACGCCATCCATGGTTGTCTACCTCGACGCCAAGAACGCAACCCAAGAGGATGCCAAGAGGATGCGCAGTGCCGTTGAGCACACGACCCTCCGTTCCGTCACAGCCGTCACGGAGATTTACTACGACCCAGATGTCACATTCACCACCATTCCGGAGGATTTCGACATGGTTGAATCCTACTTCTTGATTCCGGACTCGTCTGACCAGGATTCCATCGAGAACCAATCCCGCTGGCTCCTCAGATTGACCCTTGACCGGCAGAAGATGCTTGACAAAGGCCTCCGTGTGGAGGATGTTGCGCAACGCATCAAGGACGAGTATAAGAAGGATGTTGCTGTCATTTTCAGTGACAATAATGCCGAGGAGATGGTCATCCGCATCCGTGTCATTCGTCAGGAAGATGACAAAGATGATGACGGAAACAAGATCATTGAGGACGATGTGATGTTGAAGCGTTTAGAGACTCACCTCCTCGACAACTGCATCTTGCGCGGTGTGCCCGGCATTGAGCGTGCCTTCTTGAACAAGGGAGTGAAGCTGGTGGAACGGGCCGATGGTTCTCAGGTGGCCAACAAGGACACGCCAGAATGCATGGAGTGGTATTTGGACACCCAAGGCACATCTTTGAGAGATGTTTTGACAATTGACGGCGTCGACACCAAGCGGACTTACACCAACGACTTGTACCAGATCGTTGATGTGCTTGGCATCGAGGCAGCCCGGTCGGCTCTGATGCAGGAGTTGACTCAGGTGCTCGCGTTTGGTGGTTCGTACGTCAACCACCGTCACTTGGCATTGCTTGTGGATGTCATGACCTACCGCGGTAGTATTGCTGCCGTCACGCGTCATGGTATCAACCGTGCCGACACCGGTGCTCTGATGCGCTGTTCCTTCGAAGAGACGGTTGAGATTCTGTTGGAGGCTGCTGCCGTCGGTGAACTCGACGACTGCCAGGGTATCTCGGAGAACGTCATGCTAGGCCAGATGGCTCCTATGGGCACCGGCCATTTTGATGTCCTTCTCGACCCTAAGATGCTCGAGACGGTTATCTCAGACAATTCTCGCATGGGTCTCATGCCAGGCATGACGATCAAAGGCACCCAACTCGAGGGTGCTGCCACACCTTACGACACTGGTTCGCCGATGGCAGACAGTGGGTTCCTTGGCAGCTTCTCGCCAACTATGGGCAACTTCTCGCCCATCCAGGGTGCGGGCTCGGACAGCCCCAGTGGTTTTGGGACGGAGTACGGCGGAGGTTTTGGCAGCAACGTGGGTGCTTATGCGACAAGCCCGCGTGCCACCAGCCCCTTCTCCACATCCCCGACGTCGCCTTTTGGCTACTCGCCGTCAGCTCCGGCTGGGTACTCTCCCACCTCGCCTCTCCTCGACGCCGGTGGTCGTTATGCTTCCAGCCCACAGTTCAGCCCGTCTTCCCCATCCTTCTCGCCGACCTCGCCCATGCTGCGGCCCGGTAGTCCGACAAGCCCTAACTATAGCCCCACGTCACCAAGCTATTCGCCGGCTTCACCCGCCGCGACCAGACACTACTCTCCGACTTCGCCGCAGCAGTTCAACTCCCCCACGTCACCCTCTTACTCCCCCACCAGCCCGAGCTACAGCCCTGCCTCGCCGAACTTCCAATCTACCTCCCCCTCGTACTCGCCGGCTTCTCCGACTTGGTCACCCACCTCACCGGACGCCTACTCACCGACCAGCCCGTCGTTCCATCGGTCTCCTGGACAGCAGATGTCGCCGACTAGCCCGGGCTACTCGCCGACGTCGCCTTCATTCTCTCCGCGGACCCCAGCCCGCGGTCCTTCTGGAGGAAACGGTGACCAATAGTAAGTTGCGTTCCGTGAACCGGGGAATACCATGTCTTATTAACACCACGTTCTTGCAGCTCACCCACCTCCCCGACGAATGATTGATCCGAATTACACGGAGTCTGGTAACATGGATGATAGGGCCACAGGTTGGCTTGGGCCCGATGCGAAAGCATCTTTGCCTTTTCCTTTTCATTCGGGGTTACGTAGCTGGAGCGGGTCTGCTCCTTCCCCCCATCCTCGCGTTATATTTTTCGGTTGTCTCATGGCTTGGTTGAGCCAAAGAATCACGGGGTCTTTTTTTTTTTTTAGCAAAAAGGGGTGCATACCGCGCGTTTCATCCTTCTCCGATGCCAAAAAGATTGGGACCGCGCCGGATCTGAAAGTTTTCTTTTTTTCCGCTTTTCCATTTTCTACTCGTGTCTCAGCATGGGATAGAGGCGACAGGCACGCTACCGGCACCAGATTGGTTTTAGCCACCTAACCCACTACGGCAAGACAAGAGGGGAGAAGCTCAACTTTTGCCATCACAAGTTTGATTTGGGAGAGAGGTCAGGTATGTGGATGAGACTACGAAAAGAGAAAAAGAGTACATGATGGTAATGGGCAGAAAACGGGGAGGAAGGAAAGAGGAAAGGCGGGCAGCTGTGTAATGATTTGTATAGTACCCACACTGCAATACAAGAAGCAAGCATTAGCAACCATGTGTCGCCGTCAGGTCCGTTTTACCTTCACACATACATCTGCTAGACTCATCGGCGGAATGGGAGTTGGGAAAAGCCGAACTGACACATGCCTACCTGTTTGCCGACTCGGACGGGGCGCCTGGAAGATTTTTCCGCCGACCTGCAATCATCTTATCTTTTTAACAAGTACATACCGAGCTAGTTCAAAAGTATCAACCCAATCTTTTGACCCCCATGGGCGCCGAAAGCTCCGGCGTCGGGCATTCCTTGGCCGTGGGGCGGAACCTGCACAAAGGAGGCTGTTGTTGCCTAGCTTTTTGACGGGACGGGATGGGACGCCCGAGGAATGGGAATGGGGTAGAAAGGGGGTGCAGAAAACGCATTGTGTTCAAAGGGGTAAGACAATCTCGGGCAAAAGCTGAACGAACACCAACACTCGGTGGTGATCACCATTGTGATCCATGGCGCCCAGAGTGGAACTTGGAAAGAGCAAGTACACACAAGTAGCGCAGTTCAAAGGTACATTCACGCAGACACGGGCGGGTCAGGGGCATACCGGATGCCTGCGGATCGCTCGCATGTCACTGTTGGCTCCTTCATGGCAAGGATGGTGGTGGTTAGTCCTGCGATCACCTAGTTGAGAGGTGTTCTTGAGGCAGACCGGGAGACGACAGCGTCAGAGTGGGGCGCGGGAAAGGTGGAAAGGTGGAAAGGGGCCGTGAACAGCAAGCATCAGTGCAAGTAGGAGACCGAGGCGAAGTTATCCCCATTTGAGAATCAGTGTTTTGATTGGCGGTTTCCGCCTTGTGAATCATTCTTCTGTGATTGGGACGGGAGATGTACGTAAAATCGGCTCCTTGCGCGTGATATGATGGCAACCCCCGGACACTTCACCGAGTTTCGTGCATGAAACTGCAGGACTTGGCGCATATGTGGTCTGGTCGGCGATTCCTGGGGACTTTTTCGATCGACCGGCCGAATTCTGACGACTTGGAGAGATGATAGGCGATATCCCGAGCTAAGAGGCCACTGGGGCGAAGAATAGGAGACGATCCAAGCATGCGAGTCCGGAGAAGGGGACTCAGCCTTGGGACGTTGTTACGGCGGTCGCATCGATGGCGGCCTAGTTTCCTGGTCACAGCCTCAACCCTCATTCCAGAATCGTGAAGAAGCCGGCGGCCAACAGGGATAAGACAATTTCCCCTGACATCCCAGGATACCGCCGCAGGTATGCAATGATTTTCTCCCTCTCTTCGCGTTTCTTTCAAGTGAAGTGAGGCAGGAGCGTTTTCGTAAAAAGTTCAGAGGTCCAGCCGGCTGGGATGGAACCCCGCGCTTAGCGGCGGATCCGCTAAAGCCACACCAGTGTTCGCTATAACACGGCGGGACCACCAATGATTTTCCCCCAACCCCTAGTCGTGCACGAGCCAGGTTACCAGATTCCTGGGACCACATGAAGAGAGTCCATGTCTCGTTGAGCTCTGCTTGGTGTTGATGGAGCATCATGACAGTGGATTGTGTCCCAATATTTAATTCTCTTTTGAAAGAAACTGTGGTTTACTGTATTTGGCCTAGAATATAGACAACATGTGGATCTATTCAACGTAGCCTTCACTGGTATGCCGATTCACACCTTTTCAGACTCTTGGTACTTTCGGTATTCACCTCGTTTTAGGAAGGTCATTCACCTTTCTGCCAGGCCGTTTCTCTCCCCTTATTCCGCTGGGTCTGTGAAGGCAACACCGCACTTCTAGATACCGAGCTCCCCCGAGTTGCCCGACGAGGCAATTGTGTTGGTGATATCGTTGAGACAACGGCATTAGGGCCAAAGTAAAGTTGAGCCAGCTTCCTGCAACGGCTTGACCCGACTGGCGCCGCTTCGCCGCAAGCTTTAGGCAGTGGAACGACGGGAGGTTGCGCTTGCACAAGGTGATCTCCCCCAATGGTTCAAGACCGCCTGCATTTCATGCGGGAGCCAAGGGTTGTTGGGTGACTTCCTGCAACCGTTTTGGTCGGCTCTGACATCCTATTGGGCGTTGCCCTCACATGGCCCTGACAGCCCGCGCTTAACTCTCGAACCGAATTCGTACCGAGCCAGTCATGTTTCCCGACCAAACCGTGTCCATCCGGGTTCTCGTGGTACCATACGGCGCAGAAATAAGCATGGGACATCGGCCCCGGGGAGCCGGCATGTAGTGTTGGAAGAACCTCACCAAACATCTTTGCCGTTTCGAGCTCGGCTCCGTGATGTGGCGTCCGTGTGCCCATCAAGTCTCGGTAAACATATTGTATCTTGTGTGCTTGGCCACACCAGGAGACTGACTCAATGTTGCAGTGGCTAGCAAACGTCAGTTTACCCCCAAGGCTGCTACCTCTGCTAATCGGTTCTTTAATTTTGCCGTCGACCTATGACAGCGGTGATTTTTTGATGCAAGTGGCGGCTATCGTCACTGTGGGGACTAGGGACTTATCGTTCTGGGTCTCGGTGTGATAGGTGTGGAATGTTCCTGCACAGAATCAGCCCTACCGATGTCATGCCAAATAACTCAAAGCCAATGAATTCCTGCAACATTGCTCGTCGCGGAGGCCACAATGCTCCCGTCCTCCGGGGCAGACGTCAGGAACCATTGCCTCCCAATTATAATGTTAGTATGCAAGGTCCTTGCTGCACCCTGCATGACCAAAATGTGACGGAGGGAGAGGCGCATCTCCAGTAAAGCCGTCAGAAAGTGATTGGTTGGGATATCAGCAGCGACAGTGACAAGTTCTCGCATATAAGTGTTAACACACAGTCGGCACAGTTACCATCTTCCCTGCCGCGCTGTTCAAACAATGTCAAGAGAGGGGTAGGGGCCGGCTCAGTTCCCAACTGGTAGAGCTAGCACTGATTGGTCGGGGTGCGGTTCCTAAGCGCGATCTGGATGCACGAGAACTGTTCGGTTGGCTTGCATGACGCCCCCAGCGGTAGGGCGAGCCCATTTTGCGGAGTTTGAGGGGGATAACTGCGGCGTTGTCTGGTCGTGATCTGCCGGTACACACGGCTTGTTGTCCAGCGACGGTTCCGGTTGCGTGAGAGATATCCGAGCCTCAACCACTCCCAGCCCGAGGGCCTTCCAGCCTTCTCTCCTCCTCAAGGTTCATACATTCTCTTGGTCGGTAATAATTTCGAGAGAAAATGCGGCGCGGGCCTGCGGAGTACCGGAACGGGCCAGACCGAGACCAACGACCCGGCGTGGGGTGCAAACGGTGCCGAAACCCCGCTTTCTTGCAGGGAGCGCGAATAGATGATGGGTAGAGATACTTCTTCATGCGGGTCTACTCCCATATGTGTTACTTTATGGAAAACTCCGGGCCATCCAGCTGTATGCTGGTTGAGAAAATTCGTTCTCCTCGAGAAAGGAACAGCGAGGGAAGGCGAAAACCAAATATATGCCCCCACTTCCCGGGCCGTGATAAGCCTTCAGGGATGTGCTCCTTCCCGCTTTGGGCGCTGGGCGACCGTGCACGGGCCACATGCGATGGAGGTTTCACCCCCAGATTTGCACTGGAGTGGGGGCCTGCATCTTTTTTTGCCTAGGGCTCATGTGACAAAATCTTGCTGCGACTCCCCCGCGACCATGTTCCTGCCATGCGACAACCGGTCGCGGCCAACGGCCGGCCCTTCGGGCTGCGAGCCTGACCGAACCCGTTGTTCGGGATGCACCTCATCAAATGCAAGCTACCGCCTTTTGGAAAGGCGGTGTCAAGCCAGAAACAATCGCGTTGGGACTCGAAACTCGAGAAATCATTTCTCACTTGCTGGGATGAGACAGCCGACATCAACCGGAATTGCTTCTGGGGATAATCTGCGAACTACAATAGGCAGGCTTGGGGTTTGGCCCTTCAAGGATTTGCAGCTAGGTACCGAGCAAAGTGGCAGAAAAAAGTTCTTACTGTTCGCCCTGCAGTGTCACCCGTCTTTTAATCGACTCGGTGGCGGCAGCAGTGTCCAACAATGAATACCCCCCCTCTCGGCCCGCGACTGTCTATCCTTTTATTCTGCTGGTGGCAACTGGCTCTTTGTATCGTATTGACTGCGTATTTTACACTGAGATCTGGCAACAACGGAATCGAGAACACAGGGGAATAGTTATGTGCCCATGCCTGTAGGGCAGGCTGGTTGGGAGACCAAAGTCGCGGTGGAACGGGAAAAGATTCATTCCTATGTGACAAAAAATCACCACAAGGAGAAAACAAATACTAGTACAAAAGTAGATTCCCAAATTCTCATCCAGCTGAACTGGCTTTCATCTCATTCCCAGGTATCATCGTTGTACTGTACGCCCTCGGCCCCGCGCCCGCATCCCTTGACCCTGCGGACTAACAAAAGCAGTCCAGGTCGATGGTGGAGGTACTCGGTTTGTTATGGGGCCATGGCTG